GTACAAATGGCATTCAACCAGGTCACATCTTCATGCATAAGAAGATTTAAAAACACCGTTCTGTAGTGACGGGGGCACTGAGGGGGGCGGGGGTATTGGCTAAGCTGTATGATGAGTGTGTCGAAAGATATGGGGAAATGAGTGATCCAACAATTCGGGCGCAAGTGATCGCCCTCGCGAGGCTTTAAGTATATTTTCCGTGCTCCGCACGGAATGACATCTTCTACACATTTAGCATGATTATCGAAGGGTTGATGACAACGCATTACAACTGTAAGTGCACGGTCTGTCTATCATGCATCTTACGTCCTGCTGACGCTCCTGGCTCACGGCCCACGGCAGATATCACGGACGCTACGGCAATCGGCACATGTTTGAGCTTGAACTTAAACGTTCTTCCTCGGCCCTCCAGGCCCTCGCTCCTCTCTACAGTATATGTCTCCCATTCCTACTTCCTCGCCACCGCCTGTCTCTCTATCATGGTTTCTGGGCACTCGCACGGAAAGTGCCCTTGATTCAGGATTCTTCGGCCATGGTACCCCTTCAACAAAAGACAACCGACCAATTGATTTTCTTTGTAAAATTCTACAAGATCTTTCAGTTCTCGAGCCCTGTCGCGCTGCAGCTGCAGTTGAAGTGAAGACCGTGTCGAACATTAGCATTTCAGGGTCAAATGTTCCCTAGGCACGGCACCCGGACTGACTCAGATTCGCCGCCCATGTCCTCTATCTTTGCTGTGAATTGGCATTTGCCACCCACTAGTAGATCATCTGAAGCCCGTGGTGGTGTCGGACTGACCTCTTGGAGGGACAGTATACTCCGTCGGTGGAGTTCTACTGCCTCTACGGCAGCCGGCAAAGTACTCTTGGTTGTCGGCTGTGTTTCCATACCATTGGAGTAGGTTCTGGCAAGCTCAGAGTGAAAGAGCCTGGAACCATACAAATTACACATGACTGGGGCGTTTCAAGCCACAGTGTCTTGGGATCCGAGTAAGCTCTTATCAATACAATCACAGAAGCTAGTCACCCGGTTCATACGTCGCTCTAATAGTATCTATTTGGGCAATGTTGAGCGACAACTAACTACCGCGTCGATGCGCGAGAAATTCCAGCGTTTGCAGTCTATGGTATTGCATCTCTTTAGCTGTGAGTATAGCCTTATGTACGACATCCTGCTCCGCTGTAGTCTGCACGGCAAGACAGAGGGGGATGGAAAAGTCCACAAACGGGAAGGAGAAGCCAGAAGAAGGGTGCCTCAAATCCGATGTAAGACAAGCCCTTGCAGTTGTCTGTACGAGTACAGTCGCAGCTTTATGGCAGTCGTAGTTCTACTATTCGAGATACAGGGGTGTCTAAGGGCGGCTATGAAATGTCTATCTGCTCTCATCGCCCACGATCCATGACCCTCTTTGCTGCGTGGTCTCGTAAAGAGTAGCATCATCAAATGTTGAAAGGAACTTGATCGGCTTGAGGAATGCTCACGATTGACCCCCTCGAGATCGATATAGAGCGAGTAGAAAGAGACGGAGTCGATCGCGGGATGCATCGTAACCTGCCCGCTCACCGAGCCCACCGAGGGCAATGCATGACAGGCGGTGGGTTGTGACTTGTGGATATCCATATGACCGGCGAAAGGTGGCGGAACCTCGGCCGTTTAAGGCTAAGTCTATGCCGGTATTTATTGCATTTTCAGGGACAGCATCGGAAGGGCCGGACCCTGAGGTGAATTGCGCTACTTGGCTCTCGAAAAGATGCAGGAGGTGGGGGAGGAGAGGAGAGGGGCGATGTATGACTGGTATGGGGGCGAGACTAGGCCATCCACAAAGTTGGGTTTAGACCGGGAGCAGGCGGAGGGCAGACAGAGCTGATCGGGGTTTATTAGGGGGTGACTCTGCCTTTGGCTGCCAGTCAAGTCCGTGTATGGGCCTGTATATCTTGCATCTGCTTCAACATTCTCATCCCCTAGGGCCACACATTTCATCGCCACCGCCAGTACTGCCCTTTCCAGAGCCCTTTCGACCAGATTGCCACCCCCGACCACTGTCTGTAGCCCTTTCAACCAACTGTTCAGTATCTGTACCACGTTTCCCGCCCGCCTCCTTCAAGTGTATAAGTATAAAGAGGCCGATCTTTGACTTGTCAATTCATATCGCCCACCCTTCCGCCTCCCTGCTGAGTAGCATCCCACTGCTGCAGCCCCTCTCGATCCATCGCCATCCCCCAGTCTCCCCCAGCTCGCCCGCTCACCGTTGATCGTTGCCCGCGCCTGGTGTGCACACCTTTGCGTTCTCTCTCGCTGTACTCAGCCTTATCGCACTCCCAAATCCGCCCCGTCAAGCATCTTTGCCGTCCGTGTGGCCTGTGAGAGCTGCCGAAAGCATAGAAGAAGGTTCCATCGCCATAGGGAATTGGTAAGCCTCGCCCAGCCGTAAGGTAATATATCGCACCCGACTGATCTTTTCCAGGCACCTCCAGAAAATAAACATCCACCGCCATCCTTATTCTGTCTCAATTCTGCTCTTCTCTTCTTCTTTCCAGACCTTCCCCTCTCCCCCTATCCCCCTTGTCTCAAGCCACGGCGTCCTTTTGGAAAGCGTACTCCGTGCAGGAACAATCTCGCATATCGCTTCCTGTGAGTCTGTTTGCGTCGTCCCATATTACCGCCGCTCATCTTTGTTTGTCTTTCTTTCTTTCTGTCTCTGGCCGCCCTCCCTCCTATCTGCAGGTCAGACTCCGTCTCCCTATAATCCGAAGCCAGTCTTCGTACCGTCGCTGGATCGACACCGCTGCTTGACTGTCTTGCTCTCGGTGAGTGTTGTTGTGCCAGCAGTTAGGGCTCCCGCTAATGTCCTGTGTTTTCTTGCCTGGCTCTAAATGACCCCACCATTCCACCCTCCCACATACTATCACCAATCTCTTCCACCTACAGCGTCTCATAAGCTAGACTCTGAGCTTTCCCCACAACAATAATCACAAGCCCCAGCTGGCAACCACACAATCATAATGGCAAACTTCTTTGAAACCGAGTTTGGCCTCTTCGACCCTTCCTCGAGGTTCGAATCCGACTACCTCTCCTTCGCCTCCCTCTCCTCTGCCCTCTCCCCCCCACCTCTTGACCCCCACGGGTACGACCCTTCAGATGGGGCGGCTGGTTTCCTCTCGGACTCCTCATCGCCTGCCCCGTCCGATAGCTTTGACTCGTACCCGGGGCTGTTCGATCCCGCGACTCCTCCAAGTGGCGATGTCGTTGGAATCTTTCACACACCACCCAAGAGCGCCGGTTACGAGAGCTCGTCCTTCCTCCAAGCCCAAGGGTCTCCTGAATCCTCCTACAACACGTTCTCCAAGATCGACATGCCCTCATCCTCCTCATCCTCCTTCCCTCTCTCCATCCCTACCGACGAGATCTTCCTGTCATCCCCACCCACCGGCAGCTATTCTTGGGACGAAGCAGCGCCTGTGGCAGCAAGCTCTTCATTCCAAGCACCCCTTCCCTCGTCGAAACCTTTGCGCGTCGCTTCCAACCCTACACTTGGTCCTTCAAGGAACACTCGCCATGTCAAGCATGTCACCTCGATGCCCGAGCTTCAGGAGCAAGGGCAGGGGTCTCACGAGTGGCTGAACCCTTCTCAGTACTCTGCTGACCCTCAAGGGTTCCAGCAGTTCCCCACGGGTCCTTCAAGCAAAGAATCATTAGTCGAGAACTTTGACAGCGTCTTTGGTGACTACGGGTTGAACAAAAACAATTCGGGAACTACCGGATTCGAATTCCAATCTCCCACAGATCAGTCATACTCTTGTGATATCCCAACGTACTATACCGCTCTCCCTCATAATGGCGAGACGCAATGGGGCTTCGGTCCTTCCACCAACATGCCGGCTCATGTTGGTCTTTTCCCCGCTTTCGAACTTCCCCAGCAGGTCATTCACGCGGCTGCGCCTGCGGAGCAAAACACCCTTACGATAAATCCTACGGCGGTGATGAAGGGTGATGCCGAAGACGATGCGAGCAGGCCATGGACCGCGCCTGGTAAGAGTGGCGAAAAAGTTGCGACGCTGAGTGCTCCGATGTCTGAACCTATGGCCAAGAGGTGAGTTGTCTTCATCCTCTCTGTGAAATACGCTGATCCTCTTCCAGGAGTCTCTCCTCTTCCGGGTACAAGACATCCAAATATACAGCCCCCGTCCGCGACCTTTTCTCCTATGCCCCCCATCAACACTCTTCCGGTGATCGACCGCTCTACACTTGTGATCCATCCCCAACATACTACCGCTCCGCCTCCTCCCAACACCGCCGTGCGATGCCCAGCACCCCCACCCCTCAACCGAGGGCCGCTAGGGTCATCAGCGACATGTTCTCCGCGCCTCAGGAAGGCCAGTTCTCTCGCTATCCCACGGCTTATCCTCCCACGCCCAACTCTCCAGCATTCAGCATGATGAGTGCTGTCCCGCCTCTCTTCCCTGCTCCTGTAACTATGCAGCGCGCCGAGACAACCCCTATCCCGGCCGCCCATCAGACCTCAAGGTCTGTGACCCTCAATCCGTCTTTGCTCTCCGGAAAGTCTACCCGGGCGCACGACGATGATGATGATGATGTGGAGCGTATGAGGCCTCGTAAACGCTCAAGGCGAGTGAGCATGACCGAGCCTCGAGTGATGCAGCATACGCTGCGCCGCACAACCCGACAGAACCATCCCCGACCACTCTTCGCCTCGCATCCCCAGATCCATCCTCCTCCCATGGGTAGCTCTGCTCTGCCAACAGCACCTCTCGTGACCGTCCACCCTCCTCCTCAGGTCCACCCGCCCCCCATTGAATACGGCTCTGGCGGTGCTCCTTCCACTCCCCGCCGCGTCCACCCTCCTCCTCATCCTGGTTCTGCTGGCCGACCCATCGCGCGCCTCCCATCTCCTCGCAGACAATCACCCATTGTCGAACCTCCCACTCCTCTGATGACAGCACCTACCCCTCGCGGCAAGAGACGCGCCACACCGCCAAAGAAGAGGACTCCCTCATCTTCTTCCTCGGCTTCCGGTGTTGGTGACCAACAGTTTCGCTTTGGCAATGCCATGTTTGTCAACTTTACGTCCGAGGACGCCGATCTGTTATTGGCCGGTGTAGCGCCCAGTGGGGCTATGGCGAAGAAGAAGAGAGATAGGGAAGCGGCGTTGTTGGAGCAAGAGCAGGAGAGATATCGAGTGAAGAGGTCGAGAAGTTAGAGTGTCTTTTTTCAGTTCATCTTTCGAGGTCGTATCAATTTAGAATCTGTTCTCATCTTTTCATGGCTATACGTGTGTTGTTTCAGTCTTCAGAATGTGTACTGTATAATTTTCCGTCGTCGTATAGCAGACAGATTCTTGATTTTCTCGGACTTGGTTTAGATGCTTGTTGAATAGAGATCATGCATGGACACTTTATCATTCGACGTCATCTCAATGCGAGTTATGCTACACTTTATAACACTTGATGCAAACACGCAAGGCCTCAGATACCATCCCATGGCCAAATCTTGTGCCCCTTACACTCCTTCTTCAACCACTCCAACGCATCCTTATCCTCGTCCGCTTGCAAGAGCGGCTCCAAAGCGTCTTGCACCGACCTGTTGTGGTCGTTGATCCATTTCGCTTCGTACTTGGCCATGAGAGCCCAGTCGACCAAGGTGGTTTGGATGGGGACTTGGGTGATGCGTTCGAATGTCAGAAAGTCGGAGGGTGGTTGGCCTTCTTCAACCTGTCATGCTCCCGTCAGCTTGATAGGAAAGCGAGCAAAGAGAACAAGGCCTACCTCAACAGGTTTGCAGAGCAGGACGCTCTCGATGCGGATACCGAATTCGCCCTCCTTGTAATAACCCGGTTCGATAGTCGTCACATGGCCAGGCTCGAAAGCACTATTCTTGGGAAACATGGGATCTGTCAACATGGTTAGATTCGTTCTCTGGAGGTATGTCGTGACAGCTCACTCTCATGGACAGCAAGATACGAGCCGACACCATGTCCTACACCACTACCAAAGTCATCAGCACGCGAATCAATCTTATTCCGGAATCAACTCACTGCCCAAAATCAAGTCCTTCTTCATACAGCTTCTCCCTCGCCGACATTGCCAGCCGATCCGCTGGCATCCCTCTAGGGAACTTGGCTCGGCTGACCGCAATATGCCCTTGCAGCACTCTAGTATAAGCGCGCTTGATCTCTGGAGAGGGGTTGGATCCGAAAAAATGGGTGCGGGTGGTGTCGATTGTGGCGTCGAGGTATTGAGCACCAGAGTCGCTGGATGGCTGTTAGTCATCCAATCTCTTCAATGAGTCAGGAGAAAGCGTACATGAGGTATGTTGTCTCGGGGTCGATTAGGCGGTCTGTACCTCTGTGAGGTACATAGTGAGGCGAGGCTACCAATGGTTAGAGCGGATCATCGAAAGGTTGAGCTACTCACCTGCGTTGGGTCCAGATGCAGAGATATCATCATATGCCAGCCCACTAATCGTCCATCAGCACTTATACGAAAGGTCGACAAAAGAACATACGCAAAGTTCTCTTCCCTCCTTCTCTCCCTCCCCAACGCCATCGCCGCAGCCCACTCACCCACCTTCTTCCCATCCTTCATCAAAGCCTTCTCCAACCACGCAAACCACCTCACCATCGCATGCCCATCCCTCAGATACGCATTACGGAAGTTTTGCTGTTCAACAGAATTCTTGATAGCTTTGATGGTGTCGATGGGGCATGGGGAGAGGGTGCGGATAGGGGCGGAGGATGGGGTGAGATGGGAGAGGGCCCAGCTACACTCTGGGGGAGCCAGGATGTGGAGTTTGGATTTCTCTTCTTGTGCAGAGGCGAGCTCTTTCAGAAAGGTCCCAACTTGCTCAACACCATACGGTCGTACCTCTATCCCCTCATCTTCCCACCTATTACCCAGCTCTTCCGTGATCTTCTTCCGATCCACAAAGATCACACACTTGTCGGGGGTCAGAGCCAAGTAGGCGTATGCCACGGGGCAGAATGGAATGTCGTCCGGGCATCTGTAGTTGAGAAGCCATGCGATAGCAGGGAGTGTGGGGAGGATGTAGACCCAGTCTTGGCTTGTCGAGTTGTTGCCCGAGATGGCTTTGGCCAAGGCGGCGCGAGAGCGGGCTAGCTTTCTGGGCGTGTCTTCGCCAGAGAGGGAAAGAGGGTAGGCATTGATAGGGCCTGTAGATCGAGCTGGAGGGTTCCATACCTTGTCGATCAGGTTCTGAGAGATGGGAACCAAAGTGGTCTTGGAGTCGATCGATGTTAGACGAGATTGAATCGTCTGGGCGAGGCCTGTGGCAGGTCAACACTGACCTAACTTGTCGAGTTTGAGAGCCTTACTGAGTGAGATCAACTTTGGGTCGATACCAATTCGCGATCCTTCCTCCGCTTCCTATGAATGGCTCAGCCTCTGTACAGATTGATAGACAGAAGCCGACTTACATTAACAGCCCACTCAACCCAACCACCTACAACATCTCCCCTCCCACTACCACCCTTCGACCCAACCCTGACAACTTTCCATCCCTCCACCACTTGCTGTTCTGCCTGTATCCAGTACCTCGAGTCGACAAACAAGAGGGCTTCGTGGTCGAACGATGAAGGGATGATGGCTGTACCAGCTGATCCGGTGAATCCGGATATGCATTGACGGCGTTTCTCAGAGTCGCCTACTTCTTCAGACTGTGGGAGTGTCAGAAGGTCTCCTAAAGAATGCTATTATAGCTTATATTGGTCTTACTTGGTGTTCATCTTCGCTCGGCACAACGCTAAGCACAACCTGTCAGCTCTGACACGCAGTCTGGCAGTAGCGCCGTCTGAGCTTGGACTCACTACCAATCCACTTTCGCATCCCCAACCTTCTCCCTGACTACCTTCAACCTCTTCTTGAGTTCATCTTCACTCTCAAGAGCAGTAAAGAGCTTGTCCATATCGACAAAGGACGCGCAAACCGGTGGCGGTGGCGCGAGGAGGTCATCATGGTCGTCAGCGGCGACGGGCTGTTTCTCGTTGATCTCCTCGTCTGCGGGGAGCTGGATCTGCCCTCGAGGGCCGGGGAAGAAGCAGGACATGGGGATAGAGTTGAACGTGTAAAAGATAGAGCCGAAATCAAGCCGAAATGGACAATCGTCATATTGTGGCTGGTCACCGACGGCCAGGAATCTGTTTACGTAAGCTCATACATATGCGAATCGCGTCGTCGAAGACCACGACCTTGCCACGACCAGCAAAATGTTGACATCTTTTGTTCTTGTTAACAGAAATCACGGCGCAATGGGCGACCCTCCACCACAGTCGTCTCCTGTAGCTGAAGGCCCTCCTGGCCCTTTCTCCCGCCTGTCTGAGAACGCACCGACACCGCTTATCCATCCCGAACCCGAACCCGAGCCTTCTCAGACGCTCGATATCGACCCTGCGAATGTTGGTAGTGCTGGAGCCCCCGGAACGCCAGATACTGGAGAGGAAGACAGCAAGCCTATAGAGGCTGAGAATGCTCCTCAAATACCCCCAGCATCAGGGGCCATCGACAATGATGTCGAAATGCACGACGCCTCTGAAGAGCCGTCCAGCAGCGGACACGCCGACTTTACACCAGGGCCATCTACAGCTGCTAGCTCTCCCTCAAAGATGGAAGCGGTGGACCTTGCGATGAGTCAGTCGAATGGTAGTTCTCATTCGGGTGCAAACAAGAAGAGCCTTACGAATGGCCTGAAGAGTGCGACGAGTAGCGCACCTTCTTCGAAAAAGGGCAAGGGGAAGACCAAGGTATGGGTCTTTTGGTTTAGGGGGGAATTTGAGCTGATGTATGTAGGTGGACGAATTGAAGGGAACACGAGATGGAATACCAGTACGTATCCGAGCTACATCTTTCCACCATTTCGTCATTTCGTCTAACCATTCCACCAGGATTCTCGTTCCGCTACACCTCCCACCCCCACAACCCCCACCCAATACACCTCCCCCTCCGGCGCCCCCGTCGACGGAAGGGCAGTATACTGCATCTGCCGAAGACCATACGACGAAGAAGAGGACGAAGGTCTCATGGTTGGGTGCGAGAGTTGTGATGGGTGGTATCATGCGGAATGTGTGGGTTTGGATGAGGACAAGGTGGACCTTTTGGATGTGTATATTTGCAAGAGCTGTGAAAGAAGTGAGTGATTTTTGTTGTAAGGGGGGTTTTGCTGACAGGGCTGGAGGTACTGCTCAACGGACGATGTACAAGCAGGCCTGTAAGCGCGATGGGTGCTACAAGTCGGTCGCTGGATCGAATTCCAAGTGAGTTCTTCTTAACGCGAATGAATGTTTCTGACAGGTAAACAGATTCTGCTCAGCTCGTTGCGCATATCGGTACTCTCAAGCCGCTCTCGGCGCTGTCACCAGCAAACAGTCCCTCAAGCAACTCACCAAAGGCCTCGCCAACTTTCCATCTCCAAACCTCGGCGTATCCATCATCCACCACATCCCCCCTACGACACCTGATGTCTCTCAATCCCCATACGACGATGTACAATTCCAACTCTCGATGATCCAAAGCCAACTCGAATCCACGTTGAAGGCTATCAACATTATCCAGAAACGTCAAGCCGTGTTGAGCGCTGCGATCGAAAAGTGCGACAACCTCACTCCTATCGTTTTTGATGATGGAGCACCACCAAAGAAGAGCAAGAAGAAGGGGGGCGGGCCAGCACCGCCGAAAGAGGACAAGCCATGTGGCTGGGTAGTCGTCTTGATAGCAGAAGACGAAGAGGTCGACCAGGGTGTCAAGGGGCATGGGGCAGGGATAGTTGTAGAGGGGGCAGAAGAGTGGCAAGTGTGTATGCTACCTCGGAGAAAGTGTGATCGGCATCAAGGGTCAGTTGTCCTGGGTTTGCGGGTTGGGTTGAACGAGCTGATGAGGTGTAGGTGGCAGAAGACTATTGCTGTAGCTTTGGATTTTGAGCTTGCGACTTTGGCAGGTGCAATAGATTGTTATAGGGATGTCACTGATGATTGTGTAGAGCCGAACACAGAACTCGCTGCTAGAATGCCAACGGTCGATTGAAGAAGCCCTCGAGACGCAGAGGATTTCGACTGAAGCGCGGTCAGTCATGGCCTCCACATTCTCCATCCTCCTCGGGTGCGGTGCTGACGGGCATGCAGCGACTCTTTCGTGGCGAAACGAGATAGCGTCAAGCGACCGTGACATGCATAGGAGTAGGCAGGCTGCGTATGCATGCATTCGTCTGCTAAATCGGGAGCGATGAATGGAGGTGGAGGTATGACGTAGTGTCCCGTTACGTTCCATACATCATCGTTCCAGCTATATATATGCTCGCAATCCCCCTTCTTCCCCCTTCTTCTCTCTCCCATCCACCATGAACCGCTCACTCCGCCTCCTCAAGCCCCACCCAGCCTACGCATTCCCCGCCCGCCCTATCCACACCGCCCTCCCTACAAACCTCGCCAGGCCCTATGCCTCCCCCGTTTCTCCCCTCGCAAAGCATGCTGCTGCCCGTCTCGGCCTTTCGTCTTCTTTGCAACGCTCCATGAGGGGCTATGCTACCGAGCCGCCAAAAGACGGTAAAGACACAGAGTACAGAGAAGCCCAGTCCAAGACACCGAGTGCCGCGTCCGAGGTGCGTTCTTGCACTCCGCTCTGCCTGCTCCTGCTGACATGGCTACGAAGGTCAAAAACTTGGCAGGCGGATTTGCGCAGGTCATTGCTGGTAACAGTGTTGAAGCTGCCGCTGCTGGTGCACGAGAACAGTCAAACCCCCGAGTAGCCGGGTCGCTCCATGACGACTTTGTGGGCGCTACGCAAGGCCTAGCGAAGGAAGTCCCCAAATCCGCTATGGTGCTAGGCAAGTGCATTCGATCTAACATGGGGTAGTTGCTAATATATGTATAGGTATGGCCGGGTCGATTCCATACCTCGTGTCTTCTCTGGGTACGATCGTCCTCGCTCGACAAGCCTCGATCGCCAGTGCAGGTAAGCCCTCTCCCTTGCTTAAGCGTCAGTATCTGACTTATCTGTCCAGCCGAGACCATCAACCCCGATGACCTCCACGCCATCCTCTCCAACCTCCACACCCTCGAACACGCCCAAATCACCTACGGCGCCACCCTCCTCTCCTTCCTCGGTGCCATCCACTGGGGCTTCGAATTCTCCAAATACGGCGGTGAACAGGGATACAAGCGTCTTGCCCTCGGTATCGCCCCCGTGCTCTTTGCCTGGCCGACGACCTTCTTGACGCATGGTGTCGCCCTCGCCGCGCAGTGGTGTGGTTTCACCGGTGCTTGGTTCCTCGACCAGCGGGCCGCGACGGCCGGATGGACACCGCCCTGGTACTCGACTTATCGGTTCTACCTCTCCCTCGCTGTGGGATTTTCTATCATTGCTACTCTTTCTGGTACGAGCTTCTACGGTGCCGGGGCAGGGTCTGATGTGGACCCCGACACGAAGCGGTTCTACCACACGACTGAGCGGGTGTCGCCCCTTGAGAGGTTTAATCGATTGAAGGAGAGGTATAATAATGAGTCGGCGAGGATTGAGGGAAAGGTGAAAGGGGATGTGTATGTGGAGGAGGATAAGGAGAGTTTCCTTCGTCTGAGGAACCCGGTGAAGGAAGAGGAGCAGAGGAAGGAGGCAGAGGAGGAGAAGAGGGAAGAGGAAGAAGCTGCCAAGAAGAAGGAAGAGGAGCAGAAGAAGAAGGATGCGGAGCAGGCCAAGAAGAGCGACCAGAAGGGAAATGACGTAAAGGAGCCCAAGAAGGACGAGGGTGAGAAGAAGGAAGAGCCCAAGAAGGACGCTGGTGACAAGAAGGATGCCGGTGCCGATGACCAGGAGGCCAAGAAGAAGGAGGCTGCGGAACAGAAGCCTGCCGCTGGTGACCCCAACACTGGTATGAAGGGGAACAGCTTCGGGTGATGGAGATTGTCGTATGAAGTAGAAGAAAGAAGTCAATTGTAGGTCTAACCAACAACAAACAATGTATACAAAGTTATCAACGCTCGAGCTTCGAGGCTCATGTCTCTGCTCAAGCTTCTCGCACCAAAAGTCTAAATAATGTGGAGCGGTAAGGCTATGGGAGTACAAGAGGTAGTGCAATAAATGGCAAAAGCGGCGAGCGTGAACAAGAGGCTGACGCATACACCCCGCGCACCAAATCGCGAAGTATCTGAACGACTCTGCATTTGAATGAATTGACCCTGCTGGTCATCCGCTGCCAAGTCCACCTCTGGAACAATCAGTGCTACAGTAATCTCATGTCCATGCGTGCGTACATCGTCATCGAGGTCCTTTGGGGGCTTAGAAAGGTCGGGCAAAGAGTGGGTCATGACAACCTGGCGGCCAGCAGACCCGAGGAGGTGGATACCCGACCATGGTGTCCATGTCGAACAGTAAGCTCAAGCAGACCATCAGTAATTCATGTATGTACTGTGCCTGATAGCACCCAATAACTTGGTACGAACTCCGTCACCCGACACAACGCGCTGCTGCCACAAAGATTGTTTCATCAAAAATAATCAAAAATAAAAATAAGAAATAAAACACATATTTTACCTCGGTCAGTCTATCAGTCAATCTTGCAATCTGTACTGGCCATGTACCAAATACAACACTGTTCTTTGCTACGCCCCGCTTCCTCTGGTACACCGCTCGCCCTCCGTCTCGCCCGATGCATACGAAAAAGCAGCCTTTGTTTGTTGCTGTTGATACACAGACCACGTGACCTCGGATGAGGTTCCTTGTGCAGAACCTCAGCGTCGTGGTCTCTGCGCCATTCGGGTCGTGATCTATTTCGCCGTTGCTTTTCATTCGTTCAACTCCCATTTCCCTCCGGCTCCCCCGCCTGGTCCTCCCCCCTCCCCCCTCGTCGAGAGGTATCCCTACATCATGCTCCGCGCTCGCCCGCCAGCGGGCCTCCTCTCCCAACGCCTCTCAGTCCTTCGGCCGATGCCCCCGCAAGCATCTTTTAGATCTTTTCAGCCAAAACCAATCCCAGTCCAGTCTCTCGTCGTCCAACAGGCGAAGCCCCGTTTCTTTCACTCGCAACACCGTCCGACGTTCCGAAATGCCCAGAGGGGCCTCGTTCTTCGAAGTCTCCACATCCCATCTTTCCCCCCCGATTCCTTCGTCGCCAAGTACCCCTACTTTTCGATCCTCGTCCGACTGATCCTGTCCTCCGTTCTTGGACTGGTCGTCCTTACCGGTGTGATTCTTTGTCACGATGCTTTCACCTATTCTGAGCGACACGTCGATCGAGTACCTTGCAACCCTCTTGCCCTCACGCCTCGACGTGGAGGCAAGAAGAACTTGCCTATCATCGAAGCGAACTTGGACAGCGAAGAGGACGACACGAAGCGAGCAATGAGGGACAAGCCTAGATTGGTCATTGTCGGTGGTGGCTGGGGCGTGAGTACTTTCTCTGTCACGTAGATCGTAAACTGACGCGTGCCATCAGGCCGTGGCCCTCATCCAATCACTCCCTGCTCACGCCTACAACGTCACCCTCATCTCTCCTCAAACCTACTTTTCTTTCACTCCTCTTCTGCCTTCTGCTTGTGTCGGCACTGTCGAGCCCCGATCCTTGGTGGAGCCTCTTCGAAAGCTCATCGCCCGAGTCCGAGGTCACTACTTGATGGGGTCGGCTGTCGATCTCGACATGGCTGAAAGGCTCGTGGAGGTTGAGGTCCGTGGCGATGAGGGAAAACCTCCCAGTCGATGTTACATTCCTTGTAAGTGACCAGTGGCGAATTTCGATCACATGCTAATCTGCTGTAGACGACAGGTTGGTCATTGCTATCGGTTCTACCACAAACCACCACGGTGTCAAGGGTCTCGAGCACTGCTACCAGCTCAAGACTGTTCCTGACGCCCAGGCTATTCGACGAAAGGTCATGGGTACGTACCACCTTTGACTTTCCGAACCCGGCTGACTTGTGTATAGGCAATCTCGAGCTCGCCTCTTTGCCTACTACTACCCAGGCTGAGCGAAAGAAGCTCTTGTCCTTTGTCGTCTGTGGCGGTGGTCCCACCGGTGTTGAGTTTGCTGCCGAGCTTGCCGATATGATGGCTGAGGATGTCTTGAAATACGTGCGTATCTTTCCTCTTTTCGGTTTAGTGCAAAGCTGACTTTTTCGCAAAAGTACCCTAAGATCCTGTCCAACGAAGTCAACGTCACCGTAATCCAGAGCCGAGACCACATTCTCAACACCTACTCTGAGAAGATCTCCCAGTACGCCGAGTCTCGATTTGCCCGTAACGATGTTACTGTCATCACCAATGCCCGGTAAGCCGTTCACAAAGTCAAGCAAACACACGCTGACGCCACTTGCAGTGTTCAGGAGGTCACTCCAGACCAGGTCACAATCACTGTCAAGGATCCCAAGAACAAGGAAGCCAAGCCTGAAACAAGAGATATCGAAGCCGGTTTCGTGCTCTGGAGTACCGGTATCGGTTCGTGCCCCCTTCCCCTTTCTTTTAAACCCCGAACTGATAAACGCTTCAGCGATGCAGCCTTTCACTCAACGTCTAGTCGAAGTCCTCCCAAACCAGTATCACTCCAAGGCCGTCGAGGTCGACGGTTATCTCCGAGTCCAAGGCGCGCCCATGGGAACCGTCTACGCCCTTGGAGACTCGGCCACCGTCCAGACCAATTTGATGAATGACTTGTACCACCTTTGGGACAAGTTTGATATCAACAAGGATGGTAGCATGTGAGTTCCTCGGCTCTGTCTTGTCCGAATTCAGCTGACGGCTGTGCTAGCGACTATGATGAGTGGCAGCAAATGGTCAAGTACATCAAAAAGAAGCACCCCTTGGCTCACAGGTCTCTTTCCAAGATGTAAGTGGCATCCTCCTCGATTGAGACCAATACTGACGATCTTGAACAGGCGAGATGTCTTTACCGAGTACGACCGAGACAAGGATGAGAAACTCACCTTGAACGAAATTGCCGAGCTTTTCGCCCACTTGAGTAAAAAGGTCACCAGTTACCCTGCTGTATGTTTTCTTCCTACTTGCACAGCCTTGCTTTAGCTGACGGATTCCCCAGACCGCCCAAGTCGCAAGTCAGCAAGGCAAGTACCTCGGTGCTAAATTCGGCAAGCTCGCAAAGCAGCGTGAAACCCTCGCCAAGAACGGTATCATGGACCTCGACGACGAAGCTTACTACAAGCCCTTCGAGTACATGCACCTCGGGTCGTTGGCGTATATTGGAAACTCGGCGGTGTTTGACTACGAGGGATGGTCTGTGGCTGGTGGATTGTTGGCGATGTACGCCTGGCGATCGTACGTTTTTTTCCTCGCATCGTATGATGGGCTCGAGCTAACACAATGCACAGTATCTACTGGTCGGAACAGACATCGATGAGGACGAGGTTGTTGTTGATGCTTGACTGGGTGAAGCGAGGTATCTTTGGTCGAGATCTGTCCAAGGTAAGTCACTCTCCCGCTTTACCCCTAGGTGACAGCTTTGCTGACGAGGGGCACAGTTCTAAATACAATTGCATAAACACATAGATGGTGTATTTTTCTGATAGACGTAGCGATTTCCGGGGGGTATGCATTGACATGATCTCCTTCCTACAGTCTAGTGATGCTGCCGTCGGATTGAACTCTCACCCGTACTCACCGCCTTAAGACCTAAGACCTTATCAGCTAGGCCAGATCTGAGATCCCTCTCCTCTACCCCCTGGGTCCCCTGGCCCCTGCAAGGCTTTATCAGACTGTAGTGGCTGCGCAAAGTGTACAAGCAGAGTTGAAGTCACATGTGTCAGAGGTTGAAAGATACCCCTTGACATGCGTACGTGTGAGGTGGAGCCCAGAAGGATTCCAACCCTTAGTGACCCTGTAGACATGATTTATGATGAAAAGCCTGATATTGAAATATCGTACACGTGGGGACTGAGGGTGAGGGTGGGACCTTGAAAAGAAGCCCTCGGTTTGGGAGACGCATCGTTCCCTGGCAGCTCATCAAGCTCAGCGTCAAGGGTAGCCCGCCAACCATACCTCTTCCCGTACTCGTCGTCTTGATAGATCTGCTTGCCCTCTCTTCAGTAATGGTACAAGGCGCTGTACATGCTTGTCTGAGTGGTGATTTTCAAATTTATGTCAGACCAGCTACTATAAGCGCTCAGGGTGCACGCTGGAGCACAGTGGAGCAGAAGGAAGAAGGTGCCCTCCACCATCCGGTGCGCCTCCACGGCCTCCACCCTCTCGCTCGGATGTTGCAGCGTATAAGGTTGGTGCCATGGCAAGTTTTTCCAAAGTTATGTCACTCAAGAGACTTGCGGACCGGGTGCTGCCTATCTGCCAGCGCGCAAGGCCTGTCAGATTCCTGTGGGGCTTGCTGCGTAGTCTGCCCGAGCGCCCCGAGCCTGACGCCTGCTGGAATTTGGGAGAGGTCTCGTCACCATAATAGACTACCTCCATGGACTATCAGTACCGACCAGTGGTATCACAACGAGGGGGCAGACTCTGTCGGAGGGAGGCCGGCCCAGCAGTCGCAGTATTCCACTGGCCCTTTTCTCTTCCACCAACCACCGAAAGTCAGTACGTTTACAACTCGGCAACCTGCAACTCTATAGGTTTCTGTGAGATACTCTCACGTAATGAAGTGTGTATCACTATCATGCGTTCCGAGTTTACCGGATGGGCAGTTCACCGGATGGGCCTGACAGACATACATACGTGTTTGTGTAGACCGGAAGCCGACGAGGGCAGATGCGATAGCATTGAGCCGACCCCTCATGTGCTGTTGGATGATGACAGTCGGGTGATAGATTTGGAACCATTTGGGGTGTTCCAGTGTATATGGCTGGTGACCCTGGTGACTGCTGAAGAAAAAGGGGATCTAGCTGATACTGATACGAAGAATCTCACATGAAAAGAGAGACAGAACCCAGGGTGGCGGCTCAGGTGGAGAGACGTGGATGGGTGACTGCAAGAGAAAGAAGAAAGTTTGCTGCGCACTTTTTACGACTCACAGACCAGCAGAAAACCAGGCCTCAGGAAGTAGGACTCGAAGCAATACGTGAAAGGGCAGATGCCGAGAGGCATAAGGTTGAAATTGACGAAGAAGAGGAGACCAAAGAAGGCCTGCATCGATCGGATGAGAGTGAATGGCCCGACGAGTTGCCGACGAGCATTCTGCAGCGCCCAACGTTGTTCTCGAAGAAGGGATCGCTGATTACAAGAATGTTGTAATGCCGAGAAGAGTGACTAGGAATGACGAAATAGAGTTGCTAAATGAGACTCGAAGCCCGGAAGTCGGAAGCTAGAAGACGAGAGGCACCGGAGCAGAGAACTTTAAACAATCTGTGGCGTTCCTGCTCCCTTGAATCCTCATAAAGCTCCTGACGCTGCGAACCCTTATTCATCCCTATCAGACGCGTAATTCATCTATCTCCATCAAGGGACGCGTTTCTCTCTCCAGCCGGTCTCGCCGACCGCCGAGCATGTCGATCGCAGAGCTCGCCGCCGCAAACAGTAGTTTCCATGAACTGAAGTCGCTGAAGCTTCAGAGAATGCAAATTTCATCCTTCTCTTCTTCATCAACAATCGTCACACCTCTTTCTTCCGAGACCCCTTCCTCTTTCTGGCCCTGCGCCACTCCACCTCCTACCAGATTTCTGTGTTTGCGTCTGTCAAGTACAAATAGTTCGCTGAGCGTTCTTTGAGGTTCAAAAGACTGGTTCTTTTTCTTCGCTCGACACCTCTACCAGTCGCTCTCTTGAAGACTATCATCATATAAAAATCGCCAAAAGCTATACTATCTTCTATAAACTCTTCAAGCACATCTTCCACATTGACTTGAACGAAGCCTATGGTAAGTTGACATACACCTTCCTCCGGCGCCCACGAGTACTGACCTCAGCGATAGACTGCCGTCATCATGCTCGTTCAAATTCTCTATCTCCTTGCGGCCTTGTTCCTGTCCTCTGTTGTACATGCGGGTGACTCGGCCTGGCACTTGGACAATATTTGGTCCCTCGTGAATGAGGAGCTGGATCCCATTATCTCCCCCAATGCCCAGTCTAGCCACATGCACGCCATTGTGGGCGGAAGTAAGATGGCCGCCTACTACAACTATGCCGATTACGCTGCAGCCAAGTGCTCGTCCTTGGAGGTGCAGGCCGATAAATCCAACTATTGGATGCCTCGTGAGTCCACCAACATCATCCTCCGCTTTTAGCTAACACCTCGACAGAACTCTATGTCGTCGACCACGATCTCAGCGAATTCGTCCCCGTCTCTGCCAAGGTTCGGTTCTACTACTTTTTGGCCAAGAACAGCGACAACGACCCCGTCTCTGCCTTCCCCAAGGGTCTCCGATTGGTCGTCGGTAACCCGAACAACAAGGCTGTCACCGACGTCGCCAGTTTCACCTGTCAGATCAACTCGGACTTCAGTGACTCTGTCGTCGCCAACGACTTCAACTTCGATCGGGACTGCCCCTACGGTATGAAGACCGAGCTGTACTTTCCTCCATGCTGGGACGGTTACAATTTGTACAAATCTGATGGCTCGCACATGTCGTACCCCAGCAATGGTGTTCGAGATGGTATGTGCCCCTGGTCTCACCCAATCCGACTCCCGTAAGCCTCACCCCTATCTTCTACTCATTCCCTGCTGACACCATTCCGCCAGAGCTATTCAATTGGAGTACACATGGTACACTTCCAACTACAACCCTGGAACAGCACTAAGTGGCAACCTTGCTTGGGCTAACGGAGACACCACGGGCTACGGTGTCCACGGTGACTTTATCAACGGATGGGATCTTGACGTTCTCAACGCCGCGTTGAACGACACCAGCTGCAACAACATCGGCAAGTCCATGTGAGTACCCGACCGAAGCGGAGTCAAAAAGCGGCATCTAACATTCGTCCTCTAGCACCATGAGCGACTGTCCGACTTTGTACAAGTACTTTGACGCTACCGCTGCTGCTGCCTGTACACCTGAGAAGGGCACTCTTACAGAGCCTACAGGAAACGCCAACAACGTCGCTATCGATGCCCTCCCGGGTTGCAACCCTCTGTGGTCCAGTGGTACCAAGCCCACTTGCAGTCCTGCCGTTGCTGGTCTCGACGCCTCGGCTTTCACCGGTACCGACGGTTCTTTGATCGCTGCTACGGAGGACCAGAAGAAGTTTGTCTGGCCCACCACCCCTGGCTTCAAGAACATTGCTTGTCTTCACGACATCAGCTCTGTTGTCGGTGGTACTTCTTATACCGACTCTTATCTCACGGTCGAGTCTTGTACCGCCCACTGTCTTGCTTCAGGTTACCAGGTAAGCATTCGAGCCTTCCCAAAAATCATTTGCTAACGGTTGTCTCCAGTTTGCCGGTACAGGACAAGTCGGAACAGGATGGAACTGTGTCTGTGGAACGGGCATCAGCTCTTCCGCTCTTGTCGAGCCCGGCATGTGTACCACCGCGTGAGTCAATCATCTCAACGGTACAGGAATACCTCTGACACAGATCATAGCTGCCCTGGCAACAGCACTGAAAACTGTGGAGGCTCTTACATCTTCAGCATTTGGTACGCCCCCAACGGCACGGTGGCCGATATCGGAAAGGACCGAGACGACGGCTCCAAGTACCTCGGATGCTACGACGACCCCTCGACGGTATCAGATGGCTTGCTCGGCAAAGCTACCTACAGCTTCTCTTCCAACAGCATGACGACCGAGGTCTGTATCGAAGCTTGTGCTCAGCAAGGAACCAGCTGGGCTGCTACTTTGTCTGCTGTGAGTTTGATTCGTGTTGATTAAGACGTGGACTGACGGGTTTGCAGAAAAACTGCTACTGTGGAGACGAATACTACTATGGAACCGGTGCTCTCATGCCTACCAGGTATTGCTGTACGTCGCCCCCGAGTCTTCACTTTGACAGCGCTGATCTAGGGCGTAGCTGTTGCCTGTGCTGGAAACTCGAGTGAATACTGCGGTGACTACTACAAGTCCTCGCTCTACAACATCACCTCTGTCAAAGTCACCAACTCTTCTGCTGGATACATGGAGGGCTACCAAGGCTGCTACCAGGACAAGAGCGGTCATCTTGCCTTGACCAACAACTCTTGGACTTCTACCGCCATGACTGCCGCTCAGTGTGTCAACGGTTGTTCTGAACTTGGTTACTCTTATGCTGGGTACGTTCCATCGCCTATGTGAGGAGAAGATGCTGACCATGGTGATAGTGTCGAGAGTGGCAATACTTGTTACTGTGGTAGCAAGGTCTCTAGTACTGTAACCGTCCTCCCTGCTTCCCAATGGTCAGTACCATTGTACCCACTTTGTATCATGCTAACCTGGCTCTAGTCAAACGGCTTGTACGGGTAACACGACAGCGACATGTGGTGGTACCCAAGCTTTGGACCTGTACACTGTCGAGGGCGCGGTCAACACCACAACCTCCCTTGCAGCCGCTCGACCTACGGGGTACTTGGGTTGCTTCAAGGACATGGGCTCCAACCTTGCCTTCAGCAACTACTACACCTACACATTCAAGTCCATGACGGTCGAGATCTGCAAAGCTGCTTGTGTGGAGCTCGGATAGTGAGTAGTCTTGAACTGGAAGGGACACGGGCTGACTGTTTTCAGCTCGTATGCGGGTGTTGAAGTACGCCAGAATGAGAATCGGTCGAATCGATGCTAACGTGACTCAGAACGCGAACCAATGTAACTGCGGCAACAATTACCCTCAAACCAGTCAGATGGTGTCCGGCCTTTACTGCACCAAGAGCTGTGCTGGCAACTCGTCTGAGACTTGTGGTGCCGGTGGTTATCTCGAGGCTTACACCTTGAGCAACTCTTCATCATCATCCACTTCGGTCATGGCCGGTACTTCATCGAGTGCCTACGTTGGCTGTTACGACAACAGCAACCGAGGTCTCGCCGCATACTCTTATGCCGACAGCGGGATGACCGTCGAGGTTTGCCGCACCACTTGTGCCGAATTCGGCTACAGCTTGTCTGGGTATGTTGTCGCTTTCGAAACGATGGGTTTGGCTGACGCAAAACAGTGTCTACCTTGGGCGATACTGTGGCTGTGGTAACTCTTGGACTGGCGCTACTCAGAAGTACCCATCTAGCTCGTGCCAGAACTACGCCTGTAGTGGTATGTTGCTTTTTTCGTGCACCACCCGCCTAGTCCTGACCATCCTCTAGGCAACAGCACCGAATGGTGTGGTGGTTTGACGCAGCTCGCCATGTACAATACTTCCGGTGTCTCTACCAGCCACAAGAAACCCACTGGATGGCTGTCTTGCTGGACTGACTCCTCTTCATCCCGATCTCTTACATCGTATTCGTACTCTGCGAGCCCCATGTCTGCCAAGGCTTGTCGAACGGCTTGTAATCAACAAGGTTACGCTTATGCTGGAACTGAGAACGGTAAGCTTGCCGTTATCAACATGGATTGATCTTAACGAGACTACAGGTAACCAGTGTCACTGTGGCAACACCCTTGCTGGAGAGAAGGCCCCGACGTCTCAATGCAAGATGACTTGTACGGGTACAACTGCGAATGAGACTTGTGGTGCTTCCGGCTATATGGACCTCTACAACGCCACTGGCGCTTCTTCCGATAACGGTATTTCTGTAAGCTGATACAGTTCTGATCGTGAATGGTACTGACGCTCTTTAGGGCTATCTCGGATGCTACACTGATGACACCAAGCTCACCGGCAACTCGTTTGTCAGTGATTACATGTCTGTTGAAGTCTGTGCACAGTGGTGTCTTGCCCGAGGCACCACTTATGCCGGTGTTCGCAATGGAAACCAGTGCAAGGTAAGCTCAACTCTGCTATCCTAGTTCATGTTCTAACCCCGCTCTTAGTGTGGCAACACCTCTCCCAGTCTTGTGACCACGCTCGCTGCCTGTAACACGTCATGTACCGCGACTGGTGCGACTTCCGAGCCTTGTGGAAGTTCTTCTGCTATCGGTGTATACACCATCGCCGATACCACCGTCACATCTGGCGAATTCCCCATTACGACAAACTCCAGTGGGTATGCTGGATGCTACAAGGAGGGCTCGACTCGAATGCTTCCTTCTTACTCCTTCTCTTCCAACTCTATGACCAACGATCTTTGTCGGTCTAGTTGTAAGACTCTTGGATATGCTTATGCCGGCTCGTGAGTACTCTGTTCCCGTTACTTGAATTCCTTCTGACTGGATTCCAGACAATATGCCACACAATGTTACTGCGCTGCCTCTTTGAACGCTACCGCTGGCGGTTACCAGATCCAAGAAAGCAACTGTGCTATGGATTGCAAGGGCGGTGTCGGCAAGTGTGGTGCTGGAGGCGTCCTTTCTCTCTGGACCACATCAGGCCTGAACAGCTCCACTGCCACTGTCGAAGGTCTCCAAGGTTGTTACGCGATCGGATCCTTCCTCCGATCTCCCGGCCTCACGTACAGCGGTGACTACATGACTACCGACCTCTGTCGAAGGACCTGTCGATTTGGAGGATGGTCCATTGCCGGTCTCACCAACGGAAACGGTTGTTACTGCTCAAGCACTGCCAACTATGGATCCCAGGTCGCTCCTGCGGTCTGTAACGCGGCGTGCAAAGGTCAAACCAACCAGACTTGCGGTGCCACCTCTTCCGGAGCCTTCTCCATCTTTGACACTACGGGCGCCGGCGCTCAGCCTCCTTCTGGCTACCCCGACGACTATGTCGGATGTATGTCTGATGGGTCTCCTCGAAAGTTGTCCGACTATTCTTTCAAAAATGGAGGTATGACTAGTGCGATGGTTCGAAAGCTTGCGATTGCCGGGGGCTATCCCAGCTACGGTACCGAAAGTTCCAACGAGGGCTACATGGGCTACAGCAAGCTCTCGCCTCCTCTTTTGCCTGATACCTACTGTACTTCTATGTGTCCTGGTGAGTCTTATTCTAGCGACTTGTTTACATTTGCTAACCGTGGTGTAGGTGCCCCTACTGAACGATGCGGTGGTGGAGGAAGACTGTCATACTACTACATGGCCTCCGTGTCCAACACCACAGACACCAGTACATCGGCCGCTGCGACGTCCACTTCGGTCTCTGCCAACGCCACGTCTACATCGCCTGTCAGCACGACCGTCAACGTTAGTGTCTCTACGTCTGCCTCTAGCAGCGCCTCGAGCTCTCGAGTCTCGTCCAACGCCGGCTCTTCCAGCGCCGGAACCACATCTGCTCCTTCGTCTTCTTCCAACAGTACGAGTACTGGTTACCTCTCGGCTGTTTCTACCAGCGCCATCGTCAGTATTGGTACACCTTCCACCTCGTCTATGCCGAGTGTGAGCGCCAACTACAGCGTATCCACCGTACCCGCGCAGTCTACGACAACGTCTACTCCTGTCGGCCCCAGCTTGTTTGCGAGCAACTCGTCGGTTTCTACCATCGCTCCTGCTCTATCGACGTCGCCTGTTGCCAATACGAGCTCTGTCACTTCTTCTCGAAGCTCTTCGGCGGTCTCATCGAGTGTATCAGCCAATGCCTCTACTTCGGCCTTCTCGTCTATCGTGGCATCTTCCATTGCGCCTTACAGCTCTGCCTCGCCTACCAACACTTCTTCTGCGGTGTCATCTACCGCGGCTTCATCCTCAGCATCTACCCAAGCTCCTTCATCCGCGACCTCCTCCAGCTCATCTTCCACCGTCTACTCTACTGTCTACTCGACGGTGACAGTCTCTATCGGCACCTCGTCTTCCACTCCCTCTAGCACCTCATCTTACACTGCTCCCTCTGCCACTGGCACTTCCTTGGGCTGTTACACTGGCTCCTCCTCATCTTTCGCCAACTCCAAGATGACGAGCCACGAGAACCTCACCCCCAGCATGTGTCAGATCTGGTGTAACGCCAATTACTACACCTATGCCGGTCTGAGCGGTGGAAACAGTTGTGGTTGCGCTAGCGACTTGTCGGGCTTGACCAACTCTACTGCTTCAAGCTGTTCCACGAGCTGCTCTGGTGATTCCAGCCAGAGCTGTGGTGGTACTGCCGATTCGGTGTACTCCATCTACCAGGCGGTGGCTGCTACCAGGTCCCAAAAGAGGTCCGAGAGTGTGGAGCCGGCCAAGCGGAGAACGGCGGTCCATGGGCGACGCGTGATCAACAGGATGGCTAACCGAGCTTGGTTGTGATGTATGAGGAGTTTTGTATTTGTTCTTTCATTCCCAGCCTGAGGGCACCTTTTAGATCTTTATATTTTTACTATCATTTTATATTCCGCGACCTCCTGTATTTGTAGAGGCCGTGATATCATGCACATCCATTCCTTTTCACGTTACAGAACATGGTCATGCAAAGTAGTAGTGATTGTGCATGATGCTCGTACAGTTTGACAATGCTATGCCGATGATTGCTATTTATAATGCCTTAAGTTGCGTTGTTTGTCCCTCATGATCTTTCCTGTCCCTCAAGAAGATCAAGAGGGCTTCGTACACCGTCCACCCGATCGCCGCACTCGCCGCTTTCCGTGATATTCTCAATGATGTACCCGAGAACAGACCCGCTATGCCTCGTTCCTATCAATCCTGTCAGCACATTCTCTTTTCAAAATCTCCCCTTCTGGAACCGAAGAACCGAAATGATGACTCACTTGTATGATCCTCTCAACAGCCTTTTTCAACGTCGGATGTTCAGCCGGATTGACCTGCATCCGCGTCTTGACAACGTCGGCGGGGGACGTGATGATGGTAGCTAGCATAGCTGCCATGACACCCGATCCTGAATGTATAGCGGCATTCGGTACCCCCGGAAGTTTGCCTAGAGTCAAGTCAGCTCCTTCTCTATCCTCGCGAGTCAGGCAAGAAAGGAGACGTACCTGCAACCTCCTTACATTTCTCATAAAAGACGAGATACATCCCTGCATAGGGTGCGTCTCTTACAGCAGTCGCTGTGAATCCCTGGAAGAACCCTTTGATGCCTTGTGTCCGGTAGAGCGAAGAGAGGGCGCCGAATATTGAATTATAATCTGAATACCTGCTGCTCTGTAGACTCGCATTAGCCTACACCCCTCCAAGCACATGTAGAGGTACGCACTTCGAATCTCGCCTTGACCACCGTTATTGGGCTCAGCACAAAGCCCACCGACGTCCGTCCTACAGCACCTGCCAACAGGTTGCCTCCAGAAGAAAGCTTGACAATCGCCGATCTCGACCCCCCTTCTGTCTTGACACCCAATGGTGACTTTGAATCGCATATAGGCGCTGCTGGTACGGTGATGGCAAAGTATGGGATATGCGATAGACGATTACGGATGTGGGAGAGAGAGTAAAAGTATATGGCTACACCGGGGACATTCCTACGTCATTTGTCAGACCTATCGCCTTTTGCCAGCGAACAAGGGGGAAGAAGGGACGTACCGTACTAGCGTTGGGACTGTTCCCCTCCAGAGACCTTGAATACCATCGTCTTTGAGGACTTGGGTGAAAACGCCTCGTAGTCTTTGTCTATATAGCCCGATGCCCATTTGTCAGCGGTCGATCTTTCTCCATACTCGTCTCTCGTTCACTCTCTTCACATATCCACCTCCGTATCATGGACTGGCTGCCGTACCTTTTGTTAGCAACCCCCCCTTGGCTCTGTTGAAGCCTAGTCTTGAGCAGATCGAGAGGCTGGAGGACGATAGCCGAGGAGAGACCAGACAGAGCGCCAGAAGCGAGGTGGTGGGATGCTTGGAGGTTTAATTTGCTGGCGGGAGGGGATATGGGGGCGGCGGTGGAGACGGGGAGGGGGAGGGCCATGGCGGTGGTGGAGAATGGAGAATGATAGAGGAGAGTAACCGAAAACCGAAAATGCGCGCCAAGTCGTCGCGCCCGCCGGCCAAATAGTTGCGAATGCATTTGTGAACGACGCTTTCACAGTCCATGGATACATCTGCTCTTGTAGAGTACAGGAGTCGGTAGCCCATAGACAGCCATGGTAATGCCCCTACCATCGATGCCGCATGCTGCCCCCGCTGACAGTGTTCCCAGGACAACTCGGTCGACTCTCTCCTCGCCCTCCTCCGCTCGACCCAAGACGGACCTCCTCCTTCCCAGCCAACCACTTCCAACAACAACACATCCAATACCCGCCAAGTCCCTTCATCGTCTCAGCTCAGCGACCTCCTCACTTCTCTCAATGCCCGGCCGCCGCCCAGGCCGCCAAAGCAAGGCGGAGCAGATCAAGCGCAAGGGCGAGCCAGGAAGGACATCTTAGAGCCCTTTGGTCCGGTAGGCGTGTCTGCTAGGCCATCAGTATCACCGGTGAAGAGGAGCAGGGAAGATACCGGTCGTGGAGGGGCCGAGGAGGAAGGGTCTTTTGGGCGAGTGAGGCAAGTGAGCAGAGGGGAGAGCTTTGATGGTGGGCAAGTCAAGAGCGCGAGAGTGGAGGAGCCGGCATCGGAAGAGATGTCTTTTGGAAAGGCTCTGCCTATCATAACACGACTATTAGAGGATGACAATCTCAAGAACGAGTTGCGAAAGGTACGTGTCTATAGCATCGGATCAAGCTGACGTCCGACAGATGAAACAGGATCAAGACTCTCTTGAGAGACGTTTATGGGCCAAACAAGAAAAGCTCAAGGGGGACCATGAAAGGCAGACTAAAGCCGAAAGAGAAATGTGGGTGTGGCACGACCGACGCGTATGCTGATGATTGTGTAGAGCGAAGATTGCTCGGAAGCCAATACCTCCGGAGAAGACCAAAGTACGCCCTTCATATTTTCATGTCCCCTCCTATTGACGGGTGTCTTTAGCAATGGTCTAGATCCCTTTCAACAGCACTCTCGACATTCTACACCCGGCAATGTATACCCTCCATCGACGGCCTTGCTCTACGGCAGCGTCAGCGTCTGAAAGAGCTGGGTGTTCCGGGGCTGGGCCGAGAAGATGGCGTGGTGGATGAGAAGGTGAAGCAGAGGATAAAGAGGATCATGGAGGTGCTTGAAGGTAGTTTGGAGGATTGAACAGGGAATATGGACGGGATATGAGGATGTGCCAGCAGCGCACCGGACAGCGGACCCCAGACCAAGCAGATGTTGCTGAGGGCTTCTCTCATCAGAGATAGAATAGCCTAGACACTTACGCTAAGCACAAGTAGCACACCTTTGCCCTTCGCTCTGCCGCACAGTGCGTTACCCTGCATGCAGGTTCATCATATGTACATCCCCAACTCGTGCGTGAGCAGGAGTAGTTCTCGGGAGAACTGATGTTGCTCGGCTTTTCCGCTCGAGGCTCCCATCAGATTCATACTCCTACCTCGGATTGTAGTCCAGGGAAGAGATGCAACTGGCCGCGCACTACATACCCGGGGCGCAGTAAGTCAACGTTGGGTGAGTGATTTGCCCCCGCCTCCACTCTTGGCCATGACGTCACTGATGGCATTCCGACATGGCGAGTGATCTTGTGGCCGTTGTGTTTCGGCTGCTACTCGGGCTGCTACTCACGGGACAGGGACGGCAGAACAGGTCAACTGACCACCCCCAGTATGCCACCTTATGCCGAACATGGATCCATTCCGCATCATCTTTTCTTCCTCCCTCCTCATCTCTTGCGCCATGCCCTCCTTCTTGGGCCTTGCTGCCCTCCCTCTCCTCGGCCTCGTATCCGCCCAGAACATTACCCAGACCACCTCCTTCTCCTTCTCTCCCACCCCCGTCACCACGAGTGTACCCTCGCCCACTGTTCCTCTCAATTCTAGCGTAGACGGGCAAGGAGACTATCCCGCTATACAAGGTGAGTCTTGCGCGCAGAGAGATTCGGGGATTGACGTTGTCATCTAGCCCTCTGTGATGGAGGTGCCGACGTTCCCTTTTGCCCCGGCATACTCTTGCATGATGTGCAGCTCGCTCGCATCTTTGCGGACAGCAAGGTAAGCATTCCACTCCGCCACACTGCGGCAACTGTCAGCTTACGTCAGTCTAGACTTTTGTAGACAAGGTATGCACTCTCCAGATCAAGAGGTTCGATGCTAAACAGGATAGCCTACGCTTGAATCCCTCAACGAGACTCAAGCAGCGTGGGAGGCCTTGACCAGTAATAGCAGTAACGTGACAGTTGGAGATATCCAGAGGTTTGTTGAAGACAACTTTGTACGTTTATGTTCCCCGGGAGACCATCTCTGACCCATTGTATAGAAAGGCGAAGGTCTCGAGCTCTCCCAAGTCGAACTCCAAAACTTTACAGACTCACCCGCCTTCCTCGACAATGTCACCGACCCCGTCTACCAAGCATGGGCCAAGGTCGTACACGGCTATTGGACACTTCTTGCCAGAGAGACAAACCAGTCGGCACTTTGCTCGGAGAGTGAGGAAGGTGGATGCGAGTCGAGCTTGATTCCGCTGAACCACACCATTATTGTTCCTGGTGGCCGATACAGGGAGATCTACTACTGGGACTCCTATGCAAGTACACAAGCTGGTGCGAGGGGCTTTCCGCTGACGTCAACTTGCAGTGGGTTCTTGAAGGCTTGCTCAAATCGGAACTGTACGACTATGCTTGGGCCCTGCTTTCCAACTTTATGGACTTGATCGATGTAAGCCTGTCATCATTACGAGGAGACCAAACCCTGATATCCTACAGACTTATGGATATCTCCCCAACGGCGGCCGCAAGTACTACCTGAACCGCTCCCAACCTCCCGTCTTTGTCCAGATGCTTGACGCCTACATCAAAGTCACCTCCAACGTCACCATCCTCGGACGTGCCCTCCCCATCGCCTCCTCCGAGCTCGAATGGTGGACAAACAACCGTACCACCAACATCACCTCCCCATACACCAACACCTCCGTCCTCATCGCGCATTACAACGTGACCAACTCTGCCCCTCGACCAGAGGGCTATGTCGAAGACTATGAGACTGCCAACTCTGCCGGTTTGGGGCCGTTGAACCAGACGGAGAAGGAAGAGCTCTGGGCCGAGTTGGCTTCGGGAGCGGAGAGTGGGTGGGACTATAGTTCGAGGTGGTGTGAGCAGCCGTTGTTGAATGAGACGGATAACAACCCGGCGTTGAGGACGCTCAAAGTGAGGAGTATTGTGCCGGTTGATTTGCTGAGTTTGTTGGCTGGTGATCATGCTTTGGCACGTCAATCTCATCGTGATAAGGATCATGGCTGATGAGAGGGATCAGCTTGCCAATTTGTATGAGCTGTATGAGAACAGTCAAAGTGAAGGCGGCGACAATTCGACTTCCAGCGACAACTCGACCTCTATCGCCAAACGTCAGGACGACAGTTCTGCAAGCGCCACCGAGAGTAGCACTGATAGCGCAAGCGTTACCGAAAGCGCAAGTAGTGCGGAAAGCGCGACCAGTACCGAAAGCTCGACCATCGCCGATAGTACCACAGCACTTGGTAACAGCACGGCAAGCGCTACCGCCGCCTCGGGCAACGCGACCAGCACCGCCAGCAGTGGCAACAGTACTGAAAGCAGTTCCGCAAGTAACAGCAGCACCGCAAGCAGTACTGCCAGCACAGGTAACAGTACAGCAAACAGTACTACAAGTGCCGCCGCGAGCAACGCAAGTGCTACCGCAAGCAGTGGCGGCGGTATCATCAGTGGGAACAGTACTTCGAGCGGCAATGGTACCGAAAGCAGCGGCAACGACACCGCGAGCAAGATCGAATATCACCGTGCTCTCTCTCAGCAATACGCCGCGGCCATTCTCGATCTCTGTTGGGACGCCGAAAAGGTAAGGTTTCGACCCACAACCCATTGCCAGTGCTGACAATCCCCAAAGTCTTGGTTCTACGACTTCAACATCACCTCCAATTCTCGTTCCGAGATCTACCACCCAGGCGGTACCTGGCCTCTTTGGCAGAATATCACTCCTCCCGGCTTGGAGAACAACGAGACCGCCGCTTTGGCTTTGGTCAGTGGACAGAGGTACTTGTTGGGACATTACTCTGGTGTGCCTAGTGTAGCAAGTCTGTTGCAGACGGGGTTGAACTGGGACTTTCCCAATGCCTGGCCGCCTCATGCCTGTAAGTCTTTGCAGTGCACGTATAAGAAGCATCAGTTGACAGTCCATCTCAAGACACGTCGATCAAGTCGTTCGAGACCATCGCTCGCCTTCTTCCCAACGCCTCCACGCTCCCCAACCTGACAATCTCTTTCGACGAAGTTGTCCCCTCCCAGCTCGGTCTCAACCAGTCCGACTTGCAGCCCCAGCCACAAGAAACCATCGGCAACGTCTCTCTCACCACCGACACTTCCAAGGACCAGCCATGGCCTTTGGCTCTGTCAATCGAGTTTGCCAATAGGTACTTGGGAGCGGCGTTCTGCAGTTGGTACTCGACTGGTGGCCAGATTGAAGGCCTTTTGACGCAGTTGTCGATCAGTGATTTGAACGCTACTGGGACCTTCACCGAGGGCCAGTCTGGTGTCATGTTTGAAAAGGTACGTCTTTCCTCCAACGCCAGAGCCTTTCATTGACACGCCCGATAGTTCAACGTAACGGACACGGATGCTGCCGGCGGTGGTGGTGAATACACCGTCCAAGTCGGTTTCGGCTGGACCAACGGTGTAGCCCTCTGGGCAGCTGCCGAGTACGGCCAGTACATCCCCTCGCCCACTTGTCCTCTCATCCCTATCATCGAGGCCAACTCGACCGAAGGCTCGAACTCGACCTCGGCGACAAACTCGACAGACAGCTCGCGTGGGCCTACGGCGAATGACAACTCTACAGAGTCGGGGAACAGTACGTCGACTAGTACGACCTTGTTTGCTGGATATAGGATCCCGAGGGAGTAAGTGTGCAAGGCGATCTAGTAGGATATCTGTGGAAAAAGAATCAGAATCGAAGGGTATTCAATCTCAAAAGCTATAATCATCTCAAAGATGCCATGTATCCGTATAATCTTTGGTTTGCATATTGGTCTATCTGACGACCTCGTACACTTCTCCCTCGCCTTTCCACCCCTCATCGGCCTTGCCCAATACCTGTCCCCAGAATTTCATCACGCTATACCACTCATCTTTCCCTCTCGGCATGCTCTCCCCTCCTCCCGTCCCATGAGCCACTTCAACCTCTCTGAACGCCCTTTTCAGCGTGTTCAGCGACTTTTGGTGCACAGCCGATTGGGCCGGTTGGCGTGTGAAAGCGAGGACGGGTGTGGGGATGTTGAGAGGAGATGTAGGGTGGGTGATGAGGGGCGCGCAGACTGAGACTATACTTCCCAGCCGCTTGCTTCCGCTCTCTTCTCCCTCGCCTTCATCAGACTTCCCTTTCAAGCCCTTCTTGCCGACGTCCACGCCCAACTCCAAGACGACCGTACCCCCCTGGCCCCATCCGAACAAATGGATATCTTCCAGCTTCCAGCCGATCTCTGGCGAGATCAATGTCTCGAGTAGGGAGCGGAGTGATGGGAGTGGTTTGGATGGGTTTTGGGAAGCTGGGGGGAGGGGATTGAAGAAGGGGTCGAAGGCGGGGTACCAGGAGTATGAAGGGTGGTCCATCAGAGGGATGCTGAAGAGTGACAGTTTCAGCTTTGAATGTCTTTGAGGCTTATGGTAGCTCACGGATCAGGAGCAGATAGTGACAAGACAGCAGTAGATGGCAGGTTCAACTGCTTTGCCAGATTGAAGAATGGTGTCTTTGTGTCGCCTTTCGTATCATTATGAGCAACTGGTCTCTTTGTCTTAAGTGTAGGTTGGAAGCTCACCAAGTCCATGGAACATGATGAGAAGGTTCCTGTCTTTCCCATCAGGTGATGATTGGTAGGTAAAGTCCCATGGTTTGAGGACAGATGGGGTGAGGAATGGTTTGGGAGATGAGGAGGAGGCTTGGACGGGGCGGAGGTTGAGATTGGACATGGTGTCGTGGCCGTTTTGTTCGATGAAAGCGTTTTTGTGGACCGATTCTTCGATACTACGCACTCTGAATGACCTGGGATTGCCGATAGATGGTGTAGAAGGCAAAAGACGACCCAAGAGCAGCTCGAAAGACGATTTTGGCATGAAACCGCGCGCGGTGGAGGTCGGGTGGAGGTCACAACAACCCGTACCTGAAAATCATCATCTCTTGCTTTTTGGCTCCTTTTTCCAAAGTCTTATAACGTTTTCAAGCTAGACATTTCAAAATGCTTTTCTGCCCGTACTGCGCCAACAACCTGACTATCGGAGATAGAGAAGATAGCGCGGACAAGTGCTGGTGAGTCTATGCCCATATGCTTAGAGGAGAGTGGAGGGCGGAGCTGATACGTTTGTGAATAGGATTTGTCCGACATGTCCTTATCAATTCATAATTGACAGACAGGTGGGTTATATAAGCACTCATCTATGCTGTGCTTCAAGAAGAAGAAGGGATCTGACTGTCCTCAGATCTCGATGCGAACACATCTGAAGCGAAAGCAAGTGGACGACGTTTTGGGAGGCAAGGAAGCTTGGGCGAATGTGGACAAGATCGATGGTAAGCCAGTGACTAGCGAACGAAGGAATGAGAATACTGATGTACTCCTTCTCATAGCTGCTTGTCCTAAGTGCGACTTCAGAAAAGCATACTTTCGACAATTGCAGATTCGGTCAGCAGATGAGCCTATGACCACTTTCTAGTACGTTTGCCTTGAGTGACAATACGATGCTTAGCTGATGACTGTTCTATAGCAAATGTGTTGAATGCTCTCATCAATGGCGAGAAGTGAGATACCCTCAACTATGCCTGGACGTGTGACAAGTGCTAACCCATCTTCCAGAACTAGATTGCGCCCATCACCAGCATCTACAACCCTATAATACTCTATAACGATCTCATGACACCCCATATGACAAATTTCTCTGTTCTGCAGCTTCTATTCCTTTCAGGACCCAAGTCTCGCGCCTCGGCGCTCGACTGTATATCCCCGCCAGCGCAAATCAACAGCACTTGCACTGGGCCTCTGCCTGATCCATTGACACTGGAGAGCGCAAATTCATACGGCGCTGTCCCCTGAAGATCTGCTACATCTACAAATTCCGAAAGCCCAAAGTTGGAGATAATCTTTTATGGACTGATATTCCGATAGTCGGCGCAAAAAGCCGCACGATGAACCTATCCATCTGTTCAGGTAGCCTGATCTGACGAAACCTCACTGATCTATCGTCAGCCCTCTCCCTTGCGTCGAGCGCCCACACAACCTCGAGCCCGGCATCCGACGCCGCACCTGCCTCTGCCGAGACTCTTCCACATTCTTATCGTCCTCTGCCGATAGGCTCGGCGCAAGCCCCTCCACCCTGGCGTCGTCGGAGCGAGGGGCTTGTGTCGCGCCTACTCTGCCGAGGCCTTTCTTCTTGCGGTGCTCTCAGTTGCCAATCACGCCATATCCCTGATAGCTTGTCCCGGTGTTCGTATACGCTCTCGTTTATCCGTATAGACAGTAACTGCGCTCTTTGATATAGCGATGTACAGTATGAGAGGCAACCCAATGTTGACGAGGTATCACAACCTCTTCACAACATCATCATCGTTCACGCGAACAAAGTTCAGCGTTCCTTCAGAATCCTCGACGACTTGAAAGCCAAGTCCGCATTGCGCACCCACAAAGGTCTACACCAGTGAAAGTTTATGCCTTTCGGTTCCAAGAACGGCCCCGCCGTCTTTCAGCGGATGATGGATAAGGTGCTCGGCCGTTACAAGCGGCAGATCGCACTCGTCCACATTGACGATATCATCGTCTACTCGAATACCTTTTGAGAGCTTTTGGAAACCCACTGTTTGCCTGCAGACGTCGATATTTTTCAAATGCTGTGAGAAGGTATTCAAGTACACGATGATATCGTCGATGTAGACGAGTGCGATCTGCCACTTATAACGGCCGAGCACCTTATCCATCACTCTTTGGAAGACAGCGGGACCGTTCTTGGAACCGAAAGGCATGCATTAATTTCCACTCTTGTGGGTGCGGAGAGTAATAGCGTCAATCTTTCTGTAAGTTGTAGAAAAAGTCGACAGCAGAGGGGGGTGGAGTTGGTTCTTGTCGTCGGGAACAGGACACGTTGGAAATGAAGACAGCTTGCAGTAGATTATATGAGCCATACGGATGCATGAAGAAGTTTTGATTTTTTTCTCTCTAACACCCAATCCCTCACTCTCCCCTACGATGCTATCTATCCACCTTAAAGCATCATAGAAGACATGTCAGCCCTAATCCTAGTGTAGTCGAACAAGCCCTCGGTTCGGCCCAAAGCAGCGATAGCAATGTCCTTGTCCCAGAGGTACTTTTGGGCGACTCGCTGGATCTCAGCGGGGGTGACGGCGTCGACGTAACTTTCGATTTCTCGGGGAGTGTATCGCTTGCCGGTGGTGATGAGTTGACGACCGATCTGTAGCTATTGTCAGCGTGGAAAGGGGCGAGGAAGGGGGCGACTTACGTCCTCGGCGATGGCGGTGGTACCGTCAAGACCCAAAAGCAATGAAGCCTTGAGCTGAGACTTGGCACGCTCGACCTCGGCGATCGTGGGGCTTATGGACATACGGGTCCATTCTCGGAGGGTAAAGTGGAGAAGGTCGTCAATGTTGGAGTGGCTATGCCTCTGTCAGTAGCGCCCCCGACTTTTTGGGATCAGACTCACTTTTCAGAGACCAAGTAGATACCCCAAAGACCGGTGTCGGAGTAGGAGGTGGAGAAGGACATGTAGGAGTTGGCGAGGTTGTTGCTAGAGATGATGTGGGACAACCTGCTGCTCAACAAAGAGCTGGCACCCAAAGACCTATCCCAGTTACCAAAGATGGATTGCATGACGAGCATGGGCCAGTAGTCGGGGCTCTTCCATCCGACACCCTCAACAGCGATAGCAATGTTGAGAGTGTCCATGGTGTCGTCTCGGATTCGGACTTCGGAACCAATAAAGTCGGCGGGGGTGTGAGACTGGCCACCGAGGGGGATGGGGTTGGAGGAAACGGGGAGGGAGGCAAAGTTCTTCTCGGCGAGCTTGACGAGGGTCTCGTGCTCGATGGAACCGGCACCGATGAGGGCCATTCGGTCGGCAGTGTAGTTGGTCTGGATGTAGTGTTGGAGGTCACCCTTGGAGATGGAGTTGATGTGTTCCTTGGGACCAAGGATGGTGTTTCCGAGAGCCTGGCCTGTGTGGTGTCAGCAAAAATCGCTCAGCGATTGGAATTTACGCACCCTGGAAAGCGACAGCGTGCAGGTGGTCAAACACAACCTCCTCGTACTGCTTCTCAACCTCCTCCTGCTCCCTCAGAATCACATCCCTCTCCCTCTCGATGGCAGTCTCCTCAAGTTTGGAGTTTTGAAGAATGTCGGAAAGAATGTCGACGGCCTGGGGAACGTCCTTGTCGAACGCCTTGGCGTAGTAGACAGTCTGCTCTCGGGAAGTGTAGGCGTTGAGGTGGGCACCGAGGTTCTCGACTTCGAGCTCGAGCTGGGTCTGGGATCGGGACTTGGTACCCTTGAAGGCAAGGTGCTGCAGTATTGTCAGTTGTGGTCGTTATTTTGCTTGTTGTGGGCTGGGGTGTATTCGGCGCCAACGATCGATTTTCACGGTCCCCGGTCACCAGGTGCCTTCTCATCGAATAATCACGCATGATCCTTACAACCCCATCGGAGCCATCGTGTTAGGCTCATTCGATCTCCCCCATACCCAATGACAATTTCCACCCATCCCTGGGCATTTTGACGCCCAACCGGGAAATTCCACCAATCGCCCAACCGCGTCTTGCCATTTTCAAACTCCCCATCACTTTCCCGGTTGGGCTCCTATACACCTCCCAGCCCACAACAACACTTTCCCTACTCACCTCAAGGAAGTGGGCGGTACCGCTGGCGTTGGCGGCATCGGCCCTGGAACCAGCATCGATCCAAAGTCCAACAGTCGACGTAGACGCGCCGGGGATAGTCTCGGTGGAGACGCTCAAGCCGTTGGAGAGAGTAGAGGTCTTGGTGACGGGGTCGGCAGAGATGGTGACGGGGTGGACGGCGGCGAGGTTTCTGGCGAGGGACTGTGGTTTTTTCAAGCAGGACCGGACGAGCAGAAAGTCAGCGACCAATGACAAGGCTTGTATTTAAACGGGGGATTTTCGAGGAGGGGGTTTGACTGACCGGCTTGAGGACCCTGGGCGCCGGGGGGCGGGCAATGGCTCTGGAGAGGATCCTGGCGGACATGGCGGGGATGTGAATGCAAGAGAAGAGTAGCGCAGGCATACATAGGAGGATAGAGAGAGAGGATTACATAACACCGCTATAACCCCGGCGTGGCACCGCCAACACCATCAGCGCTGTCGACGGTCTTCTATGCATGCATCCGCCATGGCCCACTTCAACCAGCCCTACCAGCAGTACCCCCACGCAGCACAGCCCAGCAACCTTCAGTTCTACAACGCCGCACCCTATGACGCCCGCCCGGAGGGGAGCATGGCCAGCGCCTATGGCGGCAACATGGGCAGCATGGGCAGCATGAACCTCGGGGGGTCCAGCATCGACAACGGGAGGTGGTGGGAGGCGTTTGGAACGGGCGGATTTGATGGGGAGCCGAGTCTGATGGAAGGTGCGTTGGAAGGACTCGGCGACCTCACGCGAACGCGGACTGACGCGTAGTGGTGCAGAACTCGGCATCAACCCCTCGCACATCCTCCAGAAATCATTGACAGTGCTGAACCCGTTATCAAAGGTGTCTGGGAATATCATGGACGATGCGGACTTGGCGGGGCCGTTCGTCTTTTGCTTTGCCTTCGCGTTCTTCCTGTTACTTGTTAGTGTTCTTGTGTCTAGGCGGGTGCTCTTGGTTGCTTTGGGTGGGTGTGCCTCAGCCTCGCGATGCTTGCATGACTGCAGGACATTCATGTCCGTTGCTGTTCTGAAGCCTTGTATGTGATGACGCGAGACGAAGTTCGCAGCGGCTGGTGGCAGGAATGACTCAACTCTTGAGTACCTCATCTACTAGCAGCTAGACGAGAGCACCCATGCCCTAAATCCAACCATGAGTCCCCATGCTGACCCCCTCTCAGTCCGGCAAACCCCAATTCTCCTACATCTACGGCGTCGGCCTCCTCGGCACAACGGCCATCTACCTCCTCCTCAACCTCATGTCCGAAACCGGCATCGACGCCTACCGCACCGCCTCCGTCCTCGGCTACTGTCTCCTTCCCATGGTCGGTCTCGGCGGCCTGGGCATGGGTGTCGGGATCGACTCTGCCGTCGGGTACGTCTTGAGCGTGGTCAGTATCGCCTGGTGTACGCATTCGGCGAGCGCAATCTTTGTGGCAGTGTTGAGGATGGATCATCAGAGATTGTTGGTGGCGTACCCGATTGGGCTGTTGTATGGGTGCTTTGCGCTGTTGAGCATCTTCAATGTAAAAAAGTAGAAACGTCAAATCTTCGTCTAGTCATGCATTACATATCCGAATAAAACATCATCTAATAGAGCCCGGCGAATTCGTCCTTCTTGGGAGCAGCAGCCTTCAAGTCGTCTTCAGAGGGGAGCTTGACCGAAGGCTTGGGGGCGGGAAGGAGGGAGGCATAGGGGGCAAGGATGGCGTCAAACTCGAAATCGTCCGAGCGAGGCAGGGGAGTGGATTCTGTATCCAGTCAGCGTCTTATCCAACTTGCATCTACAAACTTACCGTGCTTGACAATAGGCTCAGCGGGTTGGGTCACCTTTGACATTCCCTTCACAATCAACCTCCTCAACGCCGCACCATCCAACGGCGCCTCCTTCTTCTTCTCCCCTCCCTCTCCCGGCGCATTCTTGGCCTCTGTCAACTTGTTTTCACTCGCCCGCCTGCCGCTGGCGCCCATCGCGTCTGTCACCAGCTTTTCAGCCGAGCCGTAGGGGTTCTTGATCTTGCCGAGGGCGACGAGGACGTCGCCTTTGGTGAGCATGCCGTGTCGGCCGGTACCCTTGAGCTTGGAAATCTCCTCCGAGGTGAGGGAAGACTCTTGCAATCTACCGGATCGTCAGCGCACAGAAGCTAAACTGGAGGTTGGGACGTACAATCTAGACACACTAGGGAACAGAGGCTTGGGGTGCTTGATCTCCTTGTGCTCATGCGGCTTCCTCTCATCCCTAGGGTTCTCCCTACCTTCACTTTTCACCTGCTCACTAGCCGCCTCCTTCTTCTCCTCTTTGGGCGCACTAGACGAGGGGGAAGCTTCCTCCTTGGGCACCTCGAGGTTGGAAATATCATCCCCTTCTTCAGCGAGGATGGCAATAATTTGGCCGACAGGAACGTTTTTGGCGCCGTTTTGGATGATGATCTTGCCGAGGATACCGTCTTCTTGGGCTTCGACGTCGATTGTGGCCTTGTCGGTTTCCTATGCCACCTTCATCAACCTCCAATCTCTACGAACAGAGGATAGGGAGACTTACGACTTCAAGCAAGACATCACCAGCAGCAAACGAGTCTCCCTCCTTGAGTTTCCACTCGGCAACACCACCCTCCGTCATGGTAGGCGACATGGCAGGCATGCCCATATTTGTTGTCGCGAATCGGACATTTTGAAGGGCTGTTGAGGCGTGTCACATGTCGCGTCATCAGATAATCCAGCCATGCGTTCAATGCGAGTGAATTGTTGTTGATCAAAGCACACATTAGTAGAGATAAAGAAGAGTCGAAAGATCAGCACCCTTGCGCAAGCATTTGACAAGCCACGTACCTCTCCTCTCAACAGCAGCCCTGGCCCCGTTTCTGAGCAAACCCATAGCCTGTCTGGTAGTCCTCATCGTTACTGTCCTCGTGTTTTGGCGGGGGATAGTGGGATGCGCGAAATGATAGAGCAGCTGGGATCTGAGTGCGAGGAGAGCTCGGTGCGGTGGGGAGCGCCGCAAAAACCCAAAACACGGAAACGGCTGTTCGGAAGAGGATTTGGTCCCGTCGTGGCGGCGTTGGGTGATGGGCGCCACAAACAGATGCGAGCTGTCGCAGGGGGGGATGGCAGAGAGCTGACAGTCCCCTGACCTTATTCGAGGGAGATATATAGTCTGAGTAGAGCATCGAGGCTTTTTAAAGCGGGGTTCGCAGATACATACACGTTAGCGACGACCATCCACCATTCGGCCGGGGCTCTTTTGCTCGCGTCTTCTTGCTAGAGTTGTGACTCTGCGTTCCATTTCTAGTTTCAAGTTGAGCACGTAGACTCTGTAGTCAAAGATTTTCAGAACCGAGGCCATGAGCAGGATGTTGTCAGCTTGTCTTTCGTTCAATGCCCCACTTTGCCTTGATAACTCAACGGCCCAACTAGAAGCCTAGCGTGCACGGCTGGCACGGCTACGGCACTCGTTCGGTGATGGGATCGAAACATTGGACTTTTGACACATTTTGAAGTGCAAGTGTAAGCCCCACCAGCCACTCTCAATTGTTCCTCGAGTGTCTCATACCCTTATCATTATTTGCTTGTCTCGGTGTCACTCCACACTACGCCCTGGCCGCTTGCTTGGCCAGTAGGACCTATTGCTTTCTTGCTCTCTCTGCCACAGTCTAGCCTATTGAAGTATCACTCATCATACACTCAGACAAGCACATCAAGCAGCTGGTGATTCGACACTCTCGTTCTTGTGCCCCTCCTCCACCCATGCCTGAACTGCACAGAAGATCATCTATTCCGTTTGTCTGGACAGCTGGCTCTTGTCAATCTAAGTTTTCTAGAGAGCATGGGTGATGTGTTCCGGGAGCGGCGTCAACCATCACATCGGACCGACGCTGATACCATTTTCACGAGTGACCGGCTAATGTCTTCCTGCATTGCACTTGCTTCTTTGGGGCTATCGAGGCTAGGCTGGTTTGGACACCTGATTAGCAGCTATTTCCACCCTACGTCCATACATTAATACTGTGCATTTGATCAAGCGCCACGATCGACTCAACGCATCTGTTGCCAGGGACAGGTCTCATATTATATGGCAGCAGTGGGAGGATAGAAAGGAGATAGTCCTGCCTATTCTCTTCTTGCGGTGCTTCTTTCCAGAAAGAGTAGATTGTTGGTCAGGTCTGTGAAATTAGTATTTTTGGAAATGCGTCATGTCTGGCATAGACGTCGATAGCAAGTACGCTCGCCAGGGTTGGAAAGGCTGGCCGCCGCTGCCGCCGCCGCTCGTGCGTCGACAAGGCGGAGCGACCGACAGGGGTGTCCCTAATATCCACGTGTCTGCCATTGTGACGACTACAGTCTGTGAAAAGTTGGTGATCTGTATGGTCATGACTCTCTCTGTAGAACTTTCGACACATTCACTGCGACTCTGGTCCTAGGCGCGGCAAAAAGTTCAGAGAGATCTTCACTCAACGATATATAACTCGCATGATATCTCGGCCGATCCCCCAAGCATGCCTCTACTCACGTTCGACTCGATCCACACAACGTAACACGTGTGCTATTGACACAAGCGCCACGAAGGAAAGAGTAGGACGACACCTGCTGACATGATACCCGAAAAAAAGCTCGGCAATGACGATCAGCGTTTAAACGAGATTTCCGTTCCTCCGTTCTCGTATCTGCTGGTGGCAAAACGGGTGCTAGGATTCAGAGTTACGGAGCCGAAGAGAGATCAAACGCCGTGCCATGAATAAGCACACACACTGTAGATCAGCCAGCTGCCAACTCGTGAATGATTGGTGTGCAGCGTGCAGATAAGGGAGGGTCTACACGGCCGGCCTACTGCTGAATTGTGCCGGATGTCGACGAAATGTCGTGCTCCAGCCACCGGGGCTGGGACCCGTCTTTTCATGGGTACGATGTCCCTGCAGCCTCTCCCTGGCCCCGCTATCTGCAACCTCGCCTATCATCACTCGCGATCCCGCTGTGCTCGCATGTCAGACACCGCCAGGAGTCCGAGTCGGCGGCGCACAAAGCCGATAAGGACGGTGTCAGAAAATTACCTAAAGGGGCAATTTCTGCGCAATTCTACGCGATTCCGCGCTGTTAAGAACTGTTAGAAACCGTTAAGAACGGTCGACATTTGTAATCAGCCCTGAACTCGGCTCACGTCGGAGGCCGCCAATCTATTTAACCCCAGCAATTCACATCTCTTTTCTCTTTTCTCTTTCTCCCACCACCAAAAACAAATCACCACAATGTCTGCCTACCCCCTCCCCCAGATCCAGAAGCCCGCCCCGTGAGTACTTCTTCCCCCTGTGCGACGGTGCGACACTCGACAGCCTTTCGTCGTGCCATGCTTTGCCCACCTCCAGGTAGTGCATCCAGCTGACCCTGCATGCAGTAACTTTGCCGGTACCGCCGTCAAGGAGGGTTCTTTCGAGGAGATCAAGCTCGCCGACTACAAGGGCAAGTGGTAAGTCGATTTTCCCTTTGCGCGCTTATCTACGGAACTACCGCTGATAAAGCCATTAGGACCGTCCTCTTCTTCTACCCCATGGACTTCACTTGTAAGTTGCCATCCATCACCATTACGCCAAAGCTGACTTTGTGATAGTCGTCTGCCCCACCGAGATCCTTGCTTTCAACAAGGCCCTCGACCAGTTCTCCGCCATCGGCGCTGAGCTCATCGGTGTCTCTACCGACTCCGAGTTCACTCACCTTGCCTGGTCCCAGACCAACAGGAAGGAGGGTGGTCTTGGTCCCGACCTCAAGCTCACCTTGGTACGTTTCTCCCACATTTCCCATCTTGCCTTGCTGACCTTGCCGTAGCTTGCCGACCGAAACCACGCCGCCGCCAAGGCCTACGGTGTCCTTCTTCCCGAGGAGGGTGTCGCCCTCCGAGGTACCTTCTTCATCGACCCCACCGGTACCCTCCGTGCCATGCACGTCCATGACCTCCCCGTCGGCCGATCCGTCGAGGAGACCATCCGTGTCGTCAAGGCTTTCCAGTTCACTGACGAGCACGGTGAGGTCTGCCCCGCCGGCTGGGAGGAGGGCAAGGACACCATCGACACTGCCAACAAGGATGCTTACTTCTCCAAGCAGTAAGCTTCCGTTCTTTTCTTTCACGAGATAAGAGCTGGAGTGAAGGTGGTGGTGGTAGAGGGACCGAAGGAAGACAACAATTAGATATAGAAAACAGAGTATAACTGCCAGAAGATTATGGAGCTAGATGTCAACTCTTATTCTGCAACAAGCGTGCAACTTGTCTTCTGGAAATCTCTCTCCACTGCCATCATTACACTCTTGCTCTGTCTTTTCGTCATAAGGATACTTTTCTGAAGCCTTGATTGTAGAGCCGAATCGGAAGCCATGGCAGTGGACGAAGCCTCAACTAAGCGGGGCGCTCAAGGCTCACCTGCCAACAAGGCCGCGCCCAAAAAGGCAAAGAAGTGAACATTTGCAGATCAGTCTCAAAACCGGCAGGACCCGGTTCCTATATAGTTGTCCCAAATACACATTACCCACGAAGAGCAGAAACCAGCACATATGCATTTATACCAACTCAAGATCTCCCAAGCATTCACCTCTTACACCCCCTAGTCCAGCTTTTCATGCTCAATGCTCAAAGGCTCAATCTTGGCTTCTTGCTTCTCTGCCGCGAAAGGAGCGTTGGGCACGGGAGCTATGGTCCGGTCAGCATGATACCGCTTGATGATAGAGAGACATACCCTTCGCAGGAGTAGGCTCCAAAAGACCCTGAACAACGTCTTTCACAGTAGTCAATACCTTCTTACAAACCGCCCCCCAAGCTCCTGAACTGACCGCACCAAGCGGCGCCGAGGGAAAGCTCAGAACCCAAGCCACGGGGTACGGCACCCATCCCTCCGGGATCCAGAATACAGGCTGCTTGCGGAACCACCACACGAGTACAAATTGGGCACCGGTCGTGAGAAGCCAGAGGAGCCAGCTGAATCTGGAGGTGAAGGAGGAGCGGGATGTTTGGAGGGTAGTGTCTGATTTGACCGGTCAGCTTGGGGAGAGAATGGAGGGGAGGGGAAAGGGGGGGGGGAGACGTACTGATCTTTTCCAAGTCGGCCATTCCCTTATCGAGCTTTCTCCTGATCTTGGCCCATTTCGCGAATTGATCTTGCGAACTCGTCCGTCCCAGTTCGGCCTTGTCCTCGAGCACTTGTTTGCGGAGGGCCTTTTGTTTACGGGCGGTGGAAGAGAGAACAATTTTGGAGTAGACCGCAAATGCCTTGAAGAAATTATGTCAGCTTGTGGTCGTAGGAGAAGGAAGAGACGTACGATTTCCTGCAGGACAGACTTGCCGACCCACGAGACCACTTGCGTAAAGAGAACGGCAAGGAATATTAGTAATGCTAGATTGAGCATCTTCGAAGTCAGGGTCCCTGTGAGAGTAGACGTCGAGAGCGAGAAATGTGGCTGGCGGGGCGAGATGTATGGTTGTGGAAGAATGGATTGGAGTGAAAGAGAAGAATGGCGCTGTGCCTGGAGAGTGGAGGTCTGTCGAGTGTTAACAAGTGGCTGGACGTTCAGCGTGCTTGCTGGTGGATGCATACATACCTGGGGTCGTTTGGAGCTGTATTGAGGAGCACCTAGCGATGAAAGGCAGCTTAGAGGATGAGGGCAAGAATTGGAATTGGAACTGGAATGCGACGAGGCGGCTTGCAGTCTTTCTTTTGTATACGTATGACCTAGGGAGGTATCTTCAGCCCTCATCTCACTTCCTGATTCCCTAGCTGTTGTGCGCTTTCTTATTCAACCCTCGAGGCCATCTCGACATCGAATATATCACCAGGACAGGCCGGAGATGAGGTTGACAGCAGACAGAGTGACTGCTTGACGCCGCACTGAGAATTTGATCCCGTCTGTTTGCTTCGGACAAGGGACGATTGAAGTCATAAAGAACCATCCCTCCAACTTACCATCTTACATATACTTTCAACTTTTCTGTGATACACACCCAATAGATTCGAGACATGTCTGGTCAAGCAGCAGATGGTTATACCGAAGAGCAGAGGGCCGCCGCCGTGAGCCACTCTCCGCATCTATATCGCTATACACGCTGATATGTTCATGTCTTGTCTTTCCTGCAATAGTGGGCAGCTGTAAGTCCCCGGATTATGAGTGAACAGTGGATGGGTGCTGATCCAATGTTCCATAGTACTACGCTCAACAAGGCTACACCGAGCCAGCCGCCGCCGCCGCCCCTTCCTCTTCCTACGCTTCCTATAGCACCGGGCCTTATCCCGCCTCAGCCTCAACTTCTTACGGCGCCAGCTACGATGCGGACATGCTCCAGCAGTCTTCGGTATACACGCCTCAAGGAGCCGCGGAAGCAAAGCACAGAGCGCCGGGCAAGCGAGAGACGGTTATCAGAAAGGGAAATGGAAAGGTCTGGGAGGATCATAGTCTGATCGACTGGGATCCCAGTACGTTCTGCCCTTCAAAATCGAGTCATCAAAGCTGACTAGTACAAAGAATGGTTCAGACTGTTTGTGGGCGATGTCAGTAATGATGTAAATGAACGGACTTTGGACGAGGCGTTTGAAAAGTATCCGAGTTATTGCAAGTGCAAGGTTGTGCGCGATCGTCTGAGTGAGAAGGTGAGCTTTGCATGCTTGGTCGTTGAGATTGACGGCTAAAATGAGTATAGGCCAAGTATGGTTTCATCGCTTTCAAAGACCCGGAAGACTTCCTCAAAGCTTGGAAAGAGATGGACGGTACGTCTTTCTCGATATCTACCCCGCTTCTTTACTAATACCTTCATAGGCAAGTATGTCGGTAACAGACCTATTCGACTCATGAAGGTCAAGGACGACAAATACGGGTCCATCCGAACGGTCGAGATCAGCGGAAAGAAGGTAAGTGGCTGATAATTCATCGTGCGCAAGATACTGATGAATGTGACAGGCAAAGCAGCTCGAGAAGATCAAAAAGAACCACGGTAAAGTGGGCAATCGACCGGCGCCTTTCTAAATATGAGATCGTTGCCAATTTGTGTAGATGCGGCATTTTTGTTCTGATGTATTTCGCGTTCGGAAACCAAAATCCCGGGATGCATCATATCATGAGCGTCAAATACAAGACAGTACGCGTACTACTCCCACTAGGTATACTATAGGCGATCGTAGGGCCTCACCACAAACACAACAATGACTTCTTCCTTCCTTTATAGACATATACTTGCTCTATTCCTTATCACCTCGCGGTGTATAACCCTTCATTCCCCTTGGTGTCATTACACTCTTCAGCCCACCCGTCCTCCTCGGCGTCATTCCAGCGGCAACCCCTGTCCCCGGCCTTCTCGGCGTCATACTACTCATCGCTGGCATTGGAGCCACCTTGGCAGCAGCAGCAACAGTCTCTTCAGACTGAGTTTTCGCCTCTGCCGTCGCGAGCGAGCGAAGGAGGGACATGGCATCCAGGCGCGGCTTTTTCGGAGCGGATGTTGTTGATGCAGCGGCAGATTGTCGGGCAGCAGCAAGAAGCGCAACCGTATCGGGTCCATCCTCGTCTGGCGGTGGCAGTGCCGGCGCAAGCCCCAGCCTCTCCCTCGCCCTCAAATCTGCTGTCAAGCTCGAGAAGATTCCGTCCAAGAATCTCGAGCTCTGCATCACATACTGCAGCGCCACATGACTCGTCTGATGAATCATGTCCACCTTGAACTCTACTTCCTCAAACTTGCTCGCATTGTCGCTGGCTTCAGCTTGCGCCTCGGCTGAAGAGGAGGCGAGAGGAAGGCTGGGGTCGAGGTCTGGCTGGGCAATGATTTCTTCGGTGACGGCGAGGATCTGTTGCATCCATGTAGGAGCTTTGGACATGTCGGGGTCGGCGTTGGCCATCATCTTCTTTTCTAGACGGCGAATGGTGTCTTGTTGGCGGCTGTTGGCAGCAGTGGCAATGGCAGACCAATGGGCACCTTCTTCTTTAAACCTGATGGAACGAGTCAGCCTTCTTCAAGCCGCGCTTGGAACATAACGCACCTTCTGACGACCGAAGCGATCTCCGCTTCTGTCCGGCGGTTAGCCACATTCCTTGGATGTGGCCGTAGGCCAGAGATGGAGAATGGCTCAGTCTCATCCTGAGACACAGTCAGCTTTGACTGCATCTATAACTTGATATAACTTACCCCTATTGACGAGAACGTGTTCGTCTCCACGGTCCCCTTCGACATCTTGTGATGGAAGTCGTCCATTATTTCCCTTATGAAACTATCTCCTCCATCTGTTCTGCGGGTATCTGTCTCCTTCTCTTTGCCTTTGCTCGAGGAAGACTTGTGTCTTAAGGCTTCGCGGGTCGCTTGATTGGCATTCCATGTTAAGAGAATTCGCGCCCTGTGGGGATCAGGAAGGCCAGAAGGAAGATGTCGATAAAGCATTCGATAGTCGATGGATTTGTGAGGCATCGCTGTACCTCGATCAGCATGGCCCAGCTGCTGATTCCTGACACCACCTACTGATATCACCTCTCCCGAAACTAGTGCTCGCTCGACCACCTCGGTCCTTACTGCCCCTTCTGCCCGTTTCTTGCCTATACTCCTTGTTCCTGTTGATCACCGGCGTCTCACTCTCCACTAATGGTGCCGCATAGTGCGTGAGCACCTCTGACGTACGCGCTTGAGGGACAATGCTCTTTCTCGTCTTTCGCACAAAGCCGACAGGCGGGCCCATGGCAGTTTTTGTGGATGCAGGCGTTTTGGACGAGCCGGCGCGTGAGGGATTTGATGAAAAGGTTCTTCGGGGAGGGGAGGCCGGTCGGGCTTCAGAAAAGCGCGGTTTGTCGCGTTTGAACGACAGATGTGGGACCGCTGGCGCTTTCCCAGATTGTCTCATTGATGCCGTCTCTTCGACCCCGGCGAGAGGATCATCCTCGGTCCCTCTCACATCGCGGGATGATTGTTCCACGCTCTTGCCTCTGCTTCTTTCACTGTTCTTGTCTCCCACCTTCTGCTTCTTGGCAGGGTTTGGGCCAGGTTGCAGGGTCATGTGTGGAGGCGGTGACTCTGATGCAGGCCGGCGCGCAGCATCTCGCCGACGAGCAGGCTTCGTGGATGGTGGTGGTGGGGGCAGGTTCAGAGGTATTTCCTCTTCAGGGGGAGTATTTGAAGAGTCTGGTAGTGACACTGGTTGTGGCTGAAATCCCTTTTTGCTCTACGCGTAAACATTAGCCATCCGATTCTCACATTCACCTTGCCGCTCCTCGGCGTGCATCCTCTTTCCCACTCACTCCTTGTTTCTTCTTCTTTGGCTGCGCAGCATCTCCTTCATCATCCCTGCCCCCTGCGGTTGATTTCCGCTTGCCATTGACGGCCTTCCCGCCGGTATCCAGCTCGTTCGATAACCGTGTTGATCTTCTGCTAGCCATTCGTGTGATACTGGTCGGTGAGGTATTGTTCGAGTACCGAATGTGAGCTGTGCTTCGTGGCTGGCGGCAGATATGTCCGGCTGCTGGTGTTGAGGCTCGTGATGGCGGATGGTGGGATATAGAAGACGGCGGGGAAATAGAAATGGACGCAAGAGAGAATCCGCGCGTTGTTTGTTTTGATTCCTCTTTCACAACATTCAGGGAAAACAGGTGGCGATTATTTATCTCGCCTTTTTCTACTTTTATCCCTAGTGTCAACGATACGACACTATTGCTTTGTGCAGAGGGTCGCGATGGATAGGCCAGCAGGGGTGCGCTTCTCTTGTATGTACATTGGTCTGTGAGCTCATGGGCGGGATATCAACTCGATATCAACTCATGAGCTCACCGAAGTAGGCATATTGTGGACGGTGATGACGATATCCCGGAGTCCGTCCTTGTCGTCTGCGAAAGAGACTGGAAGTACATGTATCGAGTGTAAAGATGTAGTCCCTGAATGTAAGCCTCTTGGCTTTGACCTCAGTAGATAGACGAATATGTTAACGACGAACAGCCACAGCATCATGACCCCATAGAGCCCAAGTACATAGAACTGATAAGACTTACAAACTCTATGTAACTCTCTACACCCCATTAGCCAAATTGTTTCCGAGGGTCATGATCACTGTCGAGGTGACTCCCGGAGGCCGTTGAGCATAGCTGTGGTATGATCTGGATGGATTATTCCACCCCTTGTCATCTCTCCGCAAGCCAAGTAACCCGTTGTCTGGCTGAGTACTGAGCATCTTTCTGATTTGTTGTTGGAAGATGTAGAAATAATCATATTGTCCCTGACTTCTCGGTCCTTCGTCTATGTGGTTCCGCAAGCCTTGACCTGCATGGATGATGTCCGAATGGGGTCGGTCCCTCCTCGATGGTCGAGGATCAGCCTTTGGGAAATTGAAGCCTCGGGATCAACAGTCACTATACTTTCGTATATACACGAGATGCTATATGTTGAAGGGTTAGGCTATCTAGTTTGCATATAAAGGAAAAAAGGTAACTTCATCTCTTTCCTTCCCTCCGAGTCCGATGATCTCCTCGACTACATGGAGACTCTTCGGCAGAAGCATGCTCGTCTAAGTCAGCTTGAGATGGACTGGGAGAAGATGCTCGTCTTCCAACTCTTATATGCCCTGCCTACGCGTCACCATGTCTGGCGCAACCAACTCTGGGCCACCTCTGCCTCCCTCTCCTTCGACAATCTCCAAATCGCTATCAGCAACATGGAGCTTGCCCACCGCGACACTGTGACTGCGGGTGCCCTCATTAGCCTGTCGGGCTAGGCTGCCGAAGATCAACTCCATGCCTTCTTCAGTGGTCGCAACGGAGGCACGGAGAGGAGACCGAGGGCCGGCGTGGGCATCATGAGCCGACTCATCGTTGAGACGGAGAACAATCCCAACCAGCCGAGGTTCCTTGAGGGAAACCCACTCTTGTCGTATCTCGAGTGCGCGGCGGAGTATGGGGACATGGACGAGAGTTTGAGGGCGCAGATTAGAGAGAAGGAGTGCTGGCCTGCGCTGGCTGATGAGTTTGGGCAGGATCGCATACTGCAGACTTTCCTCAAGACCACTCAGGCTGTGGATATCTTTAATGGCGGAATCAAGTATAACGCTCTACCAGAGATGGGTCAGACATAGCGACGGTACTCAACTGACTTGTATGCGTAGTCTGTAACTTCCATCACCAACTACCGAATAGACTTTTTCGAAGCCACCCAGAATACGCTCAAACGCCTTGACAAAATCCTTCGCCCCTTGGCGGCCGAGTACAATATGAGTTTTGCCTCTTTCGGCGAGACGCCGACGACAGATGAGAACTTGATCCAGCTTGATACGATGGGGATCAGGCTGGAACCTGCTCCTATCACTCTTCCCACTGGCCATGCCTGGGACTTGATGGGCGGCACTATCAAGCACATCTTCCCGGGGGCTGTTGTGGTACCTTCGGGTATGACTACTTTCGCTGACACACAATGTGAGTCCGCGTACTGAACTTCTCACGAGTGCTCAACGTTTGATGATCATAGACTTCTGGAATGTGGCCACCCATATCTACCGCTTCGCCCCGGCATCGCTAGAGATCATCAAGAACTACCACACAGTCGATGAGCGTATACATGTGGACGCGTCCATGTCGACTATACAATTCTTCTATAAGGTTATGAGGAATTCTGTTGGCTGGCAGAGCCCGTAGATCTATGTATTCCATGTCCCCAGGCCTTTTCGCTGCTCCTGCTCTGTAGTGACTACATGTATTTTCTTCTCTGAGTTCAGGTGTAGCTTCTTAAAGAACTGATTTGCTCATTTGCAGTGCGAAGACGGAGTAAAAGAGCATCATCAACCAACTCACAACTGGCACCCCCCGCTGGGACGGAACCAAATACAGCCGCTTGACCCGCGCCGACCATCATCGCTTTCACTTTCGCTCCTTGTCACCTTGTCCATCTTAAATTCTCCCAGAGCCCCACCCCGACAACCCCTCAACCATGTCAACAGGAGCCAAACAATACAAAGCCATCGGTGTATGTCCCCATGCTCTGTAGCGAACACGACAAGTGCTGATGGCGCCTTTGTCTTTTCGTTTATCAGGATGAAATCTGGAAGAGGACCGACAAAGTAGTCAGTGCTACCCATTGAAAGGAAAAGGAAGGGAGCTGATGCAGAATGAAATATAGAACGCAGAGCTCTTCACTCTCACGTACGGGGCGCTGGTCGTCCAGCTCATTAAGGTACGCGTGTCTTCTTGCTGGACCCCGGGCTTGCATCTCATGCATGATAACCCGTCGAGACGTGGGAATGACGGCCATAAACACAAATCATCATAATATGGATACTGACAGCCAGCGGATATAGGACTATGAAGATTACGAGGAAGTGAACAAGCAGCTGGACAAGATGTACGTCTTCATTTGTTGATCTGCCGAGACCACCACTGACCCCGAGTGATAGGGGCTACAACATTGGCACTCGTCTGATAGAAGACTTTTTGGCCCGGACTGGTCTTCAGAAATGCCAATCGTTCGCCGAGACCGCCGAAGTCATCTCCAAGGTCCATCATTCTTCTCCCACGCCAATTCTCCACTGACACGCCTCTTGCAATTCTCAGGTCGCTTTCAAATCCTTTCTAAATATCACCCCCTCCATCTCCCTCCCCCAACCATCATCCTCTTCTGCCCCGCCTTCCGCCCCCGCCCCCACCAGTGCCTCTCAGAAGGGCCCGCAAGAGGTCATTTTCACATTTGATGAGAACCCCCTGAGCGAGTTTGCGGAGCTGCCGAGAGATGCCAAGGAGGGAGGACTGTGGTTTTCGAATGTTCTTTGTGGGGTCGTTAGAGGTGCTTTGGAGATGGTGAGTATTGTTCCGCTCGTGTCCTGCAAGAAAGTCTCATTGCAAGAGCTAATCTCGATGTAGATCCAAATGCAAGTGGAGACTCGGTTCATATCAGATGTCTTGAGAGGAGACGACGCGACCGAGATGTATGTCCGGCTCGTAAAGATCTTGGAAGAAGAGCAGCCGGAGAATGACGAGTAGGCGAGCTTGTACTCCAAGTAGATGCAAGTGTATTGTATACCCCCGCACGATCCTATCACCTGAGCCCAGAAACGCATGGCCCTCATGATGGGTGAATGCATACAACACTAGATATAGGACAGCTGTTCAGCAGCGCGTGTCTCATGCTGGCTACTATACACAAAAACTCCTATGCTACAAAGATGATCATCCTACCTAATCCGTCCTCAAGCCCGCCGGCCGCCCATAAACCATATTCTCCCTCCCCCCATTATTCCCCCTCAAAACCCCACCGGCCAAAGGCGTCGGCGTCTCCCCATAGCTCGCCAAACTCTCTCCCCCCGCCATGGTCGGCGCCGTCAAAGTCGACCCCGTCGCAGTCGACTGTCCCGCCAAACTCGTCATCCCCGTCTGAGCAGACATCATACTTCCAGTGATATGATACGAATACGCCGAAGAGGAATCTGTCGTCCCCGTCCGTTCACGGCCAGAGACGGTGCGCGACGAAGCAGCATGCGGCCCTTGGGCGGGGATAGTCTGCGAAGGGGTGATATCTTCGTCGTCGTCGTCTTCCACCGGGTACCCGTACCCATGCGCATACCCGCTCCCTTGTCTCGACATTGTCCCAGATTTCGGCCCGCCCATATGGTTCTGCCCCCACTCGCCGATCCCGCCCGGACCAAGTTGGCCCATATAGCTCGACGCTCGCCAGCCTCGTCTCCTGTGTCGCCCACTGATGCCGCCCCCGGGCAAAGACGGTCTGCGCTGCAGGTTGAGCGAGTTGCGGGCGGAGGGGTTGGAGTATACGCTGGGCATGGTAGTGCCAGCGCTATTCGGTGTCGACTCGCTCCCGCCACCGGCAAGAGCAGCAGCAGCAGCAGCTTCAGCTTCCATCTCCATCCGTCTATTCTGCCATCGCACCGCTTGGCCCAACCCTTCCACATTGGACCGGACTTCTTCATCCCGATCTCTATCTTGGGCGTTGTAGATGGAGGTGGGTGGGAAGAAGGATGTGTATTTGGCCTGGGTGGAGAGGACGAGGGACATTTGGAGAAGGCGTGAGAGTTCTTGGGTTGACGGGGGGTTGACGGCTCGTAAGTGGCTTCCTGGAGAAGGCATAGGCGAAGAGCGGGCGGATGGGTGGTTGAAGGGCGAGGGAAATGGAGTTGGAGGAGGGTAGACGAGGGGTATCAGGCGCGGGAGAAGCGGCAGGAGGATGTGGAGAAGGAAGCCTGATAGTAAGAGATGCCGGACCGGGATCGCTGGGAGTGAAGATGTGATTCTCACGGTCGGGGCGGATGTTGAGGATGTATTGTTCGTAGGCACACTCTGCAGCTGGGTGAAGGGCAAGAATACACCTTCCACATACTGCATGCGATCAGCTTTCGATTCTGCAAGCGATATATGATACTCACTGGTAATATCTGGGTCCAAAAAAAGCTCCATACTTCAGCAGCACGACTGACCATCTTGCCCTCTTCCAGCGTCTCAAACTTGGCCCGGAGTGTCAACATGCCAGAGGCGATAAACTCGCGCAGGTCGGAGGAGAGCAGGGCGACGATGCGGGCTGGAGGCGACCGTTGAGATGTTGTAACGATATGGGAGCGACATAGAGAGCTGAGATCGTCAGCAGATGCCTCACGCACCAGAATTGTACTCACTTGAGATCCTCGATAGGGGTCTTCATCGCACTACCAGCAAACAAGGGCAACACATGCACCGTCAACAAAGTCCAAGGCCCACTTGGATCTGTATGCGCCATCGCCAGACTTTCAGCCTTTCCACCGCCTCCCATCCCTAGCACTCCCAGATCATGTCCATGCGCTCCTGTCCCACTCAACAAGCTCGTCGTGGTCGGGTACTGAGCATGATCTGACAGCGGTGTGCCGTCAGGAAAGACCACCATCCCTGAAGAGGCCTGGTTGGAAGGGAGGTGGGAGGTGGAGGCATTGGAGAGGGATGGGCGGGGGGAGGCGTGGATGTGGTTCATTGACGGGGCTGGGCGCATTGAATGGGAAGTATTTGATGGTGTCGGGGAGTGTGGTAGGGGAGGCAGGGGCGGCAGATGTGAAAGCGTCGAGGATACCTGCGGGCTATGAGCTCTAGTCTCGCCCGCCATACATCTCACTCACAAGCTTGTTGTCATACGCTCCAGCATTACTCGCATACCCCCCAGCTCTGCCTCGATAAGGGCTTGCTTGTACACCTTGCGACGAGGCAGGCATCCGTTTATCCCTCGGCGGTAGCGGCGGGGGCATATCGGTGCCTACCCCTGAGGACGCCTTGCCTGAACTGGCATACGAAGCATAGGAGACATTCGACTGGGTCGGAGAAGGCGGCAGAGGCTGGCGGCGGGGCGAGTAGAGGGCGTGATGTGACGAGCCGGGCAGCTGGGGGTAGGAAAAGTTTGTGGGCGTGATGGGGGGCCCGTTGGAGTTCTGGCGTTGCGGGGAGGGGGGGCGGGTGGAGAGGTTGGAGGGCTTGCGGAGGGGGGGCGGGCGGGACATGGCGGCGGCGGCGTCGGCGGTGGTGTTGGGAAGGGGATGGACGCGTTCGAGTGATGTTGGCGGCGGTGTGCCTGGCTCTCGGGAACGTTGAAGCCATATACATGCTCTCTAGACCCATCATCCAGGTCATATGTAGCATAGAGTACAGCCTGCTCACTTACGCTTTCAATCTGCAATGCATCTTGAGCATCGTTGCCTCCCGTGCTCTACTATATGCATACCCAGGTCAGATCAGCAGGCGCCCATGTCCGGTTACTCTCGGCACACTGTGGATGCAGACATCCCAAAGGTAAAGTATCTAGACCCATGCATCAACTTTCTCCTGACGCCATGGCACCCACCCACGATCCCCCACCACCCTACGTTCTGGAAGACATCGACGAGGACGACCAGGCGAGACTGCTCTTGAGCGAAGAGCGAAGGGATCTGGACGATGCCTCGAGGGACTTGCCTCATGGGTGGGCGAGGTGCTATGATGCGAGGCAAGCCGCCGACCCTTCTCGGTGTGCTGGGGCTGACATTGGAATGCAGCCAGAAACACCACTACTATGTGGACGAGAGCACTTTGCGTACTATCTGGTACCACCCTCTCGACGATGCCCAATACCTCAGTACACTCCCCATCACTCACCCCGCGCACCCAGAGTCGAAACAAGCACAGGGCATCAAGAAGAAGATTGAAGATGCGAGACTGAGGAGGCAGAAGGGGCTGGATGTCAAGGTTGCTCCGAAAGATGAGACGAACAGCGGGGCGGCTTGGAGCACGGATGAGAAGAAGCCTATTGGGGAGGAACTCGCTGTCACCGCGAGTAATGGCGAGTCGAGCAAAGGAGGCTGGTTTTCACGCACGAGAGACTCTTTTGCGAAATCGAAACAAGACAAGCAGCGGGCCAAGGCAGAAAAGGAAGAGGGTTTCAGGAAACAAAGGCAGACGTTGCTCGACGATTATGCCAAGGAGAAGATGGCAAAGACTTTGGCAGCGAGATCTACTGATAGTAAGCAGGATTCTGCCATGCCATGCCCTGCGCTAATAAACATTCACTACAGACCGATACCCAGCCCCAGACTTTCCAATCACCCGAACCGGATCTTTCAGCAACACGCCATACGCCTATGGAAAGTCTTTCCACTCAAGCTGTAATGTATACATGCTGATGGTATCGTATAGGGTATTGCGGAGGCTACGGCGCACGCGGCTATGGAGGACTTCGAGACCCAGCGATGTTTGGAGGAGGCATCGGTCGGATCGGGGCTGGGTCTTCGGGGGCGTATGGTGCAGGCGGTGGTGAGTATCCTGATGTACCGGTGTACCATAAGGAGGAACGCTCATCACTTGTCAAGCGTAGCTGGCTGTGGTGGTGCTGGTTGATGGATCACCGTACTCTCGAGGATCCACTAGGTTCTCTTGCACGCAGCAAGGCAAGTGTACATGAGTCACAAGGGATTGATGTATATAACATAGGGAGCCTTCTAATGGTAGTTGTACGTACTGTATAATGCAACATTCTGGTGATCAAGGTGTGAACGCCTGCGGATGATAGAGGTGATAAGATATGGCCATTACGTAGAAGCGTAAAATTAGCGGGAACAAAGTGGACACTAGGTGTGACGTCAGACAATCCTGCTCCGAATAAGCATGGTTGTGAATCGAGATTGCTCCCTGCATCTGCATCTTATCTTGTGAATAAATCGCCACGTACCATGCCCAACGACGCACCACCCCCATACACTACTGCAGGCTCAGCCCAGCCCGCGACCCAGAACGGCAACCTCGCTGCCCCCGCCGGCCCCACCCGAAGCCCTTCCGCCATCTCCTCCACCTCCGACGAGACTACCGACGACGACAGCGACTTGCTGGCCACGGAAGAGAGGAGGGATATGGATGATGCTGCCAGAGATCTGCCAGATGGCTGGATTAGGTGTTTCGATCCCAAGTGAGTTTTTTCTCTTGGACGACCAATCGCGGCAAGGAAGAAGATGGATTGGAGCTGATGATTGTTGATAGGCAAAACCACCATTTCTATGTGGACGAAAAGACTAAGAGAAGCATCTGGGTTCACCCTTATGACGACCCCGAGTTTCTGCGAACTCTTCCACCCACTCACCCTGCGCACCCCGACTCGAAGCAAGCCAAGGCTGTGAGACAGAGGTCTGAAGACGAGGGACTCGCCAAATCAAAGAGGAAGGAAATCAAGAATACTAAGGGTACGGGCGCTGCTGGTCTGGCCTCAGGTTCGGCCCAAGGAGGCAGTGCTGGAGACTCGTCGAACGGTGATGGTAACAGGAACTGGTTCCAGAAGAGAAAGGACGCCGTCATCGGGACGAAAGAAGAGCGCGTCAAGGCCAAGGAAGAGAAGAGGCGTGCAAAGGCAGAGAGGGAGAGGCTTATTGCCCAGAGGGATGCAGAGTATAGGAAGAAGAGGCAGGAGCTGGTGGAAGCCTACACCAAACAGAATTCGACGAGGTCGGCAGGTGTGGGCGGATTGGGCAGTAGCTCATTGTACGGCAAGTCTATCTTTATTTGGCTTCTTGTGTCGAGCTGACAAAATTCCCAGGCGGGTACGCAGCTCCCATGACTCCCATTTCTCGAAGCGGCTACTACAGCAGCAGCCCTTATGGCTACGGTGAGCTTCCTGTGCTCGTTTTCGTGCTTCCCGCTGACTTTATCCAGGCTATGGTGGTTGTTACGGTCGACGTGGTTATGGCGGCCTCGGAGGAGGGGGTCTGGGAATGCCATTGATGATGGGCGGAGGAATGGGTCTACTGGGAGCGGGTATGTTGTCGGGCGGTATGGGAGGGTTCGGCGGCGGGTTTGGTGGATGCGGGGGTGGAGGATGCGGAGGTGGAGGAGGTGAGTTGACAGATTAGCAATTTATTGGTGCATACTGACGTTGAAATAGGTGGATGTGGCGGTGGCGGTGGCTGTTGATCTTTGTTGTCCTGACCTGTATCTTTGGATGTTGGATTATAAATATCGGACCGCGAGAGATAAGTGTAGCAAACAAGATATTTACACAAGTATAGTACTCGTATGTACATTTGCATGTAATACTGAATGCAATCGGCTTGGCCAGGAAAGCACCGTCTCCATGTATAAGCGTCCAAGTCTACATCCCAACGTCAGCAGTACACGAGTACACGGGAAAGACGACGGAACCAAATCACACCGAACAACCTGTTTGCGCTCATCTCCTCTTTCCATATCTTTTCGAAAACACGCGCCCGATATGTCCAGCATCGACGCAAAATCCCTCAAAGTAGCAGAGCTCAAGGAAGAGCTCTCCAAGAGGGGCCTCGACGCCAAAGGTCTCAAGAAAGATGTGCGTCGCAATCAGACGGTGTATCGCGTCCTCAGGCTGACATTCCATCTACAGCTCGTCGAAAGACTACAGAACGCTATAGAAGAAGAATTGAACCCCAAGCCCTCAACACCTCCTATCGAAGATCCCACAGACGAGAACGTCAAGGAACCTACTGAGGATCCCAAAAAGCAGGCTGAAGCGACTTCTCGTCCAGCGACTCCTCCTGCCCCAGAGGTTCAAGATGCTAGGCCCTCAACACCTCCTATCGAGCACGTGCCAGTGGCGGTTGAGGGGGTAGGAAGTGTGATGGTGGATGGCTACCCCGAATCTGTGCAAGAACCCGAAACGGCGCAGAACGGTGCAGAATCTGCTCGCGTCCCTACGCCTCCCCTCGACACTGAAGCCGAGCAGCAGGTACTGGATACCGAGCCCAAGATCTTCGATTCAGAAGTGGCAGAGGTGATTGCCAGGGAGGAGGAAAAGGAGCGGGAAGCTGCTGCTGCTGCTTTGACACCGGACTTGCCTCCAAAGAGCTTGTCGCCTTTACCGCCCTCGGAGGAGAAGGCGCTGGAAAGGGAGAGAGAGTCAAAGGCGGAGCATGGCATGGAAGTGGACGAGGACAAGCAGGAAAAGAAAGAAGAGGGGGATGAGATGCAAATCGACCGACCGCTATCTCCGGCTGCACCACCCACGAAACGATCATTGTCCCCTTCTTCCCCACCCCGACCCATCAAGAAATCCCGCGCTTCACCCTCTCCTCCCCCTGCTCCCCAAGCCACTTCTTCAGCATCCACTCCCGCCCCTCTAGCCCCGACTGCTTCTGGTGAACACCCACCCACCACAGTCTTGTACATTACGAATCTCAAACGCCCCATCCCTTTCCCTGGTCTTCACGAGCTCCTGTACGACGACTCTCCTCCTTCATCACACCCCTCGTCTCTCCCTCCTCTGAGAAAACCTTTCGCGGATGAAGACACGCCTGGTATCTGGGTTTCCGGTGTCAAAGATCACGCCTATGCCGTCTTTCCTTCATCCGAAGCAGCCGCCGCTACTGCTTCCAGGATCAACGGCATCAAGTGGCCCGAAGAGACCGGCGGTAATCTCTCTGTCGAATACATCCCCGAAGACAGGCTTCTTCAGCTGGTCGAGCGAGAGGAAAAGGCATGGACCAATGGCAGGCAAAAGCTCGTGTTGAAGGTCGTCCGAGATGGAGAAGGATTCGACTATGTCTTTGAGGGTCAAGGGAAGCTGGGGAGGGTACCGTCGCGCGGCGCTCCTGTGCCCTCTGGTCCTCAGGCCCGGGGTCCCCCAGGGTTCCCAACCGGACCGAGGAACGCCTTTGGCGCGAATACGCCGCCTCTTGCCCCAGGACAGAGAGGTCCCCCTCGAGCTGTACCCTTGACAGGTGTGAATGCCATCGGCGTCAATGGCCCTGGGGCCGCAGGTGGTATACCGCCTTGTCCAGGGCGAGGAGGTTTCGGTGCAAGAGGAAGAGGTGGTTTCCCAGTGCAAGGTGGCCGGCCGTGGGGACCGGGGGCGAATGGTCCTGGGCCTCATGGTGGACCTGGTTATGGCCCGAGGAGGGATGGTGGCGCGCCGGGATTACAGCAGGGCGAGAGGATGAGGCCGACAAGGACGCAGCCGAGATTGTTCTGGAAAAAGGGACCTGGGGCTGTCGATGGGCCATGAGAGGTCAGGGGTGAAAGTTGTTTGTCTTGATCACTTTGGCAAGTACCAAGAGCCACAAATGTAAAGACGATGCGGTCATTGAACCGTGAAACATCTATGCATCTTGCAAATGTAGTCATCTAAACGTCTATCAGATTCATTGATCATCAGCCAGCAAGTGCACCACAACCTGCCCATCTCTACCCTTCTTCCCCTTCATCAACCTCTCGCCTTCCCCGTTAACCTTTTCCTCGTGCTCGTACTGACCCCCATCAGGTTTCTGACCTTGGATTTCAGGGAGAGAAGCGAGTGTCGACGGAGAGGAGAGGAAAGCAGCAGACAGGGTGTGGATCGATAAGAGCATGGATCGCGCATGAGCGGGCGTCGGAGACAGGAGAGGAAAGTCTGAAAAGGTTTGATCTGATGACTTGATCAGGCTGGAGCTCTGGAAATGCGGCGAAACGACTCACGTCCGATACCCAAAAGTGTCACCAGCCCCGCCCTATTCTTCTCACCATTCTTCCAGCCTTTTGCAATACCCACCAATCTGGAGAAATGTTCTCCCCACTCGGTAAAGCCGGGAGAGTTTACCACAAATAGCGGGGGAAGGGTCTTGTGCTCGGCAGAGGGGAATGGAGGCGCTGAGAGGATGTCGGATGGGAGAGGGAGAGGGTCGAGCCATGGGTCAAGAACGAGGGCTTGAGTGGTTGGGAGAGGTGTGTAGGGGTGGGGGACTGAAGTCTGGAGAAGATGAAGCTGGAGGGTGTATTAGCATTTGCAAGCATGATAAAATGATCACTTACCATGGTACCACCTCCGAAGGAGTGTCCAATCAGTCTCAAATCATCACCATCAACTTGCCCTTTCAGGCCGTTGATCCAGGCTTGCCGCTCTTCCTGCTTGTCGTTTCCCTCCAGCTTCTCAATGACGACCGTCTTCTCCAGCTCGGGATTCGGAGTGGCAGAAGTGAGATTGATGAAAGAGTTGTACACTTCGTATACCTCGCGAGACCGCATCTCGAGTTGCAAAGTCCTGGCGTGGTTGACAGGCTGTTCCTCGCCCTCTTCCCATCTATGAACGTGGTCAGTGAATGCCAACTGTAAGGCATGGGTCAGACAGTGGACTTACTGAATATCATCGACCCCAGTATAGTACAAGACTTTTGGCTCGCCACCTTCCTTATCTGGCGGTAACATCACAGCAGGCCCCGATCCATCTCGATGTTCCACGGCAAGAACAGCATATCCCTCGGAAGCCAGAGCAGCGCAGTACTGGCTATACGTATGCCTCGTGCCCGCAAGCCCGTGCGAGAAGATGATTAGTGGATACCCCGCGCTCGGACGTTGTGCAGGCGAGATAGGGGCAAGAGGATAGACGGGCATGAGGAGGCGAGACGCAAAGTACCCAAGTGGTCTCACTGTGTTTACATGTCAGTATATGTAAGATACATGAGGCAAACATACGTACCGAACCAGCTCACCGCCCCTTTGCCGCCAGCAAACTTTCCGTAACCCTTGATGATCTCGCTCATCGGCTCTGGTACCCACCCAAAACCCTTCTTGCGCTCCTGGTGTTTTCCCTTGGCATCTTCGTAGTCTGTGTTGCAAGGATAGAAGACAGCGTATCCGACGTGGGAGAGGGAGAAGGCTGGTTTGGAAGTAGATTTGAGGAGAGGAAAGGGGTGGGCGAAGGGGGCGATGGGTGGGCAAGTGATGTGGGCGTAGCCGACTGGATGAGGGCCTGGCGGGGATGGGAGAGAGGCAAAGAAGGATAGTATGGGGGGGATCATGGCCGGAGATGAAAGATGGGCGAAAAAAAGGACAATGGAACGAGATTTACTGAAATGCATCGTGGTCAACTGCGGTGGAGGCTGGGTGGAGGTTAATAATTAATTGGACAGAACACAGAAGTCGGACGCACCGAGGTCCACTATGCCATGCATCCATGCAGTGTCCACGCTGAGCATGGACGAGATCCTTGGGAGATGATATCGGCGTTGCATTGGGGGTAACTCTCCTTAGAGTACCCTGTCAAAGGTGCACCGCCGTCCAGCCGATGGCGGTACCGTGCTGTCCACCAGATATCGTTCAAAGGTGGCAAACGACCAACACATACCTGCCCAGCCATCCACTCATTCTATAATCTAGAGTATGACATGGACTATAAATAATATGATACAAAAGGAGTGCAGAGATCCATCCTTCTCGGCCCACCACGCCGTCGGCTCGCTTTTTTTTGATCTTCTTCCTTGTCCCTGCACCCCTCTGCTCTTCTGCGGCCACCCTACTTTTTGCTGTTGCTAATTCCTTCCCCAGCACCTCATACTTGTCTCTCTGAACATGACTCTCAGCTCCAGCACATGTCATATCGATCCAACATACCATCTGTCTGACATTTTTGTCCGCCTCTCCTAGATACCGCGTCATATCTTGATTTTCCTTCTCTGCTTTCGCCACCGCCGCTTTTGAACTGGCCAGCTCATCTTCCAGAACTGACACCCTCGCTCCAGAAGTCTCTGTGTCCTGGCTATACTTTGCCTCCAGTGACTCGTAAGCCCGCCGCCAGGCGGTATTGTCCGTGAGCGCCTTGGCAAGCTGAGTTTTTGTAGCCTGGGAGGATGCTTCAGATGCTCGACGGAATTCGAAGAGGCCGTGGATGTGGTGCTCAAGATGATCTGGAGGTTGCTGGGCAGCTGCCTGGCTGGGCTACTTGGGGATTGGGCTGGGTGGCTGTGGGTGTGCTGGCTGTTTCCCTTTCGACATGCTCGCTTGCCTTGGCCCTCAGCAACTCGACAGACGGAAGACGTGATTGTTGGCTGATGTTGAACGCGTCCCAAGACCGGACACGGACGCGTTGAAAGTGCCACACTGTCGAAATAATCCCGCTCTCCACGTCCTCGCTCCTCCACCACTCATCATCATTCATCGACCTGTCTTCTTCACCAAGCGTCTGGAATGGCATCCAAATCCCTCATCACCTTCATCCTCGCCCTCTTTGTGGCCTTGTGCTTCGTCCTCGCCCCGGGGGCGGACGCTGCCAAGGGCCCTGTCATCACCAACAAGGTGCGTGCGGTGTCTCGTATAGTCGCCGACCGAGATCCGCTTCAATCGAAAGGATAAGAACGAGAGCTGATAGACATGTTTGAACAGGTGTACTTTGATATTGAGCATGGAGGCAAGCCTCTCGGCCGAGTCGTCATGGGTCTTTACGGCAAGTACGTATCAACTCGACACTCCACACCTTGCTCATCACAATGAGCTGACGCGATGGTAGGACCGTCCCCAAGACTGTCGAAAACTTCCGTGCCCTTGCTGCTGGCAAGAACTCTGAAGGCGAGGACCTCGGTTATGGCTACGAGGGTTCCAAGTTTCACCGAATCATCAAGAACTTTATGTGAGCCTCCTCCCTGGCATCCCTGGCATATGTTGGTATCAGGACAGAAGCTCATAGGTGTGTAGGATCCAGGGTGGTGACTTTACCAAGGGCGACGGTACTGGCGGCAAGTCTATCTACGGTAACAAGGTCAGTCATACTGAGTGGTAAGGGTTGATTATGACTGACAAGGCTGGTATAGTTTGCCGATGAGAACTTCAAGCTCAAGCACACTGGTCCCGGTACTCTCTGTAGGTCATACTCTTTGTGTATGTGGAGCTGTGCTGACTTGCGCAATAGCCATGGCCAACGCCGGTAGGGACACCAACGGCAGTCAGTTCTTCATCTGCACCATCAAGACCTCTTGGCTCGATGGCAAGCACGTACGTCTTCTGCTTTGTTGTGATCCATGTCGATACTTACAACGTTTACCAGGTCGTCTTTGGCCACGTTATTGAGGGTTTGGACGTCGTGATGGCTATGGAGGCTGTCAAGACCGGCCGAGGCGACAAGCCCGTTGAGGAGGTCAGGATTGCTGCTTCTGGCGAGGTACGTTACCCCCACGCAAGGAATAATGCACCAGCTGACTTCCGTGTAGCTTCCCATCGAACACGAGACCGACGAGTCTGGCAACCAGGTACCTTTCCGTCTTGAGCTCTAAACCCGCTCTTGAGTCCAATTTAAAAAAGAGAATGTATTCTAAAGCTATGCATTTCTCTTCCCTCCCCATCTTACAGGCAGACCCGGATCAAGCAACCGGAACCGACATCATCGACGATCCTCAAGAAGGGGGCGAGCCCCTGCCGGTGGACGAGTTTGACCTCGGCGCGGAGGATGCGGAGGACAACGAAGAGTACGCTACTATCGCTTCGCCTGGCAAGTACTTTATCCTTTTGGTTCTCTTTGTGGTGGCTCCTGTGGGGGCTGGGGTGTACTTTTACGGAGGAGGGAAGGAGAGGGTCAAGCAGTGGAGGGGGCAGGGGTACGAGAAGGTGGAGGAGGAGCGGGTGTAACTGCAATCGTCTTCCCTTTGGTATGCCATGTATATGGTTCTGTAGATATCCTCTTTCTATTGTGTTCTTCTCTCGTTTGTGTACAACGTCCTGCATACATACAACCAGTAATTGACCTACTTGTCTTCCGGCCAACGGGATCAAACCAATTACGCGAACGAGCTCGGAGATGCGCGATAAGCTTGATCCTGGAATTCGTTAGCGAGATTCTGGCTTTATTTATTTTGGTCGTTACCGCTGTGTGCAGTGGGTTCACGTTCACGGCCAGGTCAAGGCCAGCTCAGTGTCATGCTCATGCTGCTGAGCTATTGAAGCAAGTGTTTGTGCCACAGGGCTGTTTTCCGCCCACCAGCCATCTCATGATTCACCGCATGCAGCTGAATGAACGTGCCGCATGGTGCCGCAGCTGGATCGTGCCGAGGAGGGCATCTCTCGGCACGGCAGACGGCAGAAAGGATCATTTTTGAATGAGCTGCAAATGTTTTATACATGCTGAGCACATGGCCCACACTCCACATCTGTCTCTTGCTCAGCTCACTTTCTCACCCCAACAGCCAACGTCGCCCATCCAGTACATACAGCATATCCCACGGCAGAGTGGATCGCCTTCGCACATCTCCGAACCTAATTGTCGTCGGTCGCCGCATCCAAAATTAGAACCCTGATTAATAATCAAAAGTCTTCTCAGTAATCACCCCTGAGTGTCTCTACTCTCTTCACAAAGCAACGACAAAACGCCACTCTCCTTGCAAAGTCACACAAACAACATGTCGCGAGACCCCCTCGCTCTTGGCCAAGAGATTGTCCCCAGCTCTCCTGCTGCGCCCCATGATTATCTGGCCTCTCAAAACACCGGCGGATCCCACCACGACGAAAGCCCCACCCCTACTCTGGCAGGGCCCAACAGCGCTCATGGCACTCATGGGTATGACCCGGAGAAGAACGATGACCGGGTGGCGGGTCTTGGTGCTGCTGAAGTGGGTACCGACTATGAGAAGACGAAGGAAATAGACGAGAAGGGGGAGGACCCTGCGCCTCTCGCCCGTGACCACCAGACTACTTCTGGTACTACTCACGCCCCACCCGCGCCGACGACCTCGGATGCCAAAACGGTGGAGGGTTTGGGTATGGTTTCGCTTTCAAGACAATTCTCAACGCCGCCGGCTGTCAGCCCGTTTGGGGGTGTGGCTCCGTCTGGCACAGATGCAGAGAGAGGGTTAAGGGCCATGAGGAGCAGGGAAGAAGAGGAGGCGCGAGATTTGGAGAGGGGAGCCAAAGGACCTGATCCTTTTGCTGTTCAATTTGAGCCGGGAGAGGATATCAACCCCAAGGTGAGTCTCTTTTGACAAGCTCGACACTTTTGCTGACTCATCTGCAGAACTGGGGCGTCGGCTATAGATGGTGGCTCACCTGCCTGGCTGGTCTCCTCGTCCTCAACTCTACCTTTGCCTCCTCCTCTCCCTCGGGTATCATCAACGATATGATGGCATACTTTGGATTTTCTCAAGAAGTCGCTATCCTTACCCTTTCCCTCTTCGTAGCTGGGTACTGCGTCGGCCCCATCGTCTGGGGGCCTCTTTCCGAGACTTACGGCCGCCGGCCCGTCTTCATCGCCACTTTCATCGTGTACACGGGCTTCCAAGTGGGGTGTGCACTGTCCAAGAACACGGCGTCTATCTTGATCTTCAGATTCCTCGGAGGGACCTTCGCGGCTGCTCCACTGACGAATTCGGGGGCAGTGTTGGCTGATATCTGGGACGGCGACCACCGAGGAAAGGCTATGAGGTTCGTTGTGGCGTTTTGAAGTATTACCAGACAGCTAACGAAGATTTCAAAGTGTCTTCGCCCTCTCGCCTTTCGCGGGTCCGTCTATAGGACCTATTGTATCTGGATTCATCCATGTCAGTGGAACTGTGAGTAGCTTCTCCACTCGAGTTACTCGGAGCGCTAATTCACACCAAGAGCTGGAGATGGATGTTCTGGATCCTTACCATCTTTGCCGGAGTTTGCCTTGCAGTCATCGTCTTTTTGGTTCCCGAGACCTACTCGCCCAAGATCCTCGCCAAAAAAGCTGCTAGGTTGAGGAAAGAGACTGGCGACGACAGATACTATGCTCCTCGTAGGCCACCTCCGGATCTTGCCGGTCTACTTTACTGACCTTCTGTGCAGTGGAGAGGGCAGATGCGAGTCTCAAAGCTCGAGCACACGACATTCTCTTCAAGCCATTCATCATCCTCGCGCTCGAGCCCATGCTCCAGGCGGTAACGATGTACATGAGTTTCGTGTACGGTGTTGTCTACCTTCTGTTCGAGGCTTTCCCCTTTGTGGTGCGTAGCGTCCATCTGACAGGATGTCGTGTCAAAGCTGATACCTGGTAAAGTTCGAGCAGAACCATGGGTTCAATACCGGTGAAGAAGGTCTTGCCTTCCTCGGTTTCTTCGGCGGCGGTTGTGCCTCTGTCATCTTGTGAGACATTTCGGTGCTTCTATCAATGGTATGTCAGCTGACATATAATCCCTCAGCTTTGTAACCGTTATCGAACCCCGTTATCTTCGCCACGCCAAAGCCGTAGCTCCCGAACCTCCCCGGCCCGAGATGCGCCTCGAGCTCTGTGTCATCTCTGGCATCTCTCTCGTCATCGCGCTCTTCTGGTTCGGCTGGACTTCATACTCGTCTATTCACTGGATAAGTCCAGTACTTGCTGGGGCTTTCATTGGCGTTGGTACTTTGGGAATGTTTGTCAGTTTGTTCAACTATATCATCGACGTCTATCTTTGGTCTGCGGCTTCGGCATTGGCTGCTGCTAGTGAGTCATTCATTATAGAAATTGAGGGTCCATACTAATGGTATTACAGCTGTCGTTCGATCTCTGTTCGGTGCCGCTTTGTGAGTCCACATTCTGCATCAATACACTGCTCGGCTGACACCATAATAGCCCTCTTTTCGCCACTCAGATGTACGGTAAACTAGGCAGTACGTCCCTATCTTTCTCCTTTCCACCCTCTCTTCCATGTGAATGTAATCTAACGGACTGCAGCTCAATGGGCCTCATCTCTACTTGGATTCCTCGCCCTCCTGATGGCCCCCATCCCCATCATCTTGATGAAGTACGGCCATCAATTGCGCGCGAAGTCCAAGGTCTCGCCCAGTCGTTAACAGAGGTGCATCGTTGGTGTATAGGACATCACTTCCTCCCGGTGAGAGGGGTGTTAGAAAATACATCGATAGAGAAGAAACAGACATCGATAGAGATGAAACGGACTTTTGATTGGATAGATGTCATAAGGTACTTGTATAATGATATCAGAAACCCCAATGGCATGCCATGTATGTGTGTTTCAGACGTTTGTCCCAGATCGTCGCACAGTTATACACGTGTCTATGACTTTTCATGGGGCTGAGGTGCTCCATGTCACACTAGTTTAATGTACTTGCATCGACAACGGAAGCCCGAGCGTGAGTCGCGGACATGTTGATAATCTCAACTCGCTACTGGCATGTGGAGTCGTAGCCGGCCAGCAAAAGGCTGACTTGCAATGCATCCGACTATAGGATCGGGAGCTACGACATGCCCATAGCAAACATGCCGGACTCAATCCAAGAAAGCCCCAGTTGGAGGGCGGAGTTAACAGCAGGACATTCCCCGACGAGGAGTTTCGCTCGGCATTTGTCTCATTGCCTTTAAGTTTGTAATATCTTACAAAGAGCCATGCGCAATGGCACTGCCTTTGCTATGGCTTACCCATACACCAGAGGCATTAGCGTCTAGGCTCATACATCGGCAGCACCCAGAGAAGTCCCAGGGACTGTCATATATATATATATAGGCCAGCGCTGCCCTCCAGCAATACGTCTTCATCTTCTCAACTATCCTTTCTGCGTCGAATTATGACTCTCGACACTCACACCCCAGTCTCCCCGGACACTAGGGGTCCTCAGGCTACTCCACCAGACCTCCCTGTTCGATCAAGTGCAGAAGACAAGGAAAAATACCAATAATGCGAGTAAGGGTAAAGAAGAGTCCGACTCTTGGGCCGTTCATTTCGAGCCCGGCAAGAGCATCAACCCAAAAGTAAGTCAAGTCTCCATATACAACACGAACTGACCTCGAGCTATAGAACTGGGGCGTTGGCCATCGGTGGTTTCTGACTGTGGTCGCTGGCGTTCTCGTCTTCAACTCAACTTTGGCCTCATCCGCCCCTACTGGCATCGTGGACGGCATGATAGACTACTTTGGTTTCTCCCAAGAGGTCTGCACGCTCGGCTGGACGTCGTACCCGAGTATCCATTGGATGATACCTGTACTTGCTGGGGCGTTCATCGGAATCGGTACGCTGGGCATGTTCGTGAGTCTGTTCAACTACATTATCGATGTGTATCTCTGGTCGGCTGCTTCGGCTCTGGTGGCTGTCAGTGAGTTGCGATGGTCTGAGGATAGAGCGCAAAGCTTACAGATGGATACAGCTATTGTGAGGTCCCACTTTGGAGCTGCTTTGTGAGTCAGATCAGCATTATTTGTTCTGTATACTCACATCATACTTAGCTCTCTCTTCGCCACGCAGATGTATGAAAAGCTGGGAAGTAAGTCTGTTTATCCGCGATTGATCGACAAGAGCCATGCCGCTGATCATTTGCGTAGCTCAATGGGCGTCCACCCTACTCGGCTTCTTGAATTTGCTCATGGTACCGATTCCCGTTGTCCTCATGCGGTACGGCCATCTCCTGCGCGCACAGTCCAAGTTTTCACCCAACCGCGCGGGCATAGTGGATGAAGGAGGCAAATGCCGGAGGAGTGGATGTGAGATGACAATTGCGAGATGACATAATACCCCATTGAGAACGGGAGACATATAGCGAGCTGTTAGTGATAGTGAGATGTACATACATAACCATTGTGCCCATATTGACCTCTGGAGACAATGATCTAGTCCTGCATCGTCTACGTAGAATCGGTCAGGCAAGATGCGTGGCTTGGGTATGAGAAGCTGAAGCTCACACTGGAAATATCAATGAAGGTCATGAAAAGACGTTGATTGCCCGTGGAGTATATGTACGGTGATACAAACAACGACAAAAGAATTGAACAACAGCATTCGGTGGCCCGACGACGGGAACGGAGTTCGCTGGAGAAATGTGATGTGGCACTGTTGTTGTGACTTGCCAAGCAGCCTACTTATGCACTACCGAGGTCTAGTGAAGACTGTTCGAAGGGATCCAAAAACAGCTAGCATCCTTGGGCAGCATTGGACGCAGAGCTTCCCGAGATAGACGACAGTACATCTGCGCCACTCGCGGCTGACCGGCACAGGTGATTGTCACAAGATTGTCAATTTCTTGTTCTCTCTATATTCTCCTTGAATTATCTTGTATCGCGCTGTACATACCCCACCTATACTTCGATATGCCCCTTCGCCGAAACTACTATCGCGCACCATCGCTCGACAGCGAGGACGACGATTACGAGCCCCTACAAAGCATCCAAAACCGCCAGCGCCACCCTGCCCGCCGCATCCAGCCCCCCTCTCGAGCAAACCCCCCGACAGCCGCCAGTAGACCTTCAGCCATCTCCAGCTCCCGCTCAATCTCGCATGGGATACCCTCGGCGCCAGCACAAGCCGCGCCAGGGCCCTCCAGGCCAGCAGAAGGAGGACCCCCGCCACAGATCTCTGGAAGACCAAACGTTCCTGAAGATGAACCTGTGTCTTCGAGAGATCGATATGCAGTCGCGAGAAGAAGACTGAGGAGACGGGTGGAAGACGACGAGGATGTGGTGTATACCGGGTCATCGGGAGCAGAAGGTGTGTTGTTGTGCAAAACACGGAATTTTGCTGATTGTTCTCATTCGTACCTTCGTTCTCTTTTCCGCCATTGCGTTCCACGCCGCTTTCTTCCTCCCTTATCCAATCCCCCTCCCCTCTCCGCCTCTCGCCCCGACACTGAATCCCGATCATAGACGGCCAGGCGCTAGCAGGACCATCTAGGCCGCGTAACAGAGCCCCCAATCATCATATCCAGCGTGAGTGTGAAACAAAGGTCCGCTATCTGCGACTTTTCCCGGTGTACAATTCGTGCCGTGCTGACCCCTTCCCAGGCTTGAACGCCGCTCTCGACGCCCGGCCCAGACGCGATCCCGACGCAGACCGCCGCCAGTCCCTCTCTAACGACTCTGACCTTGAGGACGAGATCGACCTCCCTCCTGCCCGCCCCCGTATCGGCCTAGGTGGCGCCGTCTTTCGACGTGGAGGTGCTCGCAGACAGTTCGTCCTCGGTCGTCCCCCTACTTCCCCTCCACAACAGCACGGTCAAGACGCTATGGCTGCACCTGGTCAACAATTTTTCTTGGGAGGCAACAATGTGGGGCATTTCATGATGAACGCGCTCGGCGCCGGGATGGGATTCCACATTGGGCTGGGAGGTGTAGGTATAGCTTTCGGAGGGGCGGGGCCTGCTAGAGCAGAGGCAGATATCGAAACAATCCTGAGAAGCGTCGAGGTGCCCAAGTACCCTGCGCCAACAGCGGGGTTCGTGGCCAACTTTGATATGGAAGAGGCGCAGTCCAAGCAGGCAATTGAAATCGATGACAATGGGGTAGTCAAGAAGAAACGGAAACAACCCATCCTCGTCTGCGCCAAGTGCAAAGACCCGCTGCTCATCTCTGAAGCCTACCGCACCCCCGCCGACAGAATCTGGGCTCTCCGCTGTGGTCACATCATCGACCAAAAGTGCCTCGACGAGATTCAGGCCCCGAGGTCCATCATGGAGATGGCGAGCGTGGACAAGCATCCGGACGTGTTGGATGAGCAGCCGGCGAAGAGGAGGAAGGGCGTGCGCAAGGCGAAGGAGCAGGAGAAGCCGGCGGACGAGTATACGTGGAAGTGTCCGGTGGAGGGCTGTGGGAAGCGGCACATGAGCAAGGATATAGGCGGGTCATGGGTGATGGGTGAGGGAGAAGGGGCGCTGCAGGTGTACGCTTGATCGCTACTGGAAGATGCCACGAAGAAGACGAAGCATGTTGTATCTACTAGGACTGGGGGTGCATGGATAGCGTATCCGACCAAGCTCATCCCGCCCGCAGACCGCCACAGTTGAAAGAGGAGAGTGGCGCTGCACCAAAGGACCCCGGCGATCAATCGGGAGGTGACGCGTGGCGGTCTGTGCGTGGTTGACTCAACCCTCCCATTTCTATCTCCATCTCTCGTTTGCCTTTCCATCTTCTATCCCGTCTACACTACCGCCATGAGCAAGGAGGCTGCTCTCGAAACGTAAGTCGAGTACTGGCATATGTGAGAATGCCGTTGACGCCCATGCCAGCTTTCCTCTTCGGGACTACAACTTTGTGTGAGCGGCATCCTCCTCTTCCCCCTGATATCCCTCAACGGAAGCTACCCCTCGCTGCTGCTGCAGTGGCCTGCCTGCGTTGGCATACCAGCCAACCACAAGCCTGGCCTGCAGACCACTAGCGCCCCCCACTTATTCGCTCATCTGATCTTGCCTATAGTGAGCGCGAAAGTCAACCTGAGGAAGACCACTCTGTTACTGCCAGGCTCAAGCGACTTGAAGCACACTATGAAGAGTCGGGCGTGCGAAGGACCGTGGAGGCTGTTATGGTGGTCACCGTGAGCCTTGCGCGTCGCTCCCCGAACGTCAATCGCTGATATGCCATAGGTCCGAGGCTTCCCTCACGTTCTCGTTTTGCAAGTGGCCAACGCCTTCTACAAGCTGTAAGTTCAATTTCACGATTTCAAAGTACACACTCTGACTGATAGCATCCAGTCCCGGCGGCTATCTCGACCCATCCGAATCCGACTCTGTCGGCCTCATCACCCGCCTCAACGAACAACTCGGTGTCCCGATTGGTACTGTCGCACCTCACAAGGGGAATGACTTGCCGCAGAACATCTGGTTAGCGCCTGAAGGTGGCAGAGACTGGGAGGTGAGGGATTGCTTGAGCACATGGTACAGGCCGCACTATGATACGTTCTTTGTGAGTCATCTCCCTTTCCCAGTCGAGATTGAGTGCTGATGTTGCGAGTGCAGTACCCATATGCTCCTGCCCATGTGTCAAAGCCAAAAGAGTGCAAGAAGATGTACTTGGTCAACCTCCCGCCAAGTAGTGAGCTCCAAGCCAAGACGCGTTTTTCTCGAGGGCTTACGCGCGTTGCACTAGAAACATTTGCAGTCCCGGCCAACATGAAGCTCCACGCCATCCCCATCTTTGAATTCTACGACAACGCAGCTCGCTACGGTCCACAGTTTGCTGGTATTCCTTACATCCTCAGCAGGTGAGCTTACTTTTCGACGGGAAGACGTATGCTCGGCTGACGAAAGATGTCTTGAACAGGTTCAAGCTGACTGGGCCGGAGGTCGACGGTGTGGACGAGGAGGTCGCCAGACTCTAGACTTTGGTGCCCGACGGTGAGCCGAGTATGACGGTGGACAGTGGACTGGGCGACTGGGCTTGACGTCAACCGCAATACTCGCTAGGGCTTTGCAGGGCTTTTGCATGTGGTCCTGGTGGCCGCCGAGACCGGACCCTCTTATGTTTCTTTTCCCATTCATGCCGACTTTCCTCTTTCGTCCTTTTGACTCATTTATCACCCGCAGATACCTCCATTCAGTCAACCCAACATAGCATGCATCAGCTAGCGGCAGAGCATCTTTGAGTAAAGATCAAGCTCAGCGATTTGGAATACGATTCCGAGCCCCGAATATTTGGTAAAAGCTTCGGCGCTCGGCAGATCACATGTCGGCATCCAGTTGTAATGATGCAGGTGAGTCACTTTTGGGTCCCTGAAAGTAATCTTCTCGCGTCACCTCCAGCTTTTGCCTCCACTTTTTTCCACCTCCTGTCCCTGGGCCTCCACCGAGCCAAACCTTCTTACAACTTGCTCTCGTCAAAAAAAGCCAGGACCCATCATCGCATTTGCTCATCGTGCTTTCTCGAGAGCGGCCGAAGATGGAGGCCAAATAAGACTCGGACTATGCAGTCTTGGATCTTAGGTAAATGATGAGCATAGGCCGCAAGGCCAAGATCTCATGGCCATGACGTACTCACCTACACAGCGTTAAACCGTCTTTTTCACCGATCGCCTCTCGCTATATAAGAGCGCCCTACTCCCTCAAGCCTGTCAACTATAACCTCGGTTCTTCAGATTCGCAGTCTCTTCACTCAATCGTCGCTCTCGACCCATCCCCACTACGACCTCTCCGACGATTTTCAAACGATCGAACTTTGCCATGAGGACTTCCACCACTCTGCTCGCATTGAGCGCCGCTGCGGGCGCTGCTCAGGCCGTCGACATCTCTAGCGTTGAATCTTCGGCTCTTGCTTTGTAAGTATGATAGTTTAGTGGTGAGGTCAAAGATACTGACCAGTCTTTCAGGCTTTCATCAAGCTGCCGAAGTGCGTATCAGAACCTCACTGATGCCCAATCGGACATTGGCAAGTGCTTGAAGACTCAAGCCATCGGCAGTCGTACGTTCATTCTTTTTCACCAGCTGTCCTCGCTCACCTTTTTTCAGTCTTGCAAAGCAAGGGCTCCATCATCCCCGGCGTCAACTCCTACCTCAACAACATTTGCGCCGACGACCCTTGTTCTTCCGACGCTCTTGCCAACGCCACTCAGACTATCCAGACCGAGTGTGCCAGTGACTTGACCAATTATGGGTGGCCCAACGAGACTGTTCAGTACCTCGTTTCCAGCTACCCCTTGGCTCGAGAGGTGTTCTGCTTGAAGACGTGAGTTTTGATTGTCGTTCGCCACTCAAACGCTGACTCGTCGATCAGTACCGACCCTAACCAGTTCAACGCTTCGCTCGCCTCCAACGCCACCACCTCTAGCAACTCTACTGCCTCTGGTGTTTCTTCCAGCTCTTCATCGGCTGCCGGAAACGCGACCGCCCCGGTCTCTTCTGCATCCACCGCGGTCTCTTCTGCTTCTAGCTCTGCCGAGTCTCTTTCCAGCTCTGTGACCGGCTCTGTCAACTCTGCTGCCGCTTCTGTTGCCCGACGACAGGAGGCTTCCGACAGTGCCACCACTGCTAGCGCTTCTTTGACTGGTGACGACGCTTCCGGCCCTACCCCCACCGCGTCTTCATCGGCTTCATCCGTTAGCGAGTCATCCTCAGCCAGCGACACTGCTTCCGTCACGTCTTCCGCCGCCGCCGGTGTTTCTTCTGCCAACTCCACTACCGCTGGCAACTCGACCTCGGCCGGAAACTCAACTTCCAACTCTACTTCCGAGGACACTGGCTCTTTCTGCGTCATCTCCGTCTTGGAGGAAGCCTTCTCTTACTTGGGCTACAACTTGAGCGTCTCCGACATTGCCACCATTGTCATTGGCGGTAACGCTTCTGCTGTCCAGACTCTCTTGGCCATCCCTCCCAGCGCCCTCTGCTCTGACTGCGTCTTTGGCGCTCTTGACTTGGTCGAGACTGAGCTTCCCGACTTTGGTACTTGGGTCACGGTCGACAATGTTACTTTGAACAGCTACCTCGACACTACTTGCACCGCCACTGGTCTTAACGTTTCTTCCAGTGAGTACATACTCGGGTTTCTTTGAACTTGACGCTGACTTGATTTTAGACGGTACTCTCCCTACCAACGTCACCTCCGGTACCTCCAACTCTTCCTTCGGTCACTCTTTCGTGAACGGTACGGCGACTTACGTCCCCACCTCCACTGCCCCTGCCATCCCTGCTGCCTCCATCCTCGGCGCTTCCGGCAACGTGACCGTCGGTAACACCACCTTTGGTTTCGGCAACAACATCACTGCCAATGAGACCTTCTCCACCTCTATCGGTACCAACGGTACTTCTAGCACCGTTGGAGCCGTTGGATCTGCTGCCGAGTCTGCTACCAGCGCTGCTGGATCTGCCACCAGTGCGGTTGAGAGCAGGCTTTCTTCTGTGACTGCTGGTTCTTCTAGCGCTGCGGACTCTGCTTCTGCTTCCGAGACTGCCAGCGCTACTGCTGCCGTTCGACGAGGCGACCCTGCGCTCATCAAGGCCCGATGGGTTGGTGAGCAGTAAGCGGTGAAGAGGGGATTTGTAAGGTCAATGATCCTGTTCGAGGAGGAGAGTATCATGTTGTGATAGACATCAAACACGCATATCTAGCATTCTCGTAAACAAAATTGCTTGTAGGCATCTGTAGCTATTAGTAACACGCAATCTGTCAAGTGCCATGCACATTGTAATGCCATTAATACTCTGACTTTTGTCTTGTAATGTCCTGTAATGTTTTGTAATGGATCTGCAATTTTGTAATGGCCTCGTCGTCATTTCTTATCCCCATCCTCTCCTTTCCCTCAATTTCATCCCCGCCGCCACCATGCCCGACCGCAGCGGCCCTACCTCCCCTCGCATCGCCATCGATGCCGGCCAGCCCCAGCCCAGGAGCAATCTCACCTCCCCCAACAACCCCCTGACTCCCTCCAGGACAGCCCCTGCCGGCAGCATCACCATCCCGCACCGCAGCTCCATGAGCGGAAGGTCCTACCGCCCCGACGATCCGGACGCAAGGGAGAGGCAAACCCAGCAGGACATTGAATCGGCGTCTGCCATGAGCATGTGTAAGCTTGCAACCTTTGTCATGCAGAAGGTGGTATACAAAAGATTTCCGGGCTGATATATTCTTTGCTTTGCGGACGCAGCTCGCGCACGTTCTGGCTCTATCAACCACCCTGACAGCAGCCCGCCCATGGCCCGCCCTTCCCAAATGCACTTTCCGTCCACTTCCCCTATCCATGAGGGACGTTTCCCCATGCTGTCGGAAGCTGAAGAGGCTGAGATGGACCGCGCCAGGCGGCTTCATGGGGGACGCGATAACGAGTCTGACGACGAGCATGGCCATGGCGGACACTATCACCGTCACGTAGAAGAGCGGGCGGAGGAAGACCATGGGAGAAGAGACAGCATAGGCGATGGCAGTGGGTACGACTCGCACAGCCGTCTTCTCAACCGCCGCGGGTCTGATGGCGATATTCGCCACCTCGACCTGAGCCAGCTCGGCGGGCACGGCATGCGCAACACATTCGATTTTGCGGCGATGGAAGAGTTTGCAAACAAGGAAAAGGAAAACTCGTTTGCGGCTGAAGGAGCTTGGGGTGCTGGGAACGACGGGCCGAGGCGAAGAAGTGTGCCGCACACTGGTGCCGGGGCGAGTGATGAGAACCTGACTCAGCCAGGGAGTTACGAGACGGCTCTAGATCGGACCAACACGATGTCTGCGTTCGGGGATGAGCCAGACACTGCCTTTTCTCCCGAGCGAGGTCACCACGACACTCACGCCCCCACATTCCAACGCAGGCGCCAGCGAAAACTTTCGCAATCCAACCCGGTCTTGCGGCAGAAGAAGCTTGCTCTCTTCGAAGGGTTCGGGTCGAATGGTGTCAACGATGGCGAATCGGCTCTTGAAGGTGCTTCAACTGCCTTCAAGGCCCCACGCCAAAAGACTGGTAGCTTTGCGCCATACTCTGATTCAGCGCCAGGCCACGACCGTCCATACCGATTCTCCTTCTACTCCAACGCCATGCCCGTCACTATCCACGCTCGCAGCCTCGCAGAGCTTCCCGCCGAGGGTCAAAGCTTTGAAGACCTCTTCAGAGGGCGCAATCTCAGCGGACAGGCGACACCGGCTGCCAACCTCGACACTGGAACGCGCGCCGCCTTGTCTGAAACGCCCTCCAAGACTCCGGCGCCTCCGGTAGAGCCCAGCACGGCAGCATCGGGCAAGACGCAGCCGAGTCTGTTGACAAAGGCTGTGGGAGCTGCTATGGCGCAGCAGGGGACTGGTGGGCCGGGGCCGGGGATGGAAGATGATGATCCCGAGCAGTCGACTTGGTGGTTGGATGTGCTGTCGCCTACGGATGAGGAGATGAGGCTCTTGTCAAAGGTGAGTCCCTCTCAATGGGCTTATCAAGGAATTGTGCTGATTGTGATGTAGGCATTCGGTATCCACCCCTTGACAACAGAAGATATCTTGCTCGAAGAGACGCGCGAAAAGATTGAACTCTTCCGCAACTACTATCTCGTCTGTTTCCGATCTTTCGACCAAGACCCATACTCGCAGACATACCTCGAGCCGCTCAACATGTACATAATCGTCTTCCGCGAAGGCACTCTCTCTGTATGCTCCCTTTCTTCCCTTTTCTGCTTTTCCTTGATGCTGACTTTGGACAAGTTCCACTTTAGGGGCACACCTCATCCCCAAAACGTCCGCCGCCGAATCAAGCACCTCAAAGACTACATCTCTGTCACCTCTGACTGGATCTCTTATGCGCTTATCGATGATATCACCGATGCGTTTGGGCCGTTGATTCAGGGTATCGAGTTTGAGGTCGATAGTATCGATGAGCTGGTGTTGATTCTCAAGGAGGCAGAACAGAGTGATATGTTGAGGAGGTGAGTTTTCACGATTGATGAAGGGGAGCGGTTGCTGATAGGGTGGTGTAGGATCGGAACTTGCCGAAAGAAGGTCATGGGTCTGCTGAGATTGATGGGCAACAAGGCAGATGTCGTCAAGGGTCTCGCCAAACGATGTATGTCCCTCTCCTTTTTTTTCTCCCGTAGCCCTGAAACTGACAACTTGATAGGTAATGAGCAATGGCTGGTGGCTCCCAAATCCGACATCGGTCTCTACTTGTCCGATATCCAAGACCATTTGATCACCATGACGCAAAATTTGAATCACTATGAAAAGATTCTTTCGAGATCACACTCGAATTACCTTGCGCAGATCTCTATCGAGATGACTGATGCCAATAACCAGATTAACGATGTTCTTTCGTGCGTATCTTCTCCAATGGGTAGGGGTATTGGCTGATCCGTGTTTCTCTTGCAGCAAACTGACTGCTCTTGGTACGGTCTTGATGTGAGCCTATCATCCCCTGCATGTACAAGAGAGCAGACACTGACATGATAAACAGTCCGATGAACTTGGTAACAGGTCTCTGGGGTATGAACGTCCACGTTCCAGGACAAGATATCGAAACGGGATATTCTTGGTTTGGCGGTATCCTGGGATGTTTGTGCCTGTTTGCTATCCTGGGTGCTTGGGCTACTGTAAGTGACATTCACAGGACAGCAAGAAACCACCGCTGATCATCCGGTTCAGTACAAGTGCTTTGTCGTTCGCTAGAGCTCTCCTCGTTGTCTTCCGTCTCTTCATCTTTCATTCTCGCATAGCAACGTCTCTCTCTTTCGCATCTCATTTTGCCACTCGTACTACTTTGAAAGACTGTTTGTATCGTTAGCGTAGACTTCCGATTGATTATCGGCCGGGCTTTTAAAAGAAAAAATGTGACATATAATCTTGATCATCGCATGTACTTGGTCGCATTGCTCCTGGGTAGTCAGTGAAGCATAAAATTCACACGTGCCGTGACTTGTACACCAGTACATATGATGAATATGAGTTCTATATATTATTACACACATGGCGATAAGAAACCAAGAAATAATGTCCGTGATCGAGTCCTCCTATAGGACTGCACTATCACTATGTCAAATCGCTCTCAACATATCTAATAAGACTTCAACATGGGCTCATCACAATGCCCAACCTCTACATCTATTCACACAACCTCACGGGTGATTCGGAGGCGGGGGCGGGGGCTTGGCAGCCGCCTTGTCAGATTTGGCCGCAGGGGTAGCGGGTAAACCTCTCGGCTCGAACTGATGCTCACACATCAGTTGCCTGTTACCTTCGAGCTGAAAGTACTGCGCTTACACCGTGCTTTGCCTTGAGCGCAAACAAGTCGGCAATCTGTTGCTCTAGAGCACGCTTCTCTTCCCTCACTTTCCCGAGCTCGCCCATAGACTTGTTGACTTCGACGTTCAAGAGTCTCTTGAATTCTTCAATGTGCACTGCGAGCGTCCACGAGTCAGCTCCATTAATACTGGATGTCACCTCAAACTCACTCATGACGTTGACTGTAGTGGCCTTTTGCATCGACTCGAGGAACTTCATCTTCTCGCCTCTGATCTCTTCCGTCAAATCTAACGGGTCGTTAGTGTGTCGTTTCAGTTTTGGGGTGAGGACTCACCGGTAGCAATGGCTCTCAAAAGTATCTCATGATCTTGTCTCTGCTTTTCCAACACATGCAGAATTTGACCCGTTGCTGCATCTGGGGTCAGCATGTGTTTCCAAGCGCATCTTGATTCGACTCACCGGCCTCTTGAACCGCCTGTCTCTTTTGATCATGTCCCATCATGGAGACCAGAGAGTCCAGCCTCTGCCCCATAAACCCCTCCGCCTCGTTACGTCCCTGCTGGTCCACCAGCATCTTGTGCATATCTGCGATGAGCGCTGGTAAACCAGTTGGAGCGTCTCCAGCCTGATCAGGTTCGGGACCGAACAAAGTATCAAGTCGACCAGACATCTGCTGCAGATGGCCAGAAGAACCCGTGACAAACTTCTCGAGCCATGCGTTGAGCTCGCCCAAGTCTAAGAGGTGGTCAGTGCGGCATCAGGCTATGGTGTAGAATGAATACGCACATTTGCCCATATCGGCAGCCTGAATCTTCTGACTATCCTTCGCTTCGTTCAAGCCCTTCAACATCTCCATGGCCTCGTCCATCTGCTTCAAAGTCTCCTCAGGAATAGCCGGGGCAATCGAAGTTGGAGGGTCTGCTGCAGAGTCTTTGGCAGGGGGTGTTGTACTGATGATATGAACATCTTGTTGCTTGAGAATCTTGTTCTCACCATCCTGGAAGACACTGTTAGCTTTGACAGATTACGGATCGATCAGAAGCTCACCTCATTACCCATGATCTTGGCTACTTCCTCAGCAGCAGCGGCCTCGTCGTGCTCAACAGCCTTGGGCTCTGATTCTCGGACGTTGGCTTCACCCGCCGTTGTTGTCGGGGCGGCCTTGTCACCAGACGTTTTGGCGTCACCAAGCTCTTTGGTCGAAGGCTCCGCCTTCGGGGTTTCACTTTCAACAGCTTTTGCGTCTGGCTTGTCTTTCTTGGAAGAGTTTTCCTTTGGCTTGTCGGCAACGGGTGTCTCGACAGCTCTTCGCATCACTGTCAATAGTCTTGGAAGAGACGGTTTGTCGTGTACGTCGCCCGCTTCAAGGCCGGGGTTTCTGTCGTTGTCTATCGCGCCCGTCACACCCTGGTCGACTGGATTTGTCTCGACCTTTCGCGTCTCGTCGCTAGGAGCAGCAGTATCCGGGACGGGAGCGCCCTTCTGAGTACCAACGAACTGGGTGTATAGAGCTGTGAGAGCGTCAAGTTTCTTGTGGATCTCTGACATATCTGGCTGAGCGACTGGCCTGGGGGAATAAGGTACAGGCATCGCAATGGTAGCTGCACTCCCTGGGCGCCCGTTGACTTTGTCATTCTGCTCTGCGATAGTAGGCGGATGCGAGGCAGTTGGTGTAAGAATGTCCCCCGTCGTGACTGAGCGGGCAGTGACATCAGGCTCTGGGTGCTGCCCATCCACAGACGGTTCTCTGACTGTAAGTTGACGAGCCAGGGGAGCGGGCATATTGAGGGTGGCAGGACGAGGACGAGAGTCAGGAGAAGGTCCTCTCTGGCGAGGACGATCCGTCACGTTCAGGATACGATGAGGTGGGGCAGGGACGTCGCCGGCCATGATGGCATCCGAGTCCTCCGCTTGAAGGTCACCGCCGGTGGAAACAGTCATATTCTTGACCTCTGCTGGCTCCGTCACCTTGGCAGCGGGAAGAAGCCCTGTCGCATCATGGGCAGAGGCTGCAGGACTTGCAGGAGCTACAGCCGCTGGTGTGTTGGGGATGTTCTGGGCCTGCGTGGCAGCTTTGGGTGTAGGCGCTGAGGAAGGCACAGCACGTCGCGGGATGTTGAACGCTCCAGAAGCATGTGAATAACGGGTTGGAGTATTGTTGATAGCTTTAGAACTGTGTTCTTCCATCGGTGGTTCGGGAAGGCTCTTGTAGAACTTCGCAGCTTCTCCCTCGCCCGGTACGTCGTTCTCTAGCTGGCTGGTGACTGGGACGTCGTGTTTGGCCACAGTGGCCGTACCTTCGTCATACCCTCGCTGGGGTTGAGCGCTGAACGCGGCTCCGGCATAAGGAAGGTTCCCGCCCGGCATGTGACGGGACCGAAGGGGCACATCTGCCATGTACACTGCCTGGGGCTGTTGTAACCTCTCTTCTTCGATCAACCTTCTGACAGCCGCCAACTCTTCGTATAAGCCGTTGAGCCTCGCCTCCAACGCCCGGGGATAAGGGGCAGTCTCGGAATCAACCAGCGTTGAAGTACGCCCTTCCAGATTCTCCAGGTGTGTGTACACTCGGCTGAGATCCATAGCACTCGCATTGGGCTCTACGTCCTTATCCTGCAGATGTACGGCTTCCACCACCGTGGTCTCCGTAATGGGGGCAGGCGTGACCAAGCCTTTGACCAAGTCTAGATCTTGATGCAGAGCGCCAAGCTTCTCTCGCAACGCTGTGGGGTATGGAGCGGTCGCCGGATCAGACATCTCCCGTGTGCGGTCTGTGAGCACCTGCATCTGGGCAAGTACCAGCTCAGAAGTAGGTGATGAGCCGTCTTTAGTGGGGAGAGGAGGCACTTGGTCAAGGTCGGCCGCGACAAAGGCACCCTTGCCTGGGTCTGCTCCGAGCAAGGCTGGAACAGTCGTGGCAGGCCGATGTATACCACGAGGAACCCTCCCTGGCAGTGAGATTGAACCGATCGGCTCCTCCCATCTTTCATTTCTGGCGGTATACTGATCTTCAGCCGTAGGTACGACTTTGGGAGCTTCTGTCTCCGTGGTAGCCATGTCTTTCTTGACATATCCACTGGATCGACTTGAAGGCCTGCTGTTGACCACCGGCGCGTCTGAAGAAGTCGCTGGCTCGAAGAGCGCTGTCAAAACCTTTACAGGCCCCGCTTGACCCTTTATCCCACTCCCCTGCCTCGCCAATGTACTGCTCGGTCGACTGATCGCACTAGCCGGTCTGGCGGATGACGGCCTCGACAACGGAGAGGGAGTGGACGGTGTATCCCCTCTCCTGATGAGGTCAGCCACACTTGCACCGAAAAGCTCTGATCTGACAGATTTTGGTGCGACGACACTGTCTTCGGAAGCCAGCGAGCTCGGGCTGCTTGAGCGTAGACTCGGTACAGGGAGATTGAGTAGTGATCTCCTGCTCTTTCCCCTGCTGGGGAGACTATCAGAAGCAGACGCTGGGCTAGGACTAGAGACGGCCCCCATCGCAAGATCTCGGGACGTCGATGGTTGGGCGACCATGGCTGGGGTGACGACTCTTGCTGGCGGGGTCGTTTGTTGATCTGCAGAGTGGGGAGACGGTTTGCCGCCAGAAGATACACGCCGACCAAAGGTACTTGTCGATATAGGTCTAGGTCCTCGGCGGGGGACATTCATCGTCTGATGCACAATGTTCTTCTCCAAAGGAACGATGGTAATAGGACTGTCCATACTGGACCCGCGAGAGGAAGGGGTGTTTACTCTGGACACGTCTGCTGGAGGAGGCAGGTTGCCCAAAACGATCGTTCGAGGACTGCCGGGTGTGTTGACCAGTGTATCTGTACTCGAGTCTGCGGGGCCCTCCTTGTGGATATTAAGAGGCTTCGTCATAAATTCCGAGATGGGTCGAGCGGGAGGTAGATCCTGAAGGGCGAGCTGCATCGTCCTCGAGGGAGATGCTCCAGCACCCGCCATATCATTCTCGCCCCCTTTTCCAAAGAACAGCGGCGTCGGCATATCGTGTTCGACCAAACCCACTGTGTACACTTTAGCCTTGGAGGACGGTGAGTCGAAGTTGGGTTTGGGAAAGGCGACTCTGCTGATGTAAGACGAGTCTTTCTCTGTCGTCTGAGACTCCCACATCGCAGCTCTAGACTTGACGTCCCCATTGGCCTTCTCTCGCTCCTGCTCCGCTTCGTCGCCATCGCCATCAATGACAGTATCGGCCCTTCCCACCTGACTCGCGCTCCTGGAAGGATTGAGATCATCCGAGTCGAAACTCAACATCGTCTCCGACGGCGGGATATCGAGATGCTCCCCCGAGTCCTCTTCATCTATGTGTGGGTAGAAAGGTTCGGTTGTGGGAATGGGTGGCAGTCGACTGCGAGCAAATACCGAGAGATCGCGTTCGGTCTGGACAGGAGTCTGCCAGTCGATTATACGTTGTGAGACCTCGGAGGATTGTGAAGACGAGCGCTGCTTTTCGTGGGAGAACGGCTTTGGAATGTCCATGGGCGTCTCGTCCATACCAAACACGTCTTCGAGCTTCGCTTGTTCCTTTTCTTGAGTATCAAACTTGCGCTCACTAAACATCCTCGTGATGCTATTCCTCAGTGGAGAATCTTCTTTGACCGGCCCAGGCACAGGCAAAGGACGCCTCGGCGAACCATGTTCGCTGCTGCCATACCCGGATAATGGTCCAGATAGAGGCCGCGAAGCTACCCATTCGTTCTCTACTAGTTGGAGTGATCCGAACCCGGTCTCGCCCCCATGTAGTGTCCCAACTGATGGGCGATGTGACGGCACTTTCGGTAGGCTGGCTTGGCGGAGTGGGGAGGATATGGTTGCGAAGGGTGTTTCGGCAGGTGTTATGGGTGGTAGAATCGGAGTACGAGGAATGATACCACTGCTGAATGTCAGAAGAGATCTGGAAACATCCGTTGCACTTACCGAATGGCAGCTAGCCACGCATTTCGCCCATCCACCCCTTCCACAGCAAGATAACTCCTGACTTCATTTTCCCAGACAATCTCCAACACCTCTCCCCCATTGCCATCTGGCGCCAACGGCACCCCCCTCGCCTTCAAATCATCCTTTTTCAACGACTTGATATCCAGACAATTCATGACATGGAGGACTTTGTCTGCTGGTGTGTCGAGCGGAGGCGGGGTGATGGCAGAGAATGGTACGCTCTTCGTCGAAGATTTGTTGTTGGATATTCGACTGGCAGTGCCAGAATGGGCGTTGCGAGGGGTCGAGAAGACTGGACAGTAGGTCACTGAGAGGGAGTCGGAAGTGAGGTGAGCCCAAGACGGGAGCCAGTCGCCCCATGGCGAGCTAGGCATGTAGGGAGTCTCAATGAGCCAGATGACAGGATTTGACCGTATCGTGGGCTAGGAGAATATCAGATCCGGCCATTTTCTACGAGTTTACAAACTCACCTTAAAGTCCGCCGATCGCCTCATCTCTGCAGAACCCATTCTATCTCTCTGTGGGACAAGCCCGAATCGCCCTTCACCTTCACTAATTACCCCTATGTCCCCGTAATCTCTCCGAGTCTCCCTCTCCTTTCCTTTCCCCTTCTTCTTTCCCAAAAAGTTTGAAACTGCTCTCAACGGCGAAACCTTTTGCTTCTTTCCTGTCGGACTTTCAGAAAGACAGTATTGTGACCGCGAGGGAGATACAGCTAAGCTGTCGCCGTGTTTATGGGTGGACCGTATTGGGGTGCGGAGCCAGCTTGGGGATGTGCTGAGGCCATCAGCTAATGGAGGTGGCGGATCTCGTAATGATTTCGAGGGTGTAAACGTCGGTGGTACTCTCGGAGGAGTATTTATGGGGGAGTTTGGGTAGGGCGAAGGAAGAGGCTTTTTGTCGAGATAGTCTCGGGTGAACAGACCCTGGGCATTCTGTAGACTCTCTGCCTGCGTAGGGCTGATGGTTGTTTGCGTTTCCCATTTCTGAATCATTTTTTTTGTCGAGCCACGTTCTCGTTTGAGTCTGGTAGGTGTTTCTTTGGGCGCATGATCAGGAGTATTGCGAGTGGGTGGAGCGTCTAAGAATGATGCAGGGATAGGAAGTCGCCTGCTGGGTGCAATGGGAAAGTTTTCTGTAGCCCGTGAGGTGGTTGTAGATGCGATCGGTCGCGTGGTGGCCATAGAAGACTATCGGGAGTTAGCCTGATATTTCCGTCACTTACATATAGACTCACCGATGAAAGCACCCTAGTCGGTTCGGTATGGATAGACAAAGGCATACGCCTACTACCCAAGTGGACATTCTCTCTCACCATCCCGGAGTCGTCAGTACGATACGTAGGCGGCCGGAGTGTTGATGCGGGTGATAGAGGAGAGGGCACAGGCATGGAAGACTGTTTGGTGTGAGATCAACTCGGGCATAGGACAAGAATGGCTTACCACAGAATCCATTCGATTCGACTCCGTGTGGACCGACAGAGGCGTACGGCGCTGGCCCGAATAAGGACTCTCCTTTGACATCTTTGATTCGTTCTTTCGATGTATGGGAGGTCTGACAGGCGAGCTCGAATGCAATGGAGAAGACATCCCTTTCTTCTTGAATGGCTCTGGAAGAGTTACAAGGGGCGATGCCGGCCTTGTTGGCAGACGTCTCGGTCCGGTCAAGGGGCGTCGCTCATGTGGTGTTGGCGATGGCGTATGTCCTGACCGCATCTGCTCGAATCTGCTCGCCACATCTTTTACCTTTCTTCCTCCACTGATACCGAGCCCTCTTGTCTCGCTACTTTGCGACTTTTGATCGTACCCGGCGCTTCTCACACTGCCTCCATCACTCGGCGTGCCCGCGCGAGACGATTCTTCTTCGGGTCGCTCAACCACCTGCAAGAGGGGTTCCAGGGTCGCCTTTTGTTTTGTAGGGCTTCCCAGATCGGGTGTGGTGAGAGCGGTGTTGGAGAAGGAGAGTTTTGAAGAGATTGTCGATGCTGTGAAGGCTGAGATGGTCGTCTCCGCAGTTTGGGGTGGGGAGGAGAGGGGCGGGTGCAGCATGGTGGTTGCTGAGGGAGGGTATTATACAGGCGACAGGGGGGTTACCCGTGGGGGTGATCGGAGGAGGCTATGGACAGCGGTGGTGTTAGTATATCGTGGAGAAAGAAGAAGACAGAAAAGAAGGACGCCTTTGGTGACGCTTTCGTTGTTTGTGCACACAAAATCATGCGCGCACCGGCCCTGAGATCACGAATTTGCTCCCGCTTATTACACTATCTCGGTAATGCGTGCTAATGTCCGAACCTAATGCGTGATGTCCTCGATTGGCCCATGTTTGGTTCGTCTTCATGCAGGTGCAGGTCTCAGCGTGAAAAAGCAGCCTGAGAGCGTGATATTGACTCATGGGCTCCATGTATCCTGATGACCCATGCATGTATTGGACGTAGAAAGGCGCAATGCCTTTTCCCCAATATTATAAAAACGTACAGCCCTTTCACATGACAAGTGTTACAACAGCTTTTGAGTGATCATTTACCGTAATCACGGTCGAGATAGTGCGGCCGCGGCCTGAAATCAATGTCAGCTAGGTCACTCACAAACAGCAAAGCACTTACTTGGATGTCTCCCAAAGATATATTTGCTTTGCTGCACATTTCTCTAAATATTCCGTCCATTAAAAAAAGATTTTCAGGTGTATCAAGCTCCTACGTAAACCTGTCAGCTCACCATACTAGGATCATATCACACGAAAACTCACAGCAACCTGCCCATCACTCATCACCAAGATCCTATCGTAAGACAAGATAGTCTTGAGCCTGTGCGCAATGCAGAGCAGCGTCCTATCCTTGAACTCGCTCCTAATAGTCTCCTGAATATTGGCATCCGTCTCCAGATCCACACTCGCGGTAGCCTCATCCAGCACCAACACTTTCGTATCTCGTACCAGAGCTCGCGCCAAAGAGACAAGCGACCTCTCTCCCACCGACAGATTAGTGCCTTCTTCTTCGATCGCCGTATCGAGTCTGAAGCGAATAGAGTCTGGAGCGATGCCGTCGGTAGGGGTGATCAGATGCGCTCGGCGGAGAGTGTCATATAGCTCGGCGTCTGTCTTGGTATCAAATGGATCGATATTAGAGCGGAGTGTTCCGCTGAACAAGAGAGGATCCTGAGGGATGATAGAGATGCCAGAACGGAGGTCGTTGAGTCCAATCTTGCTCAGATTGACACCATCAATAGTGATTGACCCTTGCGAAAGCTCCGACATCCTGAACAACGCCACCATAATCGAACTCTTCCCCGCACCTGTCCTACCGACAACACCGATCTTCTCCGACGCGCCCACGCTCAGCGTCAAGCCTTTGAGGACATCAGGCAGCTCGGGACGGTATCGCATACGCACGTCCTTGAACTCGATTCGGCCCTCCGAAGGCCAGCTGGTTGGAGGTCTGGTTTCTTCGATTTGATGGGGCTGTTCTTGCTCGAGAGTGTTGGCATAGTGCAAGATACGCTCCGCCCCGACCATGTCGTTCTCGACTTCGGCAATGTTTCGGACAAGCCAAGCGAAGGAAGACTGGGCAGTGACGATGGTTGACAGTCCCAGACCGCTGTTAGACGCGGAGATGTCGGAGCAGGCGACGATGAGCGCTACCGCGAATACCAAGAAGGAGCCGATGAGGTCGAGGCGCAGACCGAGCCATCGTTGGTTGACGACAGTCAAAAAGTATGCTCGGTTTTCAGTGTCCATGGCGTATATGTTGTCCCGGCAAAACCTCTCCGTCTCGCCGTATGAGCGGATGGTAGCAACGCCAGAGAGAGATTCGGAAAAGTGCGCATAGAGGGATGATCGGAGGATGGAGTCGATACGCTTGAACTCTCGGGAGCTGCGGCGGTAAAACATGGTGCAGTGGATGTAGAGGAGGGTCACCACAGCGACAGCGATCAAGAACCAAGGTTCGATGATGGCAAGAAGGATAAAGGCACCAACAATCTGCGCTCCTGTTCCGACACCCATTCGCAAAGCATCGGGGAGTGTATTGTCGACGGTATCCATGTCCTTTCCAAAGCGATTTAGAATACGACCCAGAGGAGTAGTGTCGAAGAAGGACTGCGGGGCGTACATGACTCTGCGAATGGCGCTCGCATGGATCCGCACAGACGCAAAGTAGTTGAGCATGGCAATGCTAAACATTTGGAAGAACATTGAGAACGCAGTGCCGAATCCGAGACCAGCATAGATTCCCATGTAGAACCCGTTCGACTCGGGCCACTTGAGCTCTTCCCACCAAACCAGCCAGAAGGAGGTGATGACGGTAATTGCTTGGGCAAGGACGACAGCAAAGAGCACGATGGGCAGAGTGATGAGGCCATGGCCGGCTTTGAAATAACCCCAGAAGGTGCCCTTGGTGAGGTTGCCGGTGTTCCTCTCTTCTACCGTCATGAGGGTATGCGACTTGCCTTTGGCGACCATGTCCTTTCGGTTATAGACGCGCTTGACACCCGCAGCCTCAACGGCTTCCTCCTCTTCCTCCATCTCCTCTTCCGCCTGATCTTCCCCGCCAAAGTCACGGATCAACCTCGCAAACGCTCCATCCGGGCGACCTTTGAGCTCTTGGTACGTCCCAACTTCTCCAATCTTGCCATCTTCCATCGTGATAATGTTGCCGACATGGGGCAAGAAATGGAGGGCGTGCGTGACGAGGATACGCGTCTTGCCCTCCAGCGCTCCGAGGATGGCGTCAAAGAAGACTGCTTTGCCTACACCAGCATCGAGCGCAGAGAGAGGATCGTCCAGGGCAATTATATCGGCATCAAAATAGATGGCGCGCGCAATGTTGATACGTTGCTTCTGACCACCAGAGAGGTTGATACCTTTCTCGCCGATCTGGGTGCTGTCGCCATCGTCCAGGAGCTCGAGATCAGCTTCCAGAGAGGCGTCATGGATCGTGTCCCAATACCGCTCTTCGTCAAAGGGTTGTCCGAAAAGAATATTCTGGTGTCTCGTCAGTCTCAGCTGCTATGGACAAGGGTGTACTCACTTCGCGAACAGTGGCGTTCTGAATCCAAGGTGACTGTGCACAGAGCGCGGTAGAGCCAGAGAACGTCACCGAACCAGTAGTCCGCCTCATTTCTGTATACAAATCAACACATACTCCTTTCAGCTCGAGAAAAGCTTACCTCCCATCAGACCCTGCAACAAACTCGACTTTCCCGACCCAATAGGCCCGACAATAGCCGTCACAGACCCCTTGGGGATATCAAGTGTGATATCGGCAAGCTGGAAGATGGCTTTCTGCGGCTTTTCCTCGTTTTCAACCACCTTTGCCTCCTTTCCCTGTTTCTTCCCAGACCCCTTCTTCTTCCCTCCATCCTCTTCAGGGGCCGCATCCCACGTAAAAGTCGCATGCTCCAACTTGATCGCCTCCTCCATCTTTGGATCCAAACGCCTCGTCTCCGTGATCAACTCCGCACCAAAAACCCCTTCCAACCTCGACAGCGCATTCAGCGCATCAGCCGCAGAACTGAGCGCCATAGGCCAGATGGCGAGCGGTAGACGGAGGAGTTGAAAGAGGGTGATAACGGTGAAGATCTTGGCTGCTTCGAGGGAGTGGGAGGTGAGAGAGTAGGTGACGAAGGAGAGGATGGAGGCGAGGACGGGGAGGGAGGTGGCGAATGCCATGATGCCGGCACGGAGGGTGAGGAGTTGTCGGATGTATTTGAGCTCCATCTTTCTGAAGCCGTGGATTCGGTCGAGGAAGGGAGCTTCCCAGGCCATGTACTTGACGATACGCATACTGCCGAGTGCTTCTTGCAGTATTTTTGCCCTACCATAAGATCAGCCTATGTTACCTGAGCAGTGCCCTGCTTACCTCTTGTCGGTCCATTCCGCAGCTTTGCCTCGATAAGTGAACAGAAATTTCATCAGATATGCCTGGAACGGAGTCGTGATCAATAGCAGGCCTATACCCGGAAGCGCAGAGTAACCGATCTGAATGATCAGAATGACTACAACCACTGGTCAGTCGAGTCCAGCCCCACTCAACGAAACTACCTACTGATGATGATGACCATCTGAATAGGCGCCGTCCACAGCGTGTGGAACAATCCAGCAGCAAAGTCGATACGACTGGTATCTGTCGATATATGATTGACCAGTTTTCCGTTTGGTATCAGGCCTCGCGACTTTTGCGTAAACTGCAGTGCTTGCTGGTAGATGGAGGTGACGATCGCGGTTCTTGACCATACACCGACAGACATGCTCACTATCGATCCATCAGCAGACGTCAAGAAGTAGATAGGATGACTCACTATACATGTAGTGGTGCAAGGCGAAGGAAGAAGCAAGAAGCAAGACCAAGAGTCCGATAGCCGCGCCAACACCGTCTCCTTTTGATGGCTCGCCCAGTCCTGCTTGTTTGCTAGCCTGGTACTCGCCAGCCAAAGTGATCAGCCGCCGAACGAGCAGCGGTGATACAGCTGCACAGACATCGGCAAACAGCTTTAATGACCCAGCAATGGCAAAGTACACCCCAAAAGTGTCGCCCAAGGACATGAAGAGCGAGGCCCCCTTGTTGGCATGTTTTTCTCGGTACTCCTTCTCCTTCCGTTGTCCATTTGGTGATATAGAATAGAGTATACGGCGAGTGAATGGAAGTGGTATCGTCGAGTCGAGCATCCGAGCATTCTTCTCGTTCGCCTTCTGCGTGCGCTGTCTGTAAGCTCCAAGGAGTTTGGCAGAGTATGCCTTGGCGCTTCTCGCGTCGTCTATCTTCCACAGGTCTCTATCGTCAAGGGGCCGAGCGGAGCCCAGAGCCATCAGGGGACTTATCCAGTTGAGAAAGAGATAGTCGAACCAGTTGGCCGTGATGTCTGTTATGACGGGCGCATCGTCCAGGGTCGCTGGAGGGGGCGGCGGGGGGTGTTTGGGCTTGACGAATGGCAGCGAGTGGCGCCTGTAGAGCAGTAACGTCAGCCAGGTCGCGACTAGAGCTGAAGACGTACCATAGTGGGTGGGTATACTGGGCTGTGGGCTCTGAGGTGGCCTCCTTTTCGCTGTACGAGTCGCCCATGACGGAGGTGTGTTGTGACGAGTCCATGGTGTCGGTGGTGGCTATGGGCGCATTATATATATCACAGTTGACGTGTACCGGATCCGTGTGGCTGAAAAGAGTCCGCATGGGCCTCGGCCAAATCCGACGCACGGCGCCCCCCGCCGGCCGAGCGCCTAAGTCACTAATAAAGCCAACACGGCTACCCTACAGCTTGCCTACAGCCAACCTACAGCTAATCTCCCGCCGTCGCACAATGAGCCGCGTACTCATTACACTCCATCATTTATTGACATGGCTCAAGACTGACCCATGGCGATCTCCAGCCAAGACATCTTCTGTTCATGGCGAAAGACGGCGATGGATGGAAAATTGTGGACTGGGGGAAAGGTTGTGATCGCTCAGTGGATGGAGATAGGTGAGAGGAGGAGCTCGAGACTGAGCACCGTGGCTTATTATAGATGATTGGTAATGAGTTGCGGTGACATAACTGTACTAAATCAGAGTCCATGAACGCCAATACATTCTGACGATCTTCTATTGAATTGTAAGGGTGATGGTAGGTGGCGTAACCTATGGGCGGTTATGCGGTGTATCTAACTATGGGTGCTGGATATCGACCTGGGACAGGCGAGAGGTAGGTGAGGATGGATAAAGGTGATGAGGAATATACGGAAATACATCTATGAGGAAAAGGATATGAGACGCGGCAGGATGTATGTACGGGGAGCCTCCTCTCGCCTCGGCGCCTAACTCGTCCCTGAGAACATAGCGGCAACCCCAATACCAGACTCTGCGTTCCAACGTACACGTCACTACATCTCCTCCTACTGACCAGTCTGTACAAGTACATACAGAAGACTATCATACAGGACTGCTCACGGCTGTACAAGCATAGACATGACTATGCGTAGTAGCTGGCGATGCAAGCCTCGATCCTGTCATCGAGTCAGCAGGCATAGTAGGCATTGCGCTATCCCGGTATATGTGCTTTGGCCAGTAGGCCGACATCCATATCTTCAACGATAAAAAGCCACACCAATCATCCTTGTCTGTATAAGTGAACCAAGTATATCGAATCCTAAGTTATCAACAATATCATTACTCCTTTCAGACTAGATATAGACGTGCGGTAATCGAGGACGTATGAAGAAGAGTAAGAGGGATAGTACGGGCTGAGATTATCACGATGATCTTGGACGTCTAAAAGTAATAATGAAAGATCAAAGCACAAATGAATATACAAGAAGAGCATAGTGGAATCAAAAGGCAAGAAACAAAAGATCAGACGATACAAACACAACACGAGAGAAGATGACCGAAACGAATCAAGCAGCCAAACCAGTAGAGCTGCAAAGCGAAGTGTAGAGCAATAGACATCATTTAGATGCGAAGACCGGTCGGTTGGCTAGCAACGTAACGTGGGGCCGGCTTGCGCTTCGTAGGAGACCTGTTGCCAGCTTGAGCTTTGGGTGGTTGTCTTCAAGATTGTCAGTGAGATTCAGGACATGAAGGGGAACAACTAACGGTCTGTTGATTGCGCTATCCTGGCCCTTGACTGTAAAGATACGCGACTTTTCACCCCTGAATGAGTTCTCCTTGTCCTTGCCTCCCTTGGCCTTCTTCTCCACCGAAGCTTTGTTCTGTAAAGGCTTGAACAGTGTCGGCTTCTTGGGGACTTCAGACGCCATTTTGGCGTGGCCAATAGCAACAACCTTGTCGGGACCGTCGGAATCTCTCCTTCGACCCCATCCAAGCGCCTGTCGTCTCGCTTTCGAGTCGACCCGCTTCCTCTTCTCGCCATCTGCCTCCTTCTTGACCTCCTCCTTTTGCACATTTACCTTTCCAGTCTTGTCTTCGAGACACTTGCGCAGCCCAAAGGCATCAAGCGTAGGAAGCTGGAAGGGGCTGACAGGCTTGAAAGGCGCAAGCGTAGGAGGTGGAGACGCTGGTGTTTCGCGAGCAAAGGGTGCAAAGACACTAGCGAGAGGGGAGGTGACTTGAGCGGTGGTAGGCAAAGGAGCAGTGCTGGGCGCCTCGGGGACGTCGTCGGGGAAGAATGCAAAGCTGAAAGCAGAAGGCGCGGTAGAAGCCTTGGAACCGGTCGAGCTCTTCTTCTCGTACTTTGTTGTGAGAGACATCTTGGGCTTGTTGACAGGTGCCGGTCTTGGGAGAGGCAGACCATAAGGGGAGCACATGGATCGAGCATCCTGGAGAGAAGACTTGCGGCGATGGGCAGTACGGCCGGGGGGAAGCTGCTCTTGCTCAAGAGGCTTGTAGGCTTGTGAAGACTGGGCAAGGAAAGCGGCGATCTCGTCGGAAGTTTGGGGCATCTTCCAGTCTGCTGCCTCATTAGCGACAACCTTGGTTATATCACACTTCACTCACCAGAAATGGCCATCTTGGACTCTTCGCTGTCTCGCCAGATATTCTTCGTCTTTCTAAACTCATCTATCGCCTCTCGCTCCCACTGCACCCAGCTCCTAACAGAGTCGACCCTATCGATCTCGTTATCAGACTCGAGCATGTCAACGCCCATGATGGTAGGCTCGTGCTGCGAGAGGACACTGCGTCTGGTGTGCTCGGGGCTGTTGGAAGCCTTCTTGGGACGCAGAGTAGCGATGGAGGGGACTTCGTGGATGGTGGCGCCAACGTTGACTTGAGCGGATGATGCCTGACGGCAATGACCACGGGCTCGAGCCCCGCCAAGGATGAGAGAAGCGGCATTGGTATCGAGAGAAACCCTGCTAGAAGACTCGGACGCAGATGGAGAGGTGAGACCGGGGGTGTCCATGGGGACGTCGGAAAAGACGAGTTGGTGAGGACGACGGCGGTTGGGTTTGGCAGGTCGGGACATGGAAGACCCAAGCATCTGGCGACCGTTGATCGGCTGTGCCATCCTCTTGCCGAGGGGAGCTGCAGTAACATTAGCTGTGGTCACGAGCCAAAGTGAAAAGGACTCACTCATATTGGACACATCCTCGCCTTCAGCCTGCAAGCACCTCTCATATTCTTCGATCTTCTTTGCGACATTACCCGAGTCTGCAAAAGTGTCATCCACAGCAGAATTGCTAGTGTCGGTAGAGATGGTAGACACAGGACGCAAACCTCGGAGAACAAAGTTCTTGTTGGAGGACGACTGCCCGGGACCAAACAACGAGTCGGCATCGGCAGACATGCGGGAAGAGTCGCCGCTGGACAAGAACGAGTCTCGCTGACTGTCTTGACCGCCAAACAAAGAGTCATCGACCATCTTGGATCGGCTGACGTCAAAGATCGAGTCTTGCACCATCTGGGCTTGGGTAGCGTCAAAGAGACTGTCCCATGAGGCTGTCCTCTGGTGAGAAGTGTTTCCCTTTGACTCATCAGGAGGCGAACCGGTGATGGACGTAAGCTTGACCCCGCCGTCGAGATTGGTAAACATCCTATCACCAAGACCCGGCCTAACGATCTGAGAGATAGATACGTTCGAAGAGGTACTGGCGACGGAAGAAGTGTTTCGACGGTGAGCAGCCCAGTCGGGTCGGCCAAACGAGCTCTCGCCAGACATGCCCCGGCGGTGTCGGCTGACATACGAAGACCGGTTCTTGTTGTGCATACTGACGGGAGGACCACCGTGGATGACGTTGTGCAGGTCGACGCCACCGACAGAGTCGACAGAAGCGATGGAAGAGTTGCGGCGGTGGTGCGAGCGGCGGGTAGTAGGACGAGTATTGAGCTGAGCGCCAAACTTGAAGTTGGCCATAGCCTGTCGAGAAGGTGATCTCTCTGGCAGATCGTCGATGATTTCCTCGACAGTCTCGGTGACAGAAGGCGCGCGCGAATGAGACTGTTGCTGGGGAACAGCATAGTCGAAATAGTTGGTGTACTCGCGCTCAGTGCCGACGCCAATGACAGAGCCAATGCTCGACATCGTAGCGACACTCGACTGACCTCGCCTGTGGGTAGGAGCGAAGGCATCGGGGACGGCGGGCAAAGCAGGGAGCTCTTCGGGAAGAGCAGGCTCGGGTGCACCGAAAGAGGCGACACTCGCCTTCGTGCGCATGGTCATCTGCTGCTGGAAAGAGACTTGACCCTTGAAAGGCTCTCGGCGGACCGGGCTGGTCTTGGCGATACCCATCACATGGTGAATCTCGGCAGTCTCCTCCAAGCCCTCATCGTCGCCAAACGCTTCATCTTCGTCATCCTCCTCGCCGTCCGAATCGTCGTCATGGGCATTGTCGAGGGACGTGCCGTCAGAAGGCTTGGAAATATGGAACGAAGGGACCTGCTCAGTCGGAGAGACCTTGAGGGTCTCGTGAGAAAGAATCGGCAAAGGCAGAAGGTCTCCACCCATCAACATCTGCACGCTCCCAACCTTCCTCAAAGCCTCGACGAAAGAGTGACGCTGAGTACCCTGGTCCAAAGCCTGGTACTCGCTCGTAAAGTCGAACGTGTCACGGTGCTGATCATGAGGCCCAGCGGTGAGCATGTCACTAAACATAGAGTCGCGGTTGTTGTACTCGGCGGTGGCCTCGGGCGCAGGAGTGCTCTGCTCGAGCTCGGGCAGCCCGACGTTGGGCACGGGAGGTAGAGACAATGCAGGAGGCGCAAAGCCAGTTCGTCGAGGGGTGACTCTGTTCTGAGGCGGAGCAGCAGGAAGGCCGAGTTTGGCAGTCTTGCTGGGAGAGTACTGCGCCTTTGCGGCGTCGGTGTTGGCAACGACCGGCTTGAGGTCGAAAGGCAGGTCGGAGCCGTCGCTGACCTTGACGGTGGGCTCGGAGCTGTGGCGGAAAATGTTGATACCCATACCGACAGTCTCGTCGTTGAGCTTGGCCGAGGAGAACACCACAGGTGTAAGCATAGGTCGCTCAGCTGCATTGGACACGGGGGAAGGAGGAGCAAAGATGTTGCGCATACCCTTCCTGACCAAGCTCTGCCTGGGAGGTGAAGGCGTAGGAGCCATGGTCTCGGCAGGGTTCTCAGCAAGCTCGGGAGCCTTCCTGCACTTGAGACTGTTTGCAGCAGCTTGCGATCGGTTCAAAGCAAGCTTGAGCGGGCTAATATTGGCCGAAGAAGGCTTGAGCGAGTTCGAGCTCGGGCGACCGAGCATGGCAGAACGGACTTTGCGGAGCGGGGTAGGGCTACCGTTAACGTCGGCTCGGAGAGTGTTGCTTGAAGACATGTGGTGCAACGTGGGGCTTCTGCTGGACGCAGGAGAAAGGTCGAAAGCGTGGACAAGGTTGAGGAGTTTGTCGGTGGCTGAGGTGACTCGTCGAATACCACCTGAACCCGTTAGCTCCGTTCTATTAGGATCCACTGTACTCACCTTGATTCTTGGGCACCTCGGCTCTCGCAGCAATATTCAGAGGCAAAGAACCGAATCGACAAGTAAAGACATCGGCCTTTGGCGTAGGGATCTTGGGAGCTTGCGAGGAAACCAAAGAAGCGGTCTTGGCGGGACGAAAAGGCTCTGCAACATCCTCCCTCTCCTCCTTCAAGGACCTCAGAGTAGGCTGGCCCATCATGCGGGGAGGCGACGAAGCAGCACGGCCAGGCGAAGAAGCCTTGAGCTTGTCCGTGCTTTTCCTGCTGCCAAGTCCGAACAAGCCGGTGAGGGACTTGCGCTTAGGGAGACGGGTGGGGCCCATGAGAGCTTCGATAGCTTGTCGAGGTCCGTCGGTGGAGGGACGGTCGTGGGTGGAGCCAACGACGCTTTCGTAGATGACGGTACCCTCCTCGGATCGGGGACCAGAGAGGGTCGAACCGCTTCGAGCCGTGGCGTTGATGGCGGGAACAGGCACTCGCGAGGTTCGCAAAGAAGAGTAGTTGGTACGCGCAGTAGCAAAAGCATACTTTTCGTCCATCTTGCTGACGAGAGACGTGGTAGACTGTGCGGGACCTGTATCGCGTCAGCCATGCCTTATGCAAAATAGACTGTACTCACCAGAAGACTGGGCCCAAGATTCCTTGGTAGGCAGAGGCGGCACAGGAGGGGCTGCCTCCACGGGCGCCTTGCTCTTCTTCGACTTGCTTCTTCCAAGTAAACCCCATACCTTGCTCTTTGTCTTCTCCTTCTTCAACGTCTTCTTTAGTGTTTCCCCCACCACCACGGGAGAAGCTTCGGGCACTCCAGGCAAGGGTGCAAAGACAAGAGGCGCACTGCCGAGAGCGCGGCCGAGAGAAGTGGGCGCGGGAGGAAGGTCGGATGCGATGTGAGGCGGCAACGGCGCCGAGATGTGGCGCTGTTGCTGGGTAGCACGTATTGTTGTCATATGAGGAGGCCTATGCACAATCAGCTGAACCCCTTTTGTTATATGCGAGACTCACCTCTCCTGGACCTCCTTTGAATGCCTCTCATCGCTGACGGTCTTGTAAGACAAAGCCTTACTCGACGCCACACTCGACCTCCTATCCATCGGCGTCTGGCTCCTCAAAGAAGGCGTACCGTGCCTAAAGACATTGTCTACCACCTCCGCTCCGACATCGGCGCGCATGAAGGGGTCATCGCTCATGCTAGGCCTCGAAGGCATAAGAGGCTCGGCGGGACGGAGAGAGATGGAGGTGGAAGTAGATTTGGTGGAAGGAGGGCGGTTGACCTTCCTAAGCATGGTGGATGATGCCCTGGGGGTGGGGCCTTGGTTGATAGGTTTGGAAGGAGGGGCGGGGGCAGGAGAAGTAATGGGTTGGGTGTTGGTGTTGTGACCCCAGCCAAAAAGCTCAGCCAAAGCCTTGCGGGGCTTGTTCTTGTTTTTGAGCTTGGACTTGGTCCCCGCGTCAGTGTCCAAAGCAGACTTGGGGACACGGAGCGAAGGAGACATGCTCTGGAGGTGGCTGACGGAAGGCTCGGCAGATACTTGACCCTTGGTAGGACGGTCTCTGATGGGCGACTTGTGGAAGAGCGCAGAAGGAATCTTGCGCAAGGATGCCTTGAAGCCTCCGTTGTGGGAAGCAGCTGGCTGATTGGGGGCGAGATAGTGGGAGTGACGGGTATGGTTGTTGGGAGAGAGAAGGGAGGAAGTCATGATGGAGACGTTATATATGGGCGTGGCGCTTTGGGGGTCGTGATGAGACTGACTGTTTGGGAAGTACGGCGACTACGTAAAGTCACGCGCGTGGTTTCGGGCGGGGGTCGTACAGTCGTTGGGTCGTATTGTCGTTGGGTCGTAAAGAGAGTCGTAAAGTCGTATCAAGCAGTCCTAGGCACTCAGATCATGAATCGCACAGTAGGGGCAAAAGACATGAAGAGAAGGAGGATGGAGATAGGAATGGGATACGGCAAACAACGCGAGGTTGAGGGATGGGTCTACGCTTCCAAAAGGGGCAAGACGGAGTGGGGAGTGTGTTGGCAGAGGATAATCTGCAGGAGATCGCTGACGGGGGAGGCGGTGAGATGTGTTTGGTGGCTGTGTGTGGGTATAGTCGTGATAGCAAGAGTCGTTACTTGTCGTTAATCGTCCACCCGAGAACCCAGCCGTCGTACAAGTCACAGTCGTAAAGTCGTAAAGATCGTGATGAGGAGGAAGAGGGAGGGGATAGAATGCGCTCCGTGATGCAGCAAACAGGATGCACGCTCAGACCCACCGTAGAGAATGTCGTCCAACGGGCCACACCGCAAGGTCCTTCGCTTCGGCGGGCCATGGGGTGATGGTGCACCCCGTCACTTGGAGATCAGAGTAGTACATGGAAAGCTCAACTGGGCGCTGGTGACTGGTGACTGGGAGTCCGTATGGCGCTGTACCCACTCTGGACGCGTCTGCCTTGCGGTTGACTTTTTTGTCTTTGCATTGCTGGACGCGTCGAGGCACCGTGTTTGGGATTTGTGAAACGGTGGGTGGCGGGGTGTTTCAGGGATGTTCCAGAAGCCGCTTTGGGTCGTTGTGTAGCAACACATCACCACTCAATTCAAGCACAGCAGCTCGGAGTGGAGGCGTTACGTACTCAGCCACGGCGTCCTTGTTCGTTGGGCTCGCTCGCCATTTCGCGCCATCATCCCTCTGCATACGCTCTGGCAAGCTGTGAGCCTCGCAGGCCTCGTATACGCATCCCGAGCAGAGTGCATCTCTCTTTTGCATCTATACAATTCTCTTACCATTTGCACCCATACGTTGACCTTCTCATCTCGGTTGACGCCTATGGACCACGTTCCCTTTCTGGCAGGCCACAGTCAGACTCAGCAGTCACCCTTCCTGCTTCCTTCGAGCTACTGCATTCCCCTATCACCTCCCCCCTCGTGCTCCCCATCCCCATCCCGCGGTATGCCGCTGCATACCCTCGCTGCCTCGGCTATACCCGTGTGCCTGGAAAGTCAGCTTTTGTTATCGGGCATCGTCCGCCGGCGGGCTCATACAAATATGCTCCATGCGGGACAGGAGATGGCCGACCTTGGTGCTGGAATCGTAGATCGCTGACGAAGCGTTTCTTTTCCCCAACTACTTCGGACTCCAACTTGTCTGCTTTCTTTACTTATCTCTCACTGGTAATAGCCTTATCATCGACGCGTACGAGCAGGGTGGCGATATCGACCATCACCCCGCTTGCCCCCAGGCAACATCACAACACGCAATGTCAAACCACGCCTCAACATCAGCAACCGCCACCGCAGCCCCCTCGCCCCCCAGCCTATCCACCACAGTAGCCGGGAGCGTGAAAAAGGATGACGATCTCGAATTCAAGGGCCAGAAAGAGGTAGAGACAGATGGCATCAAGAGAGCAGTCCAGGTAGTGCTCGATCAGAAGAGTGGGAAGGAGCTTCTGAGGGATGTCGAAAAGGACCAGCAGTATACTCAGCCTCGGTGGTGCGTGTTTGTATTCTCGGCCATTGACCATCGCTCACCCTCCTTCAGGCGGCACTCTCTACCATTTGTCAAGCCAGCGCACCCTCCTCCACCAGCCCCCCTCTCCCTCGACGATGCCAAAGTCACCCCAGAGGTCGACGCCAACTGGTTCGATTTCCTCTTTTTCAATTGGATTTCGCCGATGATGGCTTTGGGCTCTGCCCGGCCGCTTCAGGATACCGATCTCTGGAAGATGGACGATGGGAGGAGTGCCGAGACGTTCTCGAGAAAGCTTTTGACTGCTTATAAGCAGCGGACAGAGAGGGCGAACGATTACAATGCGCATATACTGGAAGCACCGATCCCGAGGTCAAAACGCATTCTCTACTCTGTCCTTCCCAATGGTGAGAAGCGGGAAAAGGCATACAGAGAGAAGCTACAGAAGAAGCGTGCCTCCCTGCTCATGTCTCTCTACGACACTTTTGGCTGGTTCTACATGTCTTCGGGTGTCATCAAAATGTTTGGCGATACTTGTCAAGCTGTGACGCCCCTCCTGATCCGGAGACTCATCAGCTGGTCGGGAGAGTATCAGGCCAAGAAGAACGCGGGGCTGGATCTGCCTTCGAGAGGGGATGGTGTGGGAGCTGCTATCGGCCTGCTTCTGCTGCTCGTTGTGAGCAGTATGTGTCAGCATCACTACTTTTATCGTGAGTCCTTTTACTTTCTCTGTACTTAAGCCTGACACGTCACAGGATCTATGGCCGTTGGTGTCTATGCCAGAACAGCAATCGTCACTGGTATATATCAACGCGCTCTCCAATTTACACAGAAATCGCGCGGTCAAATACCAAACGGAAAACTTGTCAACCACATCTCGACCGATACGAGTCGTATCGATTTCGCTGCGGGATTTGCTCATATCTTGTGGACCGCGCCTGTACAGATGATCATCATCATCAGTGAGTTCACTGTTCTGTCCAGTGACTAGACTAACCCGGCTCAGTCATCTTGATCGTCCAGATTGGATACTCTGCTCTTCCTGGTATCGCCTTCTTGCTCATCATGACCCCGTTACAAGCGCGCTTCATGAAGACTCTCTTTGCTTTCCGTATGAAGGCTGCCAAATGGACAGACAAGAGGTAAACATGACTTTCATCACCCCTGCACTCTTGCTGACCCATCACAGAGCCAAGCTGCTCCAAGAAATCCTGGGCGGCATGCGTATCGTCAAATACATGGCCTGGGAATTCCCCTTCCTCGAACGCATCAACTCGATCCGAACTATGGAACTCCGCTACATCCGTCTCCTCCTCATCTTCCGCTCGGGCATGATGGCATTCGCCACCTCCCTCCCCATCCTCGCCGCCATCCTTTCCTTCGTCACCTACTCTCTCTCCGCCCACAACCTCGAAGCAGCCAAGATCTTTACTGTGATCACCCTCTTCCAGATCATGCGCATGCCGCTCATGATGTGGCCCATGACGCTTAGTGCGAGTGCAGATGCGCTCAATGCGCTGAAGCGATTGGAAGCGGTGTTTGAGGCGGAGGTGGTTACGGAGGAGAGGAGGGTGGAGGGAGATATGAAGGAGGGGATCAAGTTGGAGCATGCGTCTTTTACGTGGGATGCGGCACCGGTGGATGATGAGACGGCGATGATGAAGCAGGCAAAGGGAAAGCATGCCAAGGCTATCGGTGGTAAAGCTCAAACTGCCCCGGTCAAGAAGGAGAAGAAGAGGATGGGGTGGAGCAAGAAGATGAAGAAGGTTACTGTGGCGGATGAAGTGCAGGCCGAAGCGGCTGGGGAGAAGGATGGAATGGGCGAGGCGGGGGCTGTGGGGCAAGGTCAAAGTGCACCTGGAGCGCCCGGGTTGGATGAAAAGGCAGAGGCAAAAGCCGACAAGGCTATATTCCACCTCGACGATATCACTCTTAGTGTTCCAAAGGGCTCCCTGACTGCTATCGTTGGGCCCATCGGATCCGGAAAGTCGAGTCTGCTGCAGGGACTCATGGGAGGTGAGTATTGCATTTGAGTATCATTGCTGAGTACTGACAGGTGTGCAGAAATGCGGAAGACCTCTGGTACGGTAACTTTCTCTGGCCCAACTGCCCTTTGCGCTCAGACCCCTTGGATCCAGAACGCTACCGTGCGAGAGGTGAGTGCTTGGTCTTCTATCTCGGACAAGTACTGACCAACCGCAGAATATCCTGTTTGGCCAGCCCTACGACGAAGAACGCTACTGGGACGCCATACGCGACTCTTGCCTCGAATCTGATCTCGAGCTCCTCGAAGACGGCGATGGCACCCAAATCGGCGAGAAGGGTATCAACCTCTCTGGAGGTCAGAAGCAGCGAGTCAACATTGCCCGTGCCATCTACTTTGACGCCGACATCATCGCTTTCGACGACCCTCTCTCCGCTCTCGATGCGGGTGTGGGCAAAGCAATCTTTTTCAACGCCGTCATTGGCGCTCTCGGCGATAAGACCCGTGTGCTCGTGACCCACGCCCTCCATTTCCTGCCCTACGTCGACAATATCATCATGATGGAAGACGGCAAAATCGGACAAATTGGGACTTATCAAGAGCTCAGACATGGTGATGGCCCGTTCGCGAGGTTGATTCAAGATTTTGGTGGAGAGGACAAGGCGGAGGAAGATCTGGAGACGGAGCAAGATGCTATGGAGAATGCTGGCTCCAAGGATGTCCACGACAGGTCCAACATGGTCACCAAAGGCAAGGCGCACGAGCTCATGCAAGCCGAAGAGAGAAATACGGGTGGTCTGCAAAACGGCACCTTCTTTGGTTATCTCAAGGCCGGGCGCGGTGTCATCCTGGTACCCACCCTTCTCTTTGCTGTCGCCCTTGCTCAAGCTTTCACTGTCATCACCTCCTTCTGGCTGGTATGGTGGGAAGAGCGCAAGTGGCCCCAGTCCAATGGGTTCTACATGGGCATCTATGCAGGGCTCGGTATCGGTACTGCTCTGGCGACCTTTTTCCAGGGTTTCGCCAACGCTACGATCAACTATTTTGCTTCCGTCCGCATCCATGATAACGCCATTCGACGGGTCATGTTTGCGCCTCAAGCCTTCTTCGACACCACTCCTCTGGGGCGTATCATGAACCGTTTCTCAAAGGACACAGACACAATCGACAATACATTGTCTGATGCCATGCGAATGGCTGTGGCAACTCTCTCGAGTATTATCGGTGCCGTCATCCTTTTGGCCATCATTGAGCCATACTTTCTCATCGCTGTCGGGGTCGTCTCTCTCCTCTACGCGCATAACGCCATGTTTTACCGCCGGAGTTCGCGAGAGTTCAAGCGTATCGACTCCATCTTGCGATCATCTCTCTATTCGCACTTTTCCGAGTCTCTTTCCGGCGTCGCGACTATCCGTTCTTATGGTGAGACCGAAAGGTTCTACAGAGATAATATCCACTTTATGGATACCGAGAACCGCGCTTACTACATGACCATCATCAATCAGCGATGGCTCGGTCTGCGTCTCGACATGCTCGGTTCGCTCCTGTCCTTCTCTGTCGCCATCATCGTGGTATGCTCTGACATCTCTGCCTCCTCAGGCGGTCTTGGTCTGTCTACCATCGTCACGGTGCAGCAGTCCTTTTCTTGGCTCATCAGGCAGATCGCCGAGGTTGAGAACGACATGGTCGGGGCAGAGCGTATCATGCATTACGCCACCAACCTCGAGCAAGAGCAGCCTCACCAGATCGAAGAGACGAAACCTGCTATCGAGTGGCCTACTGAGGGCAAGATCGAGTTCAAGGATGTACGCATGCGATACCGGCCCGAGCTGCCTGATGTTCTGAAAGGGCTATCGATGAGCGTTGGCGCGTCGGAGAAGATTGGTGTAGTCGGGAGGACGGGTGCGGGCAAGAGTTCGATCATGGTGGCGCTTTTCCGAATGTCAGAGCTTTCTCAAGGGTCCATCACCATCGATGGCGTCGATCTGAGCAAGATCGGACTGAACGACCTCCGTTCTGGCATCTCTATCATTCCCCAAGACCCTCTCCTGTTTAGCGGCACGTTGAGGTCGAACGTTGATCCCTTTGGCACCAAAACGGATGCCGAGCTATACGACACCCTCCGCCGAGCCCACCTCATCACCTCTTCTCCTGGTGACACTGTCTCCGACTCGAGTCGGTTCACCCTCGATACGGTGATTGAGGAGGAAGGCGGCAACTTGTCGGTGGGTGAAAGGTCGCTCGTGTCCCTCGCTCGAGCATTGGTGAGAGATACAAAAGTGTTGGTGCTGGATGAGGCCACAGCTAGCGTTGATCTGGAGACGGATGCGAAAATCCAAGAGACGATCAGAAATGTGTTCAAAAACAGGACGCTGTTGTGCATTGCGCACAGGCTGAAGACGATCTTGTCTTACGATAGAATCTTGGTGATGAGTGATGGTCAAGTTGCTGTGAGTTGGTTCTGGTGCTTGATGACTTCCAAGCTGACAGGCTATAAAGGAATTCGACACTCCTGAGAATCTCTTCCTGATGAACGGCGCGTTCACCGAGATGTGTGGGAAGGCTAGTATCTCGTTGGGAGACATCAGGGTACGCTTTCATGCAAGCTCTCATCATGACATACAATTGCTGACCGGTATTACAGACTGCCGCTGGGCTCCGTTTCTAGGTATCATGTTCATGTTTTGTACCGGTGTCGCCTTATAGAACGCAACCGTCCCAGTCGGTTCTACATATTTTTATAGGTCGTTATAATATCTCCATATTGTACATTATGCATGTCGACCAACACCAGTGTGCTACACTCCATTCCATGCTATGGACGCAGTTTGTCGGTCGCTATGGTTCGCTCTGTTGCAATTTCGGAACAGAAGCAGAAGCAAGAGATGATAGATTTGGCGCGTCTGACGCGTTTTCGCGAACGTTCCTGACTCCCCGACGCTGCGTCAAGGTCTCTCCAATGTCTCTCCATTCTTGTTCTTGCAGCAAGTCGCCAGTCATACGCCGGCCGTAGCCACTCCCTCGACAGCAGCGCAGACCAACAGACAGGGCTCCAGCTCAATACAAGGCTTAGCACCATGTTCACGCCCCTCTCAAAGGGCTCTGAGAGAGCTCAGGACAAGCTGTGGGGTGCGTTCCCTCTCTATCTGGTCTTGCTTATATACTCACTCTGTCTCTCCCAGATAAGTCGTCCCCTCGAAGGACCAGAGTCAGACCATCTCTTCCAAACGTACCGGCCGCAGCAACAGTACAAGGGCAAAAGAGCTCGGACCCGTCCTCGAGACAAGCGCCATGGGCGATACTACGGGGCAAACCACCTCCCGGAGGGAAGAACAAGGGGAAGGGCAGGGGGAACTCGGGTCTACTAGGAGCGCCTGATCCGAGTGCGGTATCTACGGGCGTGGGCATCGGTTCGTCAAGTGCTGCGGTCATGGGAGCGTCTTCGGGGAGTATCGGGCGGTCAGGCGGCGAGATGTCTGGCACTGTTCGACGGGGCTTGCCATACCTTACACCCACGTCCCCCTACTCTACGCCGTCGGGAAGGACTTCATCGTTCCCATGGTATCCAACAGTATCCAAAACAAAGAGTCAAAGTCAGATCACCCCTTCTCGGCGTCGACCACCACGGCCTCGGCGCATCAGCTCTGTGGGCCAAGATGAGGAAGACGACACCTGGGCGAGTATATTCTTGAATCCCAGTGCGAAGAGGGTAGAAGGCTGGATGGATACCTTTTGGAAACGGCATTTCGTGTTGGTGATACTGCCATGTCTAGCTGTGAGTTACGACGTGGGATCGCATGAGCTCGGTTGACATTGCCTCAGGTCTGGGTCTGGGTAGCTGTTCCGTTTCCAGTATCAGATCCCTACAAAGACAATCCGTTTCCAGACATACCAAGTTGGCCAAAGAAGCCCAGTGACGATGGTGAGGACTCAGGAAACGATGGCGAAACAGAGACTCGTTTGCCCCTTGATGTAAACTTTTACTTCTTCTTATTTTGGTAAGCCTGGCTGATTGCCTCATGGTGACTGGGAAGCTGACCATCCTCATCGCAGGTATTTTGGGTACGGCTTCGCTACTAACAACGCTTGTGTGGTCCATGTGCTGACTGTTTTGTAGCATGTATCTTGCAGCAGCCCTGCTATTCATCACCAACCTTTTCTCTCTCTATCGTCTGAGTAAGCCCTTTCAGCCTGAAAGCGACTGGCATGTCCCACTAACACATTATGTAGACTGGTGGCCTTCAAAGCTGGGCGGTAAAGTCTCATATGCCCTGTCTTGGTCCATCACACTCGCCATTGGTCTCGCAGCGCACCATCTGGATTTCTTCTACTTGCGTAAAAGATGGGACGGAAGAGAACGAGACGATGTCGACTGGGAAAGAAAGAGCAAGTGAACTCTCTCGCGTTTGAACCCTGACTGACGGCGTCATCTATAGCATTCTGGGTTGGCCTCAGCTTCCTGGCAATGTTGCTCCCGGCGATAGCTTGTTTCTCCAAGCTCAAACGTGACAAGCGACATACCTACCGACACCCTATTCCGGCTGTGTATCAGACTTTCTTTGGCCAAGCCTTTTCAAGAAGATTCCCTGCATCTTGGAACCGATTTCTGTGGTTCATGGCATGTCTGATGATCGCTTGCTTCTCAGTCGTCGCGGGGCAGGGTGAGTTCTCTTGGCTGCGAACATGGATCGGGGAAAGCTGATAGAGCGTTAGCATACGCAAGTCTGTTCTTGAGTACCCTGCCTCATACGTCGCTTGATGCTGGTACATGGGTCTGGTCATGGGTCATCAGTGCGTCTTACTCCCTCTTCCCTGACGTACGCCTAACAATTCTCTCAGCTGTCCAGATCCTGGGACAAATATCCATTTTCATCCTCAGCGCCAAGGTACGCTCCCGAGCACTCCTCTTCATCTACCGACTTTTCTTCCAATTGGTCTACCACGTCTTCTACCGCAACCTCTTTGCCCGTCTCCGATCCCCTCAGCAATTCGCCACTGTGCAGATGCTATCCTCCATTTCTACAATCATCATCTTTCCCCTGCAAATGTCGAAACCCTGGCACAGAATGCTTCAGATAGTGGTTGGATATCCAAACCCATGGGAAGATCATGTTGAAAGTGTAGCGATGGGATTCTTCTGTAGAGGACTGGCGCAGAATGTGACGATGGTAGGGTTCTTGGGATGGCTGGCGATCTTGCATTTTGGGCCTAATTCTCGTGAGTGCCCTTCTGACTTCAAGTGACGACGCTAATACGTTGTTATGTCAGAGATATACCCCTTCTTTAGGTTCCATCCCACCCCGGAAGATCCCTACACCTTTGCTTTGACATTCTTCGCCTCTTGTGCTGTCTGGGTAGGTTCCCTCTCCTAGTGAGGCTGAGTGCTGATACTTTTCTAGGCGTTTGAGCTTGTAAGCTCTTTCATAGCTCGCCAGATAATGTCTTTTGCTTGGGGTGTAGACGTTTCGCAGATTGGAAGAGAAGAGATCAAAGAGTATCCCGAGCTGGTACCTGCCTGCGGTGAGTAATCGTATCATCCAGGTCAGACGCTTGGGCTAATGACTTTGAGTAGGCTGGGCTTCCGTTCATGTTTCAATGAACATTCTCTTGTTCTTGATCAAACTGAACTTTAGATGACAGAATGCTTATCTATGACTAGATAACGTATAATGAAATGACGATGGATGAAATGATCGTGTTGACCTTTTGCCACTTTTCATTTTAAGACTTGGAGACACCAGTGCAGTGACGACAGGTCCGCATCTGGGTGAAATCCTGGTCCATATCTCTGGATAAGCTGATAGCCCCGAGGAAATGCTATTGGGCATGCTGCATTCTCGCTGGGACGCCGACTGAAAGCTGCTGAGACCGTGGACGTTGAAAGTGGAGGCTCAAATTCCCACGTGGCAAACCACGTGACTGACAAAAGTTACTCTTCTCTTACATCTTCGGCCTCTGTGAATAAGACTATACTCTCTCTCCAATTGAACACCCATAGACGTTCCGGAAGATGCCCAAGGCAGTCTCATCGCCCGCTCCCAAATCCACCAAACAGCCCAAAGTAAAGGGCATCAAGTCAAGGACCTACGCCGGCTTCTTACCGCTTCCCCTCATCCTCCCCTCCCCCGTATCCATCCCCTCCTCCTCCGGCTCATCATCAAAATCAACCAAACAATCAAAGCACTACATTTACTGCAGAGAACACAAGCCCAAAGCGCCCCAGAGCAAAAAGGGCAAATCTTCAGCTGAAGGCAGTTCGGACGACCTGCCCGCGGGCAGAACCTTGTTTGTGACGAATCTGCCGGCGGATGTCACGGAGAGGGATTTGAGGACGGTGTTTGGAGAATGGGGTGTGGTGCAGGATGCGCGGATTAGTGGGAAGGAGACGGGGGATGTTTTGGAAGGTGTTGTCCGTGGTCTTTCTGCCGAGGAGATCAATGAAGAGGATGATGACTCTGAAGCGTCCGAGGGCGAGTCTGAGGAAGATGACGATGAGGAGGATGAAGAAAAGGATGAGAGGGAAAATGCTACATTCAAAGGCGACCTCCTTACCAAGAAACAACGCCGTGCCAACCGTCGGCGAGATGCCCTCCTCGAATCCATCCCTCCCGTCTCTCCCTTACCTTCGCTCAGCCCAAGAAGCGTACCGTTCGGCCAGTCGGGCCTTGCAGCGGGCTACGTTGTTTTTTTGGATGAAGTCTCCCTCAGCAGACTCCTCGCCTCTGGTGGTAAAGAGGTCCAGGTCGCCAAGTACGCGCAAGAGCCCACCGGCCTGTCATACTATGACCAACTCTACACCTCCCTCCGCCCGTCTCTCGACTCTGTCAGAGAATTCGCAAACACCTCCATGGCGCACTTTGACCATCTCTCCTCCCTCCTACTCTCTTCCCGTGCTCGTGCCCAGGGCGCTGGTGCGCTTGTCGATGCCGATGGGTTTACTGTCGTTGTGCGATCGGGTAAGTATGGCAGGGCAGGAGCGAGAGGCCAAGGATGGGGAGAAGGGAAAGGTGGTGTGGGAGTTGCTACGAGGGGGTTCGAGAAGAAGAAGGGAAAGCAGGGTGTTGGAGCGAGCGCGCTGCCAGACTTTTACAAATTCCAGGCTACAGACAGGAAGAGGCAAGGTCAGTCTTTCGACTTCAGTGTGAGGACGATGGCTAATGAAGTGTAGACCTCGCCGATCTCAGACAAAAGTTCGAACACGACAAGGCCAGAGTCGAAGAGCTCAAGAAGTCTCGTCGTTACAAGCCATACTAGAGACATACAGCCGTTGTTCAATGATGTCCATATGCATTTGGTCTTGAGTCGAGCTATTCCATGCAACAAGATGTTTCCTCCACGCTACAACACTCGACATACAATTCTACTCCGTCTTCTCCACCTTTTCCCTCTCTGCGTCTCCAGCCCTCGCTCTGTGATCAGCCTGCTCCACCGCTCTCGTCACATCAACCACCTCATTCGCTCGAAGGTCGAACGCTTCCGTCAAGTGCTGAATCTGCGAAGGCAGAATCACAAGCGACGGGTGGGAAGCGTGGGATGAGAGAGGTCCGGGGGCGGGAGGGGGCAGGGGTTGACCGAGATTGCCATGGACGATCGTCTCCTTGGGCTCGGCTTCAGTGGTAGAGGATGTAGAGATCATCTCTTCAGGCGTGCTGGTGACATCGACAGCTCCGCCTTTTTCCCCGGCAGACACAGCTTCTCCCCCTTCAATACGCCGCCCTTCACTAGAGTATACACCAGTCAACTGGGCACTCTCCTTCTCCACCACCAAACCCGCCTTGACGAGGTTTTCGAGGTAAGTCGCCCCTTGCCAGGCCTTGTAGTGAGACCAAGCCCGCCAGAGGACGTAGAAGAGGGGAAAGTTGGGGATGACTGGGATGATGGCGAAAGGCCAGGTGAGAGGAGATCTAAATAGAATGTGAGCAATGGCACAGGACACAAAAGAGACGACGGACAAGACGAGCGCGCGGGTCATATGTTTCTTGTGGTACGGTATCCGCTTCAACAGATGTCTGTGGAGCTTGGGTATTAAGGGCGGCAGGGGTGTCTCCAGCTTGGGATACAGCAGCTCGACCTTTTCCTCATCAGCCTGCATTCTCGCGCTCCCGTGTCGCAAGACTCACCACTTTTCTTTCTTCCGGCTTGATGCTCCCATCTTTCTCCACCTTGATACCCTCCCCTTCCCTGATAGCTTTCAACGCCCACTCCTCGAACTCTATCCTGTCCATCAACTTTTCTCCCTTCTCGTAGAACCAGAACATCCAGCTATCCTTCGGCTTGGTCCCGAGTTTGAGCCATGTCTCGGAGCTCTTTCCGAGCGCCTTGTTGATTAACGAAGGGGTAGAATCGGCAGAGGGGTCGGGTTGGATGGTGTGGAAGAGCACGAGGGGGGGAGGGGGCTGTTCGCCGGGGGTAGCGGGGAGGGACTCCAAGGCTGGGTGGGGCGTGGTGGTGGAGGGGGGCGGGTGGGGCTGTCTGGGGAGGCGGGCGAGGGGCAAAGCGAGGATGCGGAATGGCCTGCTGGGGAGGGGCGGTCTGGGGGGCATGGTGGCTGTTTTGCTGCTGAGGAGGAAGAAGAGATGATAGAGGAGATGAAAATAGCTGAACGTCATTCATCCACTGCATCAAGGGGAGTAAATTTTCGGCGCAATCGAAGACGCGTGGTTGGCGCGCTGGCAAAGAAGAGTGCAGTACTAGTAATACTCATGCATGCATCTTGCGAGGCCTACTGGGGGCAGGGGAAACACCGCTGCATGCATCATGGACGTGTTTGGGTTTGGCAGAGCAGCGGAAAGACGACAAAGATGCTCCTTATAAGAGCCCAGCATGACTCTACTTGGGTGTTCTGGCTGTCTTCTATTTGTGCTCCCAAAACCACCTGGGCTCCGGACCCCGGCTGTGTCTTCACTCTTTGTGCATCATGTATGCTCTTGTCGTTACCTTGCCCTCCATGATATGGAGAGAAATATTCCAACGACCTGAATTTGATGGAACAGTTACTGTACGACTGAACACCATACAAGCTGCGACGGCAACACTGCAATTCACTCAACCCATATATTCGAAGAGTTTACCGTATATTTGTCACGAGTCCACACCATGACAAGTACTCTATTAATTTGGATCACATATATACAATACAATCGTTCGACACTAGAAACAATGAGACATGAGACATATGAGAGGTTTGTCGAATCTATAAAGAGTATGATGTTTGCCGTCAGGACAAACGTGTATATAAACTACAAGAGCCTCATCCTCCCCACCGCTGAAGCCTAAGCAGCAACCTTGTTGGCCGAAAACTTGCTCCTCGCTCTCAGCTTGGGTCCAAACTTGATGAGAACTAGGGGAATCGGAGCGCAGACAAGAGCCACAAAGCCAAGGAGGGTAGAAGCCCAGTGGACGTTGAGCTTCTTGTACATTTGTGTGGCAAAGAGCGGGAAGACGGCGCCAAAGGCTGATCGTCAGACAGCTGTAGAGAAGTCAGCATGCGAAGAAGCCATAATGGAGGAAGGAGGCTTACTGTTGGCTGCGAGAGCAGAAGCGGCCGACCAGAGATAGACGTCAACCATGTAGTTGAATAACGAGACGAATAGACCGAGGGTTCCAATACCCAACAGCCCAGCTGCAAGGACGGGCGAAATCCAGTGGATGCTGGGATAGGCCGTCCAGCCAAACCAGAACATGGCGACAAAAAGAGACACGCCAGAAATGACACAAAATTCGAGTCGAGTCTCGGGTGTAGGAGGAGCAGGGGTGCGCTTGAGGGCCGCCTTTTGATAGCGAGGTTCGAATACAGTGATAAATCTAAAGAAAGAACAAAAGCCAGATGTGAGGAATGGATGACGCACAGCATGACAGCTATCACACCTCCGAGGAAGAAGCCAAGGAATGCAAGTCCATTTTCGCCCATGTTGAAACCGTGAATCTGCACAAACTACATAATCTCAGTGTGGTCTTGGTATACATGACCAAGTCACTCACGACAAAGGGGAAGGCTTCGAACAACAGATAGACAACACCATACACAAAACTCATATAGAGAGTGACAGCTTGAAGCATGGGCTCTTTGGCGAGGATGATGAACGGCTTCAACAGGATATCGTTGATGCGACCTTTGAAAGACGTGTCGCTCTTCTCTACTATCGGGACACGTCAGCTCACATTTTCGGCAGTTATCATGGGCGCGTACATGGTGCCCAATACCGATCGTCTCCCGTCTCCTTGCGAAGTCGTTTGGCCTTGTTGGCAAGAACCTTGGGGGCATACGTTTCTGGTATTAGGGCGACCACGAGGACAAGACAGACGCCAGCAAAGATTGTCAAGGTCCAAAAGACCCAACGCCAACTTGCTCCGGCTACAAATATGTAACCACCGACGATGGGCCCCTGCGTCCTCGTGTGAGCTATAATCGGCTGGAGCACTGGTTGACTTACAATGGATGGACCAGCGAACGGGGCAAGAGCGAACCAGCTTTTGTTGTTCTCAGTCAGCTATTAAGCGTAGCGTAGGGAACACACTTGGCCACAACCAACTTCATAGCAGTTCTTCGATTTTTGCCATCCCAGATATCCGCCAACAGTGCTCCAGAGTTTGTGAGGGGTGCCGATGCGAAGGTCTGAGGGTGAGGTCAGCTTGGGAAGGAACGAGAGTGAGAGAGTGGAGATGAGTGAGGTGGAGAGACAGTAGAGAGGAGACGTACTCCACCGAGGAACCTGAAAATCAAGATGGACGCCGTGTTTTTGGACCGAAACACGTGTAGCAGAAGAATGCAATGATGAAGATGGGCCTTCTGCCGTAGCTTTCCGAGAGAGGACCCCAAAGCAAAGGGCCGACACAGTATCCAGCGACAAAGAGTGATATGGTGAGGATCGCGACTTCTTGAGAAAAGGTAAAGTACTCCATGAGGTCGGTGACAATGCCCGACGGTGCCGAGGAGGCAAAGGTTGAGTTGAGTACTAGGAGACTGCCGATACCAGTGAGGAACCATCGATTAAGGACCGACCAGTTCTACCGCAAAGTAAGCCCTTGATCACCCAACAAAAACATGACATACCTTTGGGTTGATGTTTTCTCCCGGTTCGAATTGCACTTGATAAGGATCGGGTCCTGCCTTTTCTGCTTCAAGTTCCCGAGCCTCTTCCTCTTCCCTACTTCTCATGGCCCTGAGGCCCATCTCTGCATCGCGATCTCCTGGAGAGACACCTCCATACAGACCGATTCCTGGTGGACCCAAAGACGTTCGAGAGTCGAGACAGTCGATCAGAGTGTTTACCGCTCCCGCTCCCGCTCTTGTTGCCGGTCTTTTCGTCGTAGCTGGGGACCACGCGGGTGGAGTCATCAGAGTCGTTGAGGTGGCTCTCTGTGGAGCTTTTTCTTAAGGGGTTCCGATGGGCGTGTACGTATGTGGTGCGAGGAGTGGAGAGGGTGGTCGGGGGTGGCGACTGGGGCCGGCTCTGCAATGGGGGGTGCGAGAGACGGGGCAGACATGGTGAGTGATATATGCAGATGAGAAATGAGCTGGATCTATTTATTCTCCATCTACTATGTACGCACGGTCCTCTCATCGTCATCCAGAGATCCTCATGCCCCCCCCGGACCTCCGAGGTGGGCAGCCCCGCCCATCTCGTTGTTTGGTTCTGCCACCGTGCAATGGGCGACAAAACTCTGCGCGAATACCTATCAATCATCCCGACTTGGGGCATGGGTCACTCCAGATGATATTTCATCTATCTAGGGAACGTTCTCCCCACAGAGAGCCTCGGTGCAGCATACATATCCTGGCCGAGCCGGGGCCGACGAGGAGCTGGCGGCTAGCTCCTTGTCATGGGTTGTGGATGAACAAACGACCATGTATGCTTTCCAGAGATACTGATCGACATTATTATGGCAAAGGTAGTACATGGATTATCGCTCAACAGCGCTGCACTAGGCTTCTCATCTCCTTCTAGCTTTGTTGTCTGGCTCGACACAAGCCCCTCGTCCGCTGACGTAAAATGGCCCGCGGAGAGGGGCTTGTCGCTCTGTACCGAAAACTCGAGAGTATGCAAACTATCACCCGTTTTTTGAGTGCTTCAGATCAGAAGCATGCATCTCAACAACCGCTGATGCGATCAGCACCATTGTTTGCTTGACAAGTAGCCACAGGTCATACCTATCCAAATTCGTTTCATGCATGCTTCTACCAGTTTTGTAAGGACAGCAATATCGATATGAAAAAGTGACAAGCCTGCAAAATACACCTCTCCAGCCGCGGCGCGGTGCCTCACATCAGCCAAGTTACAGTAAGGGGACGGCGCGAGACCCTAAATAAGCCAAATTACAGTGAGCTGACCATGAGAGGAGTTAGCTGGCCAATATATAATGGAGTTAGAATGGATTAATACTCCACAGAGTCCGGATTTCAGCCTCGACCCTGAGAGGCAGTCCTGAGCGTAAGGGCTGGATGCTGAGTTCACCACTTCTAGCATGCATTCAGCACATTTGGCTACATGAATCTGTAGCTGTGGACGGCACGACATATGCGTAGAAAAATCAACGCCATGCATGCATTGACAGAATTGTTATGGACGAAAAACTGTTTTGTCGGGCTGCAGACTCTCGAGTTTTCGGCACAGAGCGACAAGCCCCTCCGTCGAGACTCCTCCGGCCGACGCGCGGGGCTTGCGTCGAGCCAGCTTTGTTGTTGATCATATCCTTTTAACCTCTGATATGAACTTACGTAATTCAGATATCTCAATGTAATAAATGCTTCCGTAACGATCCGGTATTCAACCCATTGCATTCATCAACTTTGCAAAGCCTACGATATCAAACACTTCCGGCAATCAAGACCGAGTAAGGGCCAGGATCACAGGAAGCATGTTTTTATCCCGCCAGCTCTCTCCAGCGAGCTCGCTAGCTAGTGAATTATACCAGCTTTCTCCGCCGCCATTGAGCTCACTCCAATGCAGGCCGATCTTTCTGCTCAACCTGTCGACTCCTTCAAGCTCCAAAGAGGCTTGGCGAACCATCTTCTCAGCCCTTGCGGACAAGATCGTCCGACGGGACGAGTTCTGCCATTGACGCAAGTTCTGAAAGACGTCCGCGGACGCCTAAGCGTGATCGCCAGGTGGACAAGTCCAAGTCCCATGCCAGGCAGAGCGGCTCTTCAGAACCAAAGCTATGGAGAGACAAGTTACTGCTACTCGGTCCAAGTATCGACAGTGGCCCGTTACGTCCAAAGAGGCCAATCCCCGATGGATCATCCAGAACCCAAAGATCTCCTCGGGCGCTCGATGGATCGGCGCCTCGAGACCGAGAACGAGACAGCCGGGCGCCTCAGTCGAATGCTGGTCCTTCTTGGGACTCGATTGCCAGAGAGAAAGACGTAAGCTTGACATTTTTATTTTGGCATTTGAATTACATGCTGATGTTATACCGCAGATCAGGTTCATAGGTATCGACCTCGGGACTGCGCTCCCCCGCATCTTCACCTCCCGCCCCACCATACAATACACCACCCCCCTCTTCGCCATCCGCCTCTTCCCTGCCTCAGCCCTCCCCCTCCGTCCCGCCCCGCCCTTCCCTCTGCATGCTATAGCGAGAAAGAGGCAAGAGATGAAGGCAGAAGCGGCTTGTGTGTATGCGGTGGTGATTGCTAGTAAGGCCAAGGTGAGTAAACTGGCGGTAGAGCGAAACAAGGTGAGGAGAAAGGTTATGGAGGCGATGGGAAAAGTTGTGAACGCGCCAGGTATGGGTAAGAACCTTGTCTCGCCAGGTATGTCCTCTTGCATCGTTACTTCTCTTTACTGACTTTGCACAAGAGCACGCATATATCATCTCTGCAAATCCTGAAGTCTATGACGCTCCTATGGAAACCCTCGTGAACGACGTCGAGCGGTCATTGGTGACTATCAGGAAGAAGATGGACAAGGCGGGCGATGTGAAGAGCGGGGCGGAGCTGTGGTTGCCTGAGCCGAGATACCTTTCGAAGGATGGAAAGAGGTGGTAGACTGAGATGGATTGTCTCAATTGGGTGCATAGACACGTATATATCTTCAGTCCATGATGGCCTTCACGACTCTTATGACATTGATACTCGTACCAGCCCAAACATCAGACTGGGCAGCACCTATAGGCATTCCCGAGGCTGCCACTCTGGAGCAGATACTGTAGTGTCAGCAACACTCGGTATGCACATGACCGATGTATCTCGTGCATGACTGTGGCTGGGGCTTATGTAGTCACACGATACAGAGCGAAAGAACCCATTCTAGATGAGATGGTGGCCTCTCAATGTCCTAGGCGCAATATCATTCACACCGTACAGTGAGCGGGAGGAAAGAGCAATAGTCATATAGTGGCATACAAGACAGTAGAGAACGATACAAAAGTGATTGGTATGTCAGCCCTAAGCGAAACCTGTCCACCCCGCGAGAGGCATATCGGACAAGTATTATAAACAGGCTACTACTTTAAATAGTGGGTTTCCTCTTCTCCGGCGCCATTAAACGTGTCATCTGTGGGGTAATATTTGTGTGTAAGAAGACGTTATGGTTTAAGCCAGAGTTCTTATGTGTAAAGAAGAAGAGAAAGAGATGGCTTTCGCAGAAATGCTGCAGGTGCGAGTCCGCGGGCAGAATGTAGTTACGTAATATGGCAGTGCCACAAGTTTCGAACACGAAACCGCGAAACGCCGCGTATGGTGGCAGGCTGCAAATTAGCTGCAATTCGACGCATCGAGCTCCCTTAACCAGCAAGTTCCCCACCGTGAGTCCCGTCCTGCGTGAGGGGAGTTGGCGAACAGGGGAGACACGGAATGGTGCTGACGGGTGTTGTCATGCTGCTCTTTCTCGACTAAACATCAATTGTCACCAAACGCCGAAATCTCGAAATTCGTCAAACCCCAAATTCCCTTCCCTTCTCCCATCGAATTGCACTCCTGCGGCCTACTCGATATACAGATCAATCCTTCAAAATGGCTCCTGCTCGATCCAGTGAGTAGAACTGTGGCGGGAACAAGTGGGGCGGGTCAATTTTCTGTGCTTGTGCTAGGAGGAGAATACGGATGAGGAAGCAAGACGGCGCTGTACAGGAGCTGAGTGCAGAAGCGTTGACCCGGTGTATGGTCACGGTGTGGTGATGGCGAAGGGGCGAAAGGCCGGGCACAGAAAATTGACCCACCCACTCCCCATGAGACGCTCCATGAGCTCCCGCTGATACATCTGCAGACCTCCGCTACGGCATGAACAAGGGCCGACCCACCACCGTCATCCCCCGAACTGTCCGACCTTCCAACAAGAGGGGTGTCAGCACGTCAGTTTTTTTGATCGCCCCAGGATACTTGAAGGAATGCTGATACGATGGCCGTAGCGAGAAGAAGACTTTCGTCAAGTCTGTCATCCGAGAGGTCGCTGGGTTCTCCCCTTACGAGAAGCGAGTCATGGAGTTGTTGAGGAACTCCAAGGACAAGAAGGCCAAGAAGCTCACCAAGAAGAGGGTGCGTCTATAAAGGTGTCTTGCTCAAGACAATTGCTGACTGAAAATCTAGCTCGGTACTCTCCTCCGATCCAAGAGGAAGGTTGAGGAGCTCTCCGCTGTCATCGTTGAGCAGCGTCGTGCTGGTCACTAAGCTATTCGCTTAGTGTCTAGTCTCGGGAGGGGTTTGTGTCGCCGACTCGGTTGGATAGACCATCAGGGATTTTCACATGTAAAATGCTTGGCTATGATTGCTGGGAAGGGGATGCAGCTTGATGATTATGCTTTTACATCGATTGTGGTCCAATGACCTCCTGAAGATATGCTCCTTATGCTAACAACACTTGCGACGTCCGCGGTACGACTACTCGGATCAAGCTCTCATCCAGACGTCGGCCCTCTTTGCCTGGTTTTCCACCTTGACTTGCTCTGCTGTCCCCTTGGCGTCATTCTCTTCGTCTTGCGCTGGATCTCTCCCCTCAGCAGCACGCTCCTTCATACCCGCCCAACCGTCCCAGATACCTCCACGGAAGTGATTCCCTCTGTGTCGCCAGCCAAACTGTTCCTCTGTCAGCTCATGCCGCCTGATGCAGATGAAAATCGACATACCTTGACTGTTGCAGTGATGACACCGATACCCATGCCGACACCGATACCTGGCGCCGCGAAGAAGGCCAAACCACTTCCCAGTGTGCCAATGAGACCACCTCCAAGGGCGGCAACAGCACCACCTATGAGGGCATACTTTGTGTAGCGAAGAAGACGTCGGATTATGTACTTGAGGGCATATCTGTAGTTGACCGTAAGACGATGAATCATTACGGGGCTCTTCCACTCGTCACTCAATGAGGTCTCTCTGACCAGCCAAGACATGTAGCATACCTGGTAGTAGTCAACGCACTTCTTGTCGCAAAGCTAGCCGGTGCCACGGCAGCAGCAGATCCAAACAACAAGTAGGAGGCGTTGACTTTGGCACGGTGGAGAGAGGTATTGGTTTGCGAGGTAGGCGAGTCGACGGGTGGGTCGTTAGGCTGGGGAGCTTGGGATGTGGATGGCTGGGACATTCTGTGCTATCGAGGTATGTAGTAGTTGCATGCAGGAGAAAGCCGTCTGTGGCTTTGAGATGAAAAGAGGCTACGGGACGTCCTCTTATGACGCAGAGCAAGTTGCAGATCGGAGGTCACCGCCTGTAAGCTGCAAGGTCGCGGTTTCCGTGATGCCATTTTCCACTTTTCATTCTTCCTCCACACCCTCAAAGTGAGTCTTCTACACGCGGATGACACGGCTGGCACTGTCTGATCATACTCAGAATGTCCACTGAAGAGATCCCCAAGTCCGTCTTGCCTTATCCTCCCATCCACAAGGACGCCCAGTTCGTCGTCCTCTCTGACTGGGTATGATCTTCACTCTGTCACACAAGGGTCAACAGCTGACACAAATGCTACTTAGGATGGAACTATCACCGACAGAGTGAGTAGCAGCTTCTCAGGAATCTTGAATGAAAATTGGAAAGAGATGGAAAGCGGAGATAACGAGGAGGGTCTGTCTGCACGGAAGAAACGTTTGACGATCTCAAAGGGATCAGGCACTGACTCGCGATGGACAAAATAGGACAGCAATGACTTGCTGGTGGACAACCTTGGTTTCGGTTTCGACAAGAGGTGAGCTCATCACAGCGTAAGCAAACCAGAGGATATGACCTGACTGGCTGCCAAGACGTGCTTTGAACATTGAATGCCTCGAGGACCGAATCTGCTTCAGGGATACCTTCAAGGAGATGCTCGAGTCTATTGACAAGCCTTTCGAGGAGTGCAAGGAGTACCTCAAGCAGCGTCAGTCACTGTCCCTGTATAACTCTTACACGACTGACCGTCAAACAGACATCAAGCTCGACCCTGGGTTTGAAAAGTTCTACAAGTACTGCCGGGCCAACGGTATCCCCGTTGTCATTGTTTCTTCCGGTATCGAGGCCAACATTCGCGCTGTCCTCTCTACTCTTCTCCCTGGCCCCGAGGCCGAGGAGATCGAGATCATTGCCAACGACGTCAAGTTTACCGACTCCGAGGGCAAGGGCGACAAGTGGGATATTGTCTTTAGGCACCCTACCAGTGGCTTCGGACACGACAAATCTAGGGCCATCTTGCCTTACCGTGACTTGCCCCACAGGCCTACTCTATTCTTCTGTGGTGACGGTGTCTCTGGTACGTTCCATCGACGATCGAGACGGCGGGGCTGATGTAGCACTACCCAGACTTGTCTGCTGCTAAGCATGCCGACTTGCTCTTTGCCAAGACCATGCCCTCCGGCCACTCTGATCTCCAAACTTTCTGCCAAAAGCAAAAGATCAACCACCTTCCCTTCGTCGACTTGTGAGTCCCATATATCGCCCTCAGAAGGGTTTTCTGACGTGCCTTATTTTCAGCAACAAGGTTCTCGAAAAGTTGCAGGAGGTTGTGGCTGGCAAGACTGTCGACGACATCTTGTCGGAAGAGGGCAAAAAGTACTGAGCGGGAGAATCTTGCCTCAAGCATAGACTTGTATCGGGATAGAGGCGCGCATAGATGAAGAAAACCTGTAGCTAACATGCATCACGCCTAGATTTGGATCTCGTCGAGTCTTTACAGCGCCCACTGCTTTCGCCCTTTCTGACGCTCACAGCAGTCTTCGTTTGCAGCGCACCACCACCACGGCTGGATACGTAAGCTTGAATTTGCCGAGGATAAGTCTACCCGACGCCTTCCTTATCTCCCGTCTTGTTCATGATTCACACTAGCGACTAGCCAGAACACTAATGATTTCCAGGTACCAGTGTACGTATAACTATCATCAACCGTACCTCTTTCTTTTGACACCAACGAATACGCGTCACCGCATCTGCCAGCTTCTGCAGGCCCCGCGCGTGCTTATCGCTGACAGCTACAGATGGTCGACTGTGGAGAGTGTATTACCTCATCCACGGTGTTCCTGTGGCCTGCGGCTGCCATATTGCTCCCCGCCCTGTGCCGCTGCTACGAATGCCAGCATCGTACCCCCAGCGCAGCTGCCCAAGATGGGGGAGACTATGCAATCGTGAATCGACAGCTCGAGATAAGAAACCGACCAAAATAGACGCCCGCTCATACGCGGTCTCGCGTTACGTACATATCCCGCAACTATGGTTACTAACCTGTCTTGGCCCTCTGCCTCTGTGTCTCAGCCTGGTCTCAGCGGTGATTTATGGGACGCATGGAACACTGCAACCACTGACATCAGTCATTACAGCCGAGGGCAGACTTATCTCTTATCTCCTCCCGATGAGCTCCAGCTGTTCTAGATGGATGCGCCCGCTACCTGCATATCCGACCTTCTCCCCTCTATATAAGGCCTCACTCGGACTATCTTTCCTTCGAACCACCCTCGGAAGCATCTGGCAACATGTCGGAATTCAAAGAATACGGCTACGGCTACTCGAACGACAACAAGAAGGCTGAAGACTACACCACCACCGAAGTCCTCGCCGCGGACGACATTGACGTTGAGTCCCCCGGCATCGACGACGTCCCCCACGACGACGACGGCCTGGAGGATAAGTACAAGCTCAAGCGGGGGCTCAAGAGTCGACACATGCAGCTTATCGGAATTGGGAGTGCGATTGGTACCGGTTTATTCCTGGGTACTGCGCCTGCGTTGGCGGATGGAGGACCCCTGGGGTTGCTGCTTGGGTATGCTCTTATGGGAGCTGTCTGTGTCTGTCTCATGGTGAGTTGAGTGACAACCATGATGGAATCCCACTGACGTGTTCACGCAGGTATCAGTCGGAGAGATGATAGGTTAGCTTTGTCGCTCTGGTGATTGACGCTTTACTGATACTACCTCTATCAAAAGCCTTCTACCCGGTTCCCGGGGGTCACATCAGGCTCGCTGAACGTTTCGTTGATCCTGCTCTGGGTGAGTGCTTCTCTGTCACACCTGGCACTCTTGGCTGAAAGGATATAGCATTCACAATGGGATACAACATGGTCGTCTCTAGCTTTGTCAGTCTTCCCAGTGAGCTTTCAGCTGGTGCCGTCTTGATCAACATGTGGAACACCGACATCTCCAACGGGTCAGTCTTTTGTTCACTGCATCCGCTTCATGACTGATTCAGGTAGCGTTTGGATTACCTGCGGCTTGCTCCTGGTGATCGCCTTGAACTTGTTTGGCCCCGGCGTATACGGTAAGCATAGTCGTCAATGATGGCGTCGGGTAAGGTGCTAATTTGTGGCAGGTGAGGCAGAGTTCTGGTTCTGTTCCATCAAAGTGCTCTGTGTTCTAGGCCTCATGCTCGTAAGCTACTCTCCATCTCTCGAGACACACGCTCATGGTCCACAGCTCGGCATCATCCTCACCGCTGGCGGCGGTCCCAACGGCGAAGTCATCGGGTTCAAGTACTGGAAAGATCCCGGAGCTTTCGTCCAGTACGAAGGCATCTCTGGATCGTTAGGAGCCTTTCTTGGATGGTGGGCTGTACTGCTTCGTGCTGGGTATGCATACCTCGGCACTGAAGGTGTCGCCCTCGCTGCGGGAGAGGCGAGAAACCCTCGAAGGACGGTGCCTAGAGCGATCAAGACTGTCTACGTCCGGTGAGTGCTTCTCCCTTGTCGTCTCAAGCCCGGCTGACCTTGATCTAGAATCATCTTCTTCTACATCGTCACAGTATTCCTCATTGGCATGGTCATCCCTTCCAACGACTCCAACCTCTCGCTATCCTCCGGTAACGCCCTCTCAGCGCCATTCGTCATTGCCATCCGCCGTGCCGGTATCCCCGCTCTGCCGAGTATCGTCAACGCCTGTCTCCTCACCTCTGCATGGTCAGCCGGCTCGGCGGGCGTGTACACGTCTTCGCGAAGTATGTACGGTCTGGCAAAACTTGGCATTGCTCCCAAGATCTGGATGCGTACGAACAGATACGGTACGCCTTGGGTCGGCGTGCTCACTGTCGGACTGTTTGGCGGGTTGTCGTATATGACTTTGGACGGTACCGCCTCAGAAGTGTTCAACTACTTTACAAACTTGACCAGTGCTTGTGGTCTGCTCACTTGGTGGGGGTAAGTGACTCCTTTCATGTTTGAGAAAAGAGCTCATGTTGTATAGAATGTCCTTTACATATATCCGCTTCAACTCTGGTCTTCGCGCCCAAGGTATCAGCCGTAGCAGCCTCCCCTACGCACCTATCATCAACTACCGCGCCCTCGCCGCGTGGTTTTCCCTCTTCTGGTGCTCCCTCATCCTCTTCTTCTCCGGCTGGTCCAACTTTCTCAAGATCGACGGGGAGAGCAACTGGAGCACGTCTGGGTTCATTACCAACTACATGCCGGTGTGGCTTTACCCGATGTGGTGGATCGGGTACAAGTTGGTGAAAAAGTCCAAGTTTGTGAGGTCGAACGAGATGGACTTTGTGACGGGGATTGCAGAGTTTGATGTGCAGGATTACAAGAATGAGGCAGAGATGGCGGAGAAGAAGCCTTGGTACAAGCGGGTCTTCAACGTATTCATGTAGGAGTGCTTTCGGGGTTTGGAGTGTTCAAATACACTGTTCCTTATCGTTGTTATAGCTGGGTTAGTTGTATCCGGTTGTCTCTTTTATAGAAAAAGACGAAGTTGGTTGTAATATACACTTCACATGCAATAATGGTATAGTTGTTCTGCCCGAGTGCTCGCTAGGATCATCTTCATCTTCAGCGACGGAGTGTATGATAGCGGCGGGACCAATTCACATCCGCCTGAGCCTCCCGCTCCCGTGCTATCAACTGCGATCGCTGCTATCTCTGCCCCTGCCAATCTCATTTATCGCCAGGCACACATGGCGCAGAGATAAGAGAATCTCCGCCCGGCTCTGCTTTTCCCCCGTGCCGATCACGCACTACATGTCGACTACAGCCTCCCTCTGCATCGGGGCATTTGCCTGGACTAAGAGCACTTGTGACCATGTACGGCATGTGGCCAGACGCAGCCAATGGGGGGCGGACGTCGGCGATAGAACTCTCGTAACTCTGGCGCTGGCATCTCGTGAGTTGGATATGCAATCAAGCCACTGCCATACATAAGCGACACCCCCTCTCTTCACCCCATCTCTATCCCTCAAGAACTCTCTCACTCTTCTGGCATCATGAGGACATCCGTCCTCCTTGCCCTCCTGGGCACCACCCTCGCTCTTCCCTCGCCTAAAATCTCCTCGGTCCGTAGACCCAACAGGTTCGGTCGTCCTCCCCAGCGTCGGGAGATCATCACCAACGACGCCAACACCACCGCCTCCTCCCCCACCACGAGCGCGCCCAAGGACAACATCTGGAACTTTCTCACAAACGATGAAGCTGCCGGTGTCATCAGGTTCTTGCACAACCAGACAGTCCTCAACTTGACTGCTGTCGACGATGCTGGGGACTGGGACAACACCATCACTGTAGTCGACCTCTTGCCTCCTAACAAGACGGACGCCTTGTCGTATATGGACGGCGATGGTGCCAAGCCGGACCGTTATGCCTACGCCAGTATCCTCTTCGGTGCTACCGAGGAGCCTTATGCGCAAGACTTTGTGGTCGGCCCCCTTCCTGTGTCGAGTGCCACTACCTACTCTCCTTATACCTACGGTTCTCACTCCGAGGATGCCAAGATCAGAGTGTACGATCTGGACGACAAGACGTGAGTCGGATCCTACTGACCTCCTTGGGCGCAGCTGACAAGTGCCACAGCGACTTTTTGTCCGACATTACCATGTCTATGAGCGACATCATTTCGGACATTCTCAATGGTGAGTGTTGAAGTAAGTATGCTGTGTAGCAAAGCTGACCCTTGTATAGCTACAATCGACACTGCCGACGACCTCGCCGAGACCTTTGACATCTTTGGTATCGACCCCCTCTGGCACCAGCTCGATGAGAACGGCAACGACCGTGTCATCTTTTGGGTACGTCTCCTCTCTACCCCTGGGACCCCCTCTAACAATACCCTAGGCTGGCTTCTGGCGTTTTCCCGAGTCCATCCAGATGGAGAACAGCACCATCTACTTTGACGGCGAGACTCTCCTTCCCCAGGGTCTCTACATCCAATGCGACATCACCGGCCGAGATCAATCCATGTGGGGTCTCATGGGTATTCTCTACGGCGACGAGTACTACTCTTCCGTGGACGAATTTAGGACTGCGTGGAAACAGAGCGACTTTAAAAAGTACGCGCCCAACTACTCTGGCGATTGGATCGGCACGGACCAGACCGGCGAGACCATGCCTCTCGAGTCTCAGGCGCCTCCTCTCAGCGTGCAGCCTGCAGGGCAAAGGTTCAAGGTTGACGAGGAGAACCGTTATGTCGAGTGGATGGACTTTTCCTTCTACCTCACTTTTACGCGCGACACCGGTATGAGGCTTTACGACGTCAAATTCAAGGGGGAGCGTATCCTCTACGAGTTGGGCTTGCAAGAGGCTATTGCGCATTACGCTGGGAATGACCCAGTGCAGAGCGGTACCTCTTACCTTGATACGTGAGTTCATCCCATTGAGTCTACGCCGAAGCTAATGATGACGGCAGATACTACGGCTTTGGCCCTTATGCGTTCTCCCAGGTTCCCGGCTATGACGCGCCTCTCTACGCCTACTGCATGAACACCAGCTTCCACGCCGCCGAGCTTTCCAAAGTACGTTTGCTGCTCTCATTGAATTGACCTATGCTGACTGGGCTTGATAGTCTCACCGATGCGGTATCTCCATCTTTGAAGCCGACCAGAATCACCCCATGCAGCGTCACTCCAACTCTGCCTACGTCTCGGCCACCAAGAACATTGCTCTTACTCTGAGGTCTATCAGCACTGTTGGCAACTACGACTACAGGTGGGTCACTCTTCTCTCCTGGAGACTCTTACTGACTTGGATTCCAGTTTCGACTACGTGTTTTACCTGGACGGTACGATGGAGACTGTTGTCAGGGCTTCTGGTTATATCCAGTCTGCGTTCTACGCCAACAACACTGATTACGGATACCAAATTCACGACTCTGTAAGCACCTCTTCTCCCTCCTTTCAAGTCATATACTGATATTTCCAAAAGCTCTCTGGTTCTATGCACGACCACGTCTTGACTTGGAAAGCCGACTTTGACATTGCTGGTCAAGAAAACACTCTCGTCAAGCACATCATCGAGCCCAAGGACATCAAGTACAAGTGGAACAACGAGACCCGATCTACCATGCACCTCGTCCGAAAGGAGATTACCAACGAGGACGACGGCAAGATGGTGAGTCATACTTCTTCATGTATCAAGGGATAGCGGCTGATGGAGAGTAGAACTGGTCTGCCAATGCTCAAGAGCAGGTGGTGGTGGTCAACAAGAATGCGACAAACAAGTACGGAGAGCCCCGAGGGTACAAGATGATGCCTAGCCGAGGAGGCGCGGGTATGCACTTGACCATCACCAACTCTAGCAACTTGTTCAACTCGCAAGGTCCGTACCTACCCTTTCCTTCCGAATTACGTACTGACTATGATATAGGCTTCGCTACTCACCAGTACTACGTCTGCAAGAGGAAAGACTCTGAACTTCGTGCATCCAACGCGTGGAACGACTATGACACTGCCAACCCCATTGTCGACTTTAGCAAGTTCTTTGACGGCGAAGATATCGAGCAAGAAGATATCGTGGTGTACTTCAACCTTGGTATGCACCACGTGCCCCACACTGGTGATCTCCCCAACGTACGTCCCCTCTCATGTCTCGAGCAGCAGTACGCTTACGATGATATGCAGACCGTCTTCACCACTGCTACAAGTGGCATGATGATTCTCCCCCACAACTACCTTCTATCCGACCCCTCTCGTCAGGCTACGCAGCAGATCCGTATCGACTACAACGACAACAGAACCACTGACGTATACACCTGGGGGCACGAGACGGCGTCCGGGACTGTCAACCTTGTGAGTGCTCTGGCTGGCAGAGCTTCAGGGCAGTGGCTAATGTACCCACAGGACCAGATCAGCTGGGACCCTTACTCTTACTATGGTGATGTGGCTGTTAGAAAGTTCCCTTACGATCGTGCGTATCTAACTGCATTTGTGACGGTGTGGTGGCTGACCTTTATCTCTCTTTACAGCCCAGAACCCCTTCAACGACAGTGAGATCCAGTGACTGGTCCTGCTATGATGTTGGGCTGACAATTTGATAGCCGGATCCGTCGTTTGATGCGTTGACCGAGGGAGATGGAGGTGGTTAGAAGGATATAACCCCAAAAATAAACACAAAAGGAAAAGCTTCAAGTATATTCAGGCAAGAACAAAGGACATTGGACTTATAATGGGAATGGTGTCTTTCTAGATAGCAATAGATAGCACGAGAGGCAGCCAATGCATACAAGTATACTGTATAATCGTTCATGGACGGTCAAAGAAGTGGAGGTTCGTTCTGGTGCGGCGCTTATCTGGCTTTGTTTGGCGCGGTCGGTGGATGGAGCGATCATCCGAAACTGTTTCCGTTTTCCCATCCCTCCTCTCCCGCTCTTGCTCTTGCTTTCCCTCTCTCCCTCGCCCAGCTCGTCTCTCGTCAATTCGTCAGTTTCGCCGACAGGTCCTGGCGGGAATGACACCAAGCCAAAGCGATCTCTGGCGCCTGTCGTCTCAAGAGAAAAACCCCCGTCTGGCTTCAAGCGAGGTTAGATCTCTTTCCTCGCAACCCTTCGGCCGCAGCCATGCCAAACACATGCTGTCTGTGGACGAGATGCAATTCATTCACATCCACTTTTCGTTCTCTCGCTGACGGTTCTCCGCAGGATGTCGAAGCAGCGCCGCTCCAACAAGATGCGCCCTGTTCGAAGGGAAGGAAGAGCGCGCCTTTCGTGCGAAGGGGGCTAATAGTCTTGACCTTCTTGGCGGCTTCCATATGGCTATCGCCTCCCATTGGGCGAACACCCAGCCTCACCCACTACTGGTCACAGTCAGCCACGCCTCTCGACACGCAGTGCGATACCCTTCTCACCGCTTCCGCTGGCACTCACACTGTCCGTCTGGAGACTCTCGTCTCGTCCCTCCCCCCATCCACTGTCTGGGTGGCAGAGCCAGGCGCATCAGTCTCATACTTCATCGGATCATTTTCGTCCGAAGAGTGGTGGCTCTCTGAACGCCCATTCCTCGTCGTTGTCGGTCAGTCTTCTAATGGCTCTCCCCGGGTGTACCTGGTCACGCCGACGTTCGAAGCACTCCGAGCGCGTTTGTTGGAACTTCCCGAAGAGGTACGGCGTATCGTCCGGTGGGTCGAGTGGAGGGAGGACCAAAGCCCTTACCAGGTTCTTGGCGCTGCCCTCGGAGATGATGTCGAGTCCTTCGTGCTTGATCCTATGGTCCGCCACTTTATCGGACAAGGCTTGCGGAAAGTACTCCAAGAAAAGACTGACGAGGAGGTATTGGCGAGCGTCTCTCTCATCAGAGAACGCAAGACTACCCACGAAGTCGACTTGTTGAGGTGCGCCAACCAAAAGACGCTCCACGCCATTCGCCAGACGAGAATAAGAATGTACCTGGGCATCAACGAGTCGCAAACGAGTAAGATACTCGAAGAAGAGATGGCCAAGACGGGTCTTATTGGAGGGGAGGGGTTGGTGTTGTTTGGCGGTGAGTCTTTCCCCTTGCGTTTCTGTATACATGTCTGATCAGACATTGCAGAGGATGCAGCGCTTCCGCATGGTTCTGGTACCAACCGTCGCCTGGGAGAGTCTGACCTCGTCTTAATCGATGCAGGAGGCAAGTGGGGAGGCTATGTCTCGGATATTACTCGAGTACGTCAGAAATAGTAGGCTTAGAGACTCCAACGCTGACACAGCTTAGACATTCGCTCTCCCCAAATCCAAGATCCCTCAGCACCACATCGACCTCTGGGAGACAGTCCGGCAAGCTCAATACGCGGCCTTTGAGTTCCTCAAGGGAATCAACGCCTCCTCTCCACCAAAGCTTGCTGATCTCGACCGATCCGCCCGAAACGTGGTGTCAGCCTGGCACCGCTCCGAGCCTTCGTCCTCTTCCCCAGCCGTGGACTCCGCGGACGACGCTTCAGTACCAGATTTCAGCATCTTCACCCACCGGCTTGGGCACGGTATCGGTCTTGAGGGACATGAAGTGCCATATCTCGTCCAAGGGCCTCTCGGTGAGCGACGAGTGCAGAGTGGACAAGTGTTTAGCCTCGAGCCTGGGATCTATCTTCCGCAAAACGGTGAGGAGGTGCATGGAATGAGGGGTGTGGGGGTGAGGTTGGAGGACTGTTTTGTTGTGACGGAAGATGAGCAGGGGTGGCTGGGTGGAGAGTGGCTTTCGGGGCCGATGGGGGCGTGGGGGGATGAACTCTAACTGTTGTGGCTGCCAACGCCTGAATCGATTCCGACAAGACATTGGATGTTTGGTGACCTCTTGCTTGCAGTTCGCATAACTGATGCATGTATTGCCCTGGCCAGCCTCCAATTCAGTCGTCACCCAATGCTGCACCCAACAACGAACCTCCACCGACAGCGGGAATTATTATCAAACGCCTGTTTTCTTGGGCGGATCTATTCTGGGACGTGCGCTTCTTGGCTCTACAGACTGCTCTGGTCACTGTCAGCGTCAGTCGCTCACCATGCATCTCAGGCAGCTCAGATCACCCCATGCCTACGCACGATACATAGCTGGCAGGCCATCCATGGTACCCGTGGTGCATACAGCGTTAATCCCATCCTCCATCCTCCACTTTGCTGGCGAAGAAAAATGCCTCAATTGAGGGGATCTCTGGTGCCTCGGCTCTCGACTTTCGAGAGAGTCCCGCCTCACCCATCATCTTTCAACGATCTGCGACAAGCCGCTCTCGCCCCGCAGCCCACTGACACCCCTTGCCAGGTGTCAGTCTGGCATGGGCCATGCATCCCATCCCAGTCTCCCCTTCCCATGTCACTCGTCACTCAACTCTGCAGCGGAAGGAGATCTGCAGTGTGCCTGTCGCTTCTGCAGGAAGATAGTACCCAGGCACGATCACGCATTCTGGAATGACGATTCGACCTTGGCCGCTGGCTGACCACCTGAGCTCCCTGTTATCTGGCTATGTATGCCCTCGATATCTGCAGCGTTGCGTTGCATGTCGTGCAGCATGCAGCGTCATTCTCCGCTGGGACCAGGGTACGTACCGGGTCGTGGTCACGATTTCGGCATAACGAGTCATCGCTACTAGTGTTTTTGATTTCCTTGATTTCCTCAAAGGCACAGTCCATTTTTCGGCCTTCACAATTTTCCGCCTTATCAGATTGGATGGTGGATCAGTTCCGCGAGCTCGTTTTGGTGCGCTCTGTACCACTATGCTGGCCTACTTTCCATGCTATGCTCTCCTATCAAGCCCTTCTCGCCCCACATCTCCACACTCCAACGCCCTACTCTTCCCAGACGTGTGTCTTGGAGCACTTGAACCAAGGAATCGGTACTCTTCATCCAACATCTTTTGCCCCGCTCCTTCTTTCGGCCTAACCTCCCGACACAATTGCGGAGGCAGTACTGCTTATATTCTGCTATCCGATACCGCATGTTTTTTAGTGGACTATTGGCCTTCGCAGTTTTTCCACAAACTGATTCACATTCATTCGCTCCTCGTCACTCCATCTCGCCCGTAGATATAAAGGCGTTCACATTCTCTTTCTTCTCTTTCTTCCTTGTCTTTCCCCCCTTCTTCGACAACTCGATTCACACAGAGGATAGCCGAGTCGACATGTCTGCTACCGTGTCCTCCACTGCCGCCGCCGTGGCCAATACTACCGTCAGCGCTGCTAGGGCTTCGCTCAAGGCCAAGATCGCTGCTGAGAAGAAGATCATGACCGCTAGGTCTCGTGAGTATTCTCTCCCTTCTTTAGTATACGAGCGCTGACTCTTCCTAGTTCACATGGTCTACGATGACTGGATCGGTATCGCCATCCTGTTTGGTATCTGTTGGTTCTTCATCATCCCCCGATTCATCGCTCGTGTCCGAGCTCCCACTACCCCTCGAGGCCACTCTTTGACCCGAGGCTGGTTTCTCCGCAAGGGTACCGACGAGTCTATCGACGGCACCGCCAGCGAGACCAGCTCTCAAACGGTCACCGATGTCGGCGCCACCACCACCCCTCCCACTCACGTCAAGCCCCTTATCTCCTACATCCCCGGTGGCTCCACCTTATTCTTCTACCGACCCTTCCAAAACTTGCGATGGGGTTTCAAGTCCTTCGCCAAGATGTACGACGTCTACCTCCTCGCCCTTTACCTCCTCCTCGTCTGCTTCACTATCGCCTGGAGGTCGCCCCTCAAGCTCAAGGACGCTACTACTGGTTACGTTGCCGATTACAAGAGGTCTGGTTACGTTGCCATTGCCCAGTTCCCTCTCTGTATCGCCCTCGGTGTGAGGAACAATATCTTTGGTTACATTACTGGCAAGGCCTACGACAGGCTTAAGATCTACCACAAGGTTACTGGTAGAATCATGTTTGCTGCTACCATCTGGCATGTTGCCTCTTACCGTAAGTTCCATCTACAACCGCACTGAGACTTTCTGACGCAATCATACAGTTAACAGGTGGGTCGTCAACGGTGTCTTCTACAGAAACTCTGCCAAGCATTATGCCAAGTTTGGCTGGCTCGCTTTCGGTGCTTTCCTCATTATCATGTTTACCTCCTTGCCCTGGGTTCGAAACCGATGCTACGGTATCTTCAAGGCCGCCCACGTCATTGGCTTCATCTTGATGCTCGTCGGTTTGGGCTTCCACGTTGACCGAGAGGTCTCTGTGCCAATCACGTGAGTTCCATGTCATCATCATCTTGGCCAATCGCTGAAATGATCCACAGCGTCTCTTCCGGTGTCGTCTACGGTGTCTCTATGATCTGCTCCCTTACCAAGACCAGGTTCGCCTCTGCCGAGATCGTTGCCCACCCCGGGTCTGATGTCGTCACCGTCACTATCCCCGCCCTCAAGTCTGGCTGGAGGGCTGGCCAGCACGTCCGTCTCCGTGTCCCTGCTACTGGCGGTGTTCACTTCCTCGAGGGTCACCCCTTCACCATCGCCTCTGCAGCCGACACTGAGGGTGCCGTTCTCATGATCAAGAACACTGGTGACTGGACTCGAAAACTTTACAAGCTCGCCGCCAAGTCTGCTGGCGATGCCGAGGCTCCCGGTGCTCCTCTCAAGACTACCGTCATCGTCGAGGGTCCTTACGGTGGTATGGGCAACACCCTCCCCGAGTCCTTCTCTTCCGTCCTCGCTGTCGCTGGTGGTTCTGGTATCACCCACTCTTTGGGTCTTGCCAGCGAGCTCATCATGGCTGCTCCTTCCGGTGCCGTTCGACCCAGAACCGTCGACCTTGTCTGGATGGTCCGAACGACTGCCATGGCCCGACCTCTTCTTCCCACCATCCACGGATTGGTCAACGAAGCTCGCGGCTGGGAGGTCAAGTGCCTTGCTAGCAAGGAGCAGACTGTTCAGCCTACCGCTCTCCGAGTCCACATTCACGTCACTCAGGCTGCCAACGCCGCCGACATTGACGTGATGAACTTCCACTCTGTTCCTGCTCTTGAGAACGAAAAGGTCAGCGTCGACGCTCCCCTAGCTCCCTCCGCCGACGCTGCCGAAGGAAACGTCACTCCTCCTGCCCTCAGCCCTGCCGATGAGGTCGACCCCGAGAAGCTTGCCTACATGACCAACCACCCCGGTTCCAACTCTCAGCTCGCTTCCACCGTCCTCTCTGGCGTTGTGATTCACCCCGGACGACCCCAGGTCGGCACCTTTGTCCACGGTATCGTCGACGAGACCATCTCTCGTCACGCCGAGACTGGCGCCAAGGCTAACGGTGTTTGCGTCGCTATGTGTGGTCCCGATGAGCTCCTTGTGGACATCCTCAAGGCCGGCTGGCAGGTTGAGCAGTCCAAGCAGAAGGCTTGTGGTGGTTTGGAGGTCGAGGAGGAACGCTTCGGCTTCTAGAGTAGCAAGCTGTGGTGCTGTTCTTCTCTCATGGGCTCTTTTAGATTTTTCTAGATGGATTTCTTCTTTTTTGCTACATTTTGGTACATAGATATTGGCCACATTTGGCGTGGGCAATGTAATAGACATATATAATGATCACATGAACAATTTGTAAACGTCATTGAGCATGTGTTGGTCAGAGGCCAGAGCTGCAGCATTGAGAGCATTATCGATCAACAAGTGATGTGGATTTGATATCGACGCGTCGACGGGCGCGTCTGCAACTTGTCTGCAACGCGTATTTAATCAATCTGTGCATCTCTTGCATTCCTACGGTCACCATCCACCATGGACGACGCCGACCCTATCAGCAACTTTTTCCCCGAGGCTACTGCCTCCGACCAGTCTTCCATCCTCTACGCAGCTCTCTCTCTCACTTCCACCGCCACCCCCGAAGAGATTCGCAAATCATACCGCCGTCTCGCTCTTCAATTCCATCCAGACAAGCACTCTTCCAAGTCCGACTCTGAAAAGGAGGAGAAGGCGAAGCAATTCCAAAGGATCGGTTTTGCTTATGCCGTTTTGAGCGATGAGGGTAGGAAGAAGAGGTACGATAAAACTGGGAGGACAGACGACAAGTTTGCCGGGGCAGAGGAGATGGGCTGGGACGCGTATTTTGAGAGCTTGTACAAGCGGGTGGATAGGAAGGTGCTGGATGATGACAAGTTGAAGTACCAGGGTGAGTGTGATAATGGGGTACATGGCTCGAGCTGACAGTGTGATAGGCTCTGACGAGGAGAAGGACGATATCATTTCCGCCTTCAACCACACCTCTGGCTCTCTTCCTGACATTCTCTCTTACGTCCCACACTCAACGCATCAGGATGAAGAGCGCTTCGTCACCCTCATAAACGAACTCATCGATGAGGGTGAGCTTGACTCCACACCAAAGTGGAAGAAGACGTCGACAGACGAAAAAGCGCGTGCCAAACGCGCGAAAGCAGGAGAGAAGGCTGCCAAGGAAGCTGAGAAGGCTGCCAAGGAGCTCGGTGTATGGGATGAGTTCTACGGAACTGGCGCAAAGGGCAAAAGGCAGGGCGACAAGGAGAAGAAGGAGGAAGGGGGTGGAGACGGGTCATTACAGGCGTTGATCCTCAAACGACAGAGGGACAGAGAAGGCGCCCTGGATGCAATGGAGGAAAAGTATCGCAAGCTGGATGAAGAGGCGAGGGCTACCAAGAAGGCCAAGAAGGGGAAAGGGAAAAAAGAGGATGCTGGAGAGCCGCCCGTGAGTCAACAAACCATTTGTCCCTTACGTTTATGAGGTGCTAACGTTGGTCTAGGAGTTGAGCGAAGCCGACTTTGAAGCCCTTCAGGCCAAGATGACTGGTAAAAAAGACTCTGAATCCAAGCCAAAAAAGAAGTCTGGAAAAACCAAGGCATGATCCTTGTCATTGTGCCACTATATTGCTCGCTGTTGTACCATCATCCGACCCCTATGTAGAAGGTCACAATCTACCGTGTTCTGCTGTTTCCGGCGTGTTGCTACTCTCTTTCACCAGGTGACGTTTCACAGATACAAATAGCACAAAACTTAATACACTGCTCGGTCATTGAGGCGCCAGTCTTTCAACGGCCCCCACCAAGACCACCCAGAGCCCTGCCCTCGCCTACCATCCCTCGCGCCGCTTTCGTCCGGCTCATCCTCTGAAGTCGCACGCCCTCTTCGCCGTCTTTTCTTGCCCTTCCTAGTCCGCCTGACCTCGTTCGAGTCTGAGCTCGTATCCAAGTCCTCCCACTCTGTATCTGTCGTCTCTCTTCCATCTCGCGCCGGCCGAGTTGTCGGGGTATCTTCTGCCTCCCCCTCCCCTGCTCGTGTCCTCGAGCCAGACCGCCGCGTATCGCCCAACAGCCTCTCTTCATTCAAGTTATCTCCCGCCTCTCTCAGCCTCCTCGCGCTCTCCTCATGCTCCCTGATCCCGAACCTTCCCAGACCCCATCCAACGTCATCACCATTGGCCACACCAGCTTCCAGCCTCGCGCTATCTCGTCCCCTGTCCGACCTATCTCCTTGCTCAAAGACCCGCTGGCGGATCTCAGCGCGCTCTATAGCAGCCTTTTTCGCAGCTTCCTGGTGCGCTCTGCGCAGACCGCTGAGATAGACGACAAGCCATGTGGTGGGGTAGGAGAAGACTTCACCGACAGTGCGCGGAGCATGGAGAGATGGTGTAGCGGATGTAGACGAGGTTTCAGAGTTTGTAGACTGCTGGAGGTTTCTGTTGGTGGACGAGCCCTCGCCTGTATGTTCGTTTGAAGGCTGCGAAAACTCGACGTGGGGTTCTCCCTCTTCGATTGTCTGGCCGGGTATATTAGACTCAAGGGGACGGCGTCGACGGGAGAGGTCGTCCATCTCCAGGGCGCCTTCTTCCGCAAGGCTCTCATCTGTGGTAGAGCGGCGGGCTACACGGCGGGTGATGGTGCCGGTTCGAGATGAACGCAGGATCGACGTCACACCGGTGGTGATTCCATCAGCAAGCCCAGCGAACGAATTTGTCCTCGTCCGCCCCCCGAGCCCTTCTCGGCTTTTGGCATTGGCACTCCTAGCACGAGCAGCAGCTTTCGCTTGCTTCCTCTTCTTCCTCTCTGCTTTTGCCATTATATCCTCCACCTCCCCGATCCCCATTCCACTCCCCACCCACCACCACCATCCGAGCCAGATCTGCCATAACACAGCCGCGAACAGCAGGTGCTGCAGCCAATCAATCCCATCCTCTGCAACTGCCACAAAGTTGAAACTCGTGGAGACTGTCGCCAAGAATAGAGAGCCGACGCCGAATACGGCTGTACCGCCGTCATTCCTCCAGGCTCGGCGGCGGTTTACAAAGATGCCCCAGATGGCAAGGGAGATGGTGAAGATGAGGAGGAGGGTGGAGTTGAAGACGTTGCGGATGGCGTCGGTGATATCGAGGACGGTTTGGTGTTTGGTAAGGGCCGTAAACACCAGGGCAGAGGAAACGAGGGCGAGGGGGCCTGTATAGGTCAGCATGTATTAGATTGACAGGATCGCGACATACCCAATACAAAGATGATCAGGCGCGCCTCTGTGCGAGAAGGATACAAAAGTGTCAAGAATTGAATATGCGTGATCTTTTGCACGTATCAGCACTGCACACCCCAGAAAGTTCTCACAGACTTACATTGCTCAGGCCAGCATTCAAAGCTTGCAACAAGAACCACGCCGCATTCTGCCCCGTTGACCAGCTTGTCGGCGGTATCGTCACGGCCACATAATCCAGATTATACGGCCACTTGTCTGCTGCTGCCGTACAATAGTCGAGAACCACAACAAGTTTGATGATGACGCTGATCAATACAACAACAATGGAGGACAATTGGAGAAAGTAGTTGAGCGGGGCGAGGGGATAGTGATATTGAGTTGTGACTGGGACGGGATTTAGTGAGACCTCGGGGCGTTCACTTCTCAATACTCACAAAGCAAATGTATCAATAGAACACAGAGAAGCGTCCCTGTGATACCGTTGACTACAAGCTGTATAGGCAGACTGTCCGCCAAACCAGGCTGGTACTGCAGATATGGGTCGGCGAGGAGTATCCCATCTGATACGGTCGACATGGCGCGCGACGGTGGGTATGTCGAGAATTATTGAGAGGATATGGCTTCTTCTTCCATCCTTGGGTAGCTGAGGTGTTCTGGGGAATGGTACGCTGATGTTTGATGTTATAGAGTCGCTTCTATGCATTCCAGTCCGACTTGGAACCAAAGAGCAGTGGGAAGATTGCTTACGTAACTCCTTTCAGCCTCTTCGACGAGGAACAGCGAAGCTTGATGAGTTCAGCTCCAATTCGAATTCAACAACCTTTTCAGCAACCTGCAAAATGTCTCGCGTAGCTCAAGGAGAAGTCATCCAAGATGTCAGTCAGATCGTGCGGTATATTGATCCCTACTCCAAGCTGACAGATGAACAGTTCCTCGACGGTGGTAATTACATCCGAGGTTCGCTCTTCAACATACAATCAAGATCCATCTGACAGTGCTTACAGATAGATTATTCAAATCTCTAGATTCCACCAAGGAGAGATGGGATACCAAGGAAGAAGGCCAGAAGGCTCAGAAGGCACTGGAAGCATTGGAAGTCAGCAAGGGTGCGAATCATGTCAAGGCTGAGGATGTCGACTGCATTGTAAGTCGCACCATACCCGATATGTGTTTGGAGTTTCGCTGACCTGGATATGTACAGTCCAATCAGACCGGCATCTCAAAGGAGGACGCTCGAGCGGCTCTGATAGAGGAGAAGGGCGACTTGGTGAAGGCCCTGTTGAAGAGTGTGCAGCCTAGACCGAGGGCGAGGTCTGTGGACGGCGGTGCCATCCCCAAATAGATCGTAGCAGAGTCAACGATGTACAGTATCCCATGTGCTCCGAAAGTCTACCCCACTCGCACACCTCACTGATCGCAGCAAGATGTCGAGTTTGAGCAGGTCAAGGAGACTATTACACAACATACAAGTACAGTTTCCCTGCTGGGAGCTCTAACCGCCTCTAGTAGACCTCTTCTAGATACCCCTGAATGACCAATCTCTCTACTTGACTCCGTTCTAGTCTGAACCTCTGTCCTTTGCGGAAGTCCACCCTTTCTCCACTATCCAAGAACACTTCTCCAGCATCCTTTACGACCCTCACATCCACCATCAGCTCCCCGGGCGGCTTTTCTATCCCTGCCGTGAGGTCAAGGACATCCAGAAACTCGCTCTTGTAATCGAGCAGGAGGCTGTTGTACCCTCTCATAAAGTCGAGTTCCTGCGGACTCAACGCCGAACGAAGGTCCGGTGCGTCCGCCTCGGGGTTGACGTTCGCGCTCGCTGCAGGACTCAGGAGGTATGCCAGTCCTCCTCCGGCGTCCCACCATCGCTCTTTGATCCCTCCGACTCGGGTCATGAGGTATGCCAACAAGCAGCGTTTGTTCCGTCGCGCTGCCAAATGCTGGACAGTGAGGTTGCACACCAGGCCCCTATCCTGAGTGAGAGACATGGGGCCATGGTTCTCGGCGATGGCCGTTATTGACGCTCCCAGTTGACGGGTTTCGAGACAGATGGAGAGGATGAGGGGTAGGGCGTATTTCGGCAGGGGAAGTTGTGGAGTGGTTGCGAGGGTTGTGCGGTGGGAGGCTGTGACGAGCTGGAGCGCGAGGTCGCCGTACATCTACGGCAGTCAGCTTCTACCCTCGAGCATGCCGCCGACTCACTCTAGCTTTATGCGGTCGCTGATGCCTAGAGAACGTTGAGAGAACGCGTTGTGGATACGCGTCTGGGGCGGCGGTGGCCGACGGAGTTATTCCCGACCAATTTGCTCCCGTCCCCGTTGCAGGTTGTGCTGCCGTTCTATCTCTTCGACCGCCACAAAAACACAGTTGAATCACAGTAAGGCCTCTTCTGCCGTCCTTGTGCCGTCGCTCATCCGCTACAGCCATGTTCCGCTCTCTCCGTGCCACCTCCAACATCGCCCGCCAGGCTGGTAAGTCCCATCCAGCCCGCTAGCCGTTGCAGCCAAAACGCCCTCGCTATAGCCGCATCAGTAACCATTTCATGCTGACGCGAACGTCTATAGCTGCCCCCCGTGGCTTTGCTTCCTCTTCCGTCGCCAGGAGCTACGAGGACACCATCAAGAACATCCTTGTTAGTGAGTGCTATTTCTCTGTCGGCATTGCCATGCGTTGCCAGGGTGGAGGTCTGTTCGGCCGGTCAACTGTCAAAGACGTTGCGTTTTAAACGGTCTAATTCCGCAACGAGGATGCTAGTCATCAGTTTGATGGGTAGTGATGGTGCTGAGAACTGCCTGGTCTGCCCTGCTTGAACGAGCGATGGCTCTGCTGGGTTTTCTCAGAAGCCAAACTTGCAGAGTATGGTTTATTGGCCTGAGCCATCTCTGTGTCGGCTTTGCTTGCAAAGTCTAGCGCCTCTCGGAATGGGACTCTGTCCGTCTCTGTAGAGGAAACGGCTGTGAACTTTGGGGGACGAGGGCACGTTTTGAGATCTTGGATCTATACTGACTCGTCGTCCATAGACAGGGACACCAAGGTTCTTGTGCAGGGTTTCACCGGAAAGACTGTAAGTCCTCACTACGCCCCCACGACGATCTTCTGACCATGTTGCAGGGTACTTTCCACGCCCAGCAGGCTATTGACTACGGAACCCGAATGATCGGTGGTACCAACCCCAAGGCAAGTCGCCTTCCTGATTCTACGATACTCCCTAACTCCTCTATAGAAAGCTGGCCAAACCCACCTCGGTCTCCCCGTCTTTGGCTCCGTCAAGGACGCCGTCCGAGACGTCCAGCCCGACGCCTCCGTCATCTACGTGCCCCCCGCCTTTGCTGCCGACGCCATCATCGAGGCCATTGAGAACGAGATCAAGCTCATCGTCACCATCACTGAGGGTATCCCCCAGCGCGACCAGATCAGGGTGTACCAGGCTTTGAAGAGCCAGAGCAAGAGTAGGATGATTGGTGGTAACTGCCCTGGTATCATTGCCGATGGCTGTAAGATGGGTATCATGCCCGGTCACATTTTCCAGCAGGGAAAGATCGGTGTCGTCTCTAGGTCTGGAACGTGAGTTGTAAACATGAGATGATGCGGACGACTTTTAACATTTGACATAGTTTGACCTACGAAGCCGTCAACCAGACCACCCTCGTCGGCCTTGGCCAGTCCCTCACTGTCGGTATCGGTGGTGACCCCTTCCCCGGAACCCAGCACATTGACGTCGTCAAGGTCCTCCTTGCCGACCCCAAGACTGAGGGCATCGTCCTCATCGGTGAGATCGGTGGTTCCATGGAAGAAGAGGCTGCTGCCTACCTCGAGGTGCACAACAAGAACTCGGCCAACCCCAAGCCTGTTGTCGCCTTCATTGCCGGTAGGACTGCTCCCCCCGGTAGGCGAATGGGTCACGCCGGTGCGATCATCTCTGGTGGTAAGGGTGCGGCCAGCGATAAGACCGCTGCCCTCCAAGCGGCGGGTGCTATCATTGCCGACAGCCCTGCGCAGATCGGTGACTTGATGTTGAAGGCCATGAAGGCTGCTGGCAAGGCCTAAACGGTGTAGATTTTTTTTAGAAGAGCGTAGTAATCAGCGGACGCTATGACGAAATGACAAAACACTACCTGAAGTTGCAAGACAAGTACAAGATTCATCATCAGATATCCTTACTTTGGATGACAACGTTTCACGCAAAATATTAGAAAGATAGAACAAAAAAAAAAAACACCTCAAGAAGAGACAAGCTCATGTGTATATATCGCCCCGAATACCATCCGACGCCTCGCTCACCCTCCGGCTTCCGTCTTGGCTTCCTGTTCTGCTCTCCCCGCTTCCGGCCGCACTCGCAGGTGCGGTCCCACTGGCAGTCCCGCCATGGCTGCTCATTTCTTCTGCCAGCTCCAGCCGTTGCAGCATACCCGGCGCCAACGCCAAAGTGCTCAAAAAAGTGTCGTTCATCGGTGTAGCAGCTTCAGACGAAAAGTTGGCGTTGGATGCGCTTTCGGCAGAGATGGGTTGAAGGATGGGCCGAGGACCGGCAGAAGGCCCAGTGGAGGTGATCGGCATCTCTTCGTTTTCGGGTACGGTTGCTATGGCGGGGCCAACCTCGAACGGACTGTTGGTCAGAGGTGGATCGGGTTCCGCCACGACCGTTTCTTGTCTGGTCAAGGTAGCGACCGGACTCAGTGTCTCATTTCCGGTAGGCGGTAAGAGTTCGTTGACGGCAGCCGAGCTTTGAGAACCAGTGACCAAGCCTGTGCTAGTGCCGTTTTCTGTGGGAGGCCCAGCGGGTATGGGTGGAGCAGCGTTGACGGCAGCGGCAGCTGATGGGATGATGGAGTGGTTGGACGGTCTGCGAGAGATGACGGATGCGCGGCGAGAGGCAATCTCCCAGGCGTCTTCCGTCTCGACGTCTTCCTCCAGATTGGCAAATGTACGCTGGATCATGGTCAGTAAACGTCATTGCCGAAGCGAAGGACCTACACAAAGCGGACATGAGAATCCGGGATAATGCCGCATCAATAACGGTCGGATACACTTGTAGTGGAAGACATGCGAACACGGTCTGCTCACTCTGTCAGTGGATGTATCCTTCGCATCAAATCAAACTTACGCAATGAATAAAGATTGACAGACTGTGACTGAGAACAGACAGATGCAACAGTCGGTGACACTAGCCTTCTGCTTCTTCCCCGGCGTGGCAGCCCCCTTGGGAGTCTCTAGGACGGCCAAGTCTCCGCCGCCCAAAGCCTTTATCTGCTTCAGAGCATTCGTGCTAACGAAGTGTCAGACCACTTCCTTCCTGAATATCAGAGACAAGACTCACTTGAACTCGTTGGCACCTCTTTGCCACTCCCGCCCTATCTCCACGCTCATCTTGACACATTTGAACATCTCTTCTGTGCCTCCTTGATAGTCGACACCAAGCTGAAGTATATCCCCGTCCTGAACAGTCGTTAGTCGGGCTTCTTTGACAAGTTGAATACTCACTTTGATCATCATGGGGCGAGATTCGGCATTGGGGCTCGACAGTCGGATGTGGTTCAAGAACGTCCCGGAGCTACTCTTGGTGTCTCTGATCCAGAACTAGCCAGCGTCAGTCCTGATCCATTGACCAAGCGCACACTCACTTTGCCGCCTTCCTCGCACCAGATCTCCGCATGACTTCTACTGACGACCTTGCTTCTGAACGCTGCCTTCCCACTCGTCATATCCCCACCACCCCCTGCGATACTCAAGTTTGCGGGGGCCGAGTGCGGAATGTCCGGATTCAGTGTACCCTCCCCTCCAATTCCCCCCATTCCGCCCCATCCCCCGTTGGCCCCCGCGCTGGAAGCGGGTTGGGGTACAGGCAACCTATCGCCCCGCTCCGTAAATCGGCCGATCTTGAGCACCAGCGCTACGGGCTTGCCTCTCACAGTCGCTCTTCCTGCACCGCCTACGGTACTCATGGACCCTGTATCGGCTACTCGGCTCCCTGCCTCTATCGGGGTGGTACCCGGGCGACCAGTGACAGCGACAGGGTACATCTCCCGGATGACGGGTTCGAAGGGCAAAGAACGGCGGGATTCGAGGTGGGGGACTAGACGGATACGGAATGTCTTGATGTCGGGGCGAGCATTGGAGCCGGGGTCTGGAAAAGCGGGAGCAGGGGAAGAGTTGGATGAAGATGAGGCATTGTTGGGAGGGTTGGATCGGGCGGAGGATGAGGAGGGGTCTGAGGAGGTGCTGGTGGTGGGGGCGGCAGCGGGGCGGGCGGTGTTGGATGCGCCTAGAAGTGGCATAGTGTCAGTGGGGTACCATTCGAAAAGGCAGGTTGAACGATGAATGCAAGAGAAGATGGAATGTAGAGATGAGAAATCAACGCGCTCGGGCCCCCGCCTCTTCTTCTACATTGCCGCATCGAGCATATGGATGGACTTACTTGTTCCGCTCAGCGGGGTGCTGACAGTCCGGGTCACGGCTCCCCCGGTCGACGCCTCAGCACGCCCCGGTGCGCTCTGCTCTCTTGCCCCGGCGCCTTTGGCAGCCGCGTCTAATGACGCCGACGTGGTCGTCTGCGAGTTGCCATTGCTGGGAACCGCGGCCGCACGTTGCTCCATCGTGACTGATCTGCCCCTAGTGCGCATGAAGCCCAGAAACGAATGCCTGGGAGATGCGGGCGACGTAGCCATTGCACCCGGTTGCTGGCCCGGCGGGGTGCTAACAAGTGAGCCGGGAGGGCTGTAAGACGCCCCATTCGCGGGCAGGGCAATGTGGAGGGGGCGGTCGTGGCGAGACATGGCGGCTTCTATGATGGCCTCGGGTAGACGGGATTCGTCGGTTGCGATGAGAGAAGGAGGGACAGATGAGTCGTGGAGGGTATCTGTGCTGGCACCGGGGCCAAGCGTGCCTCGGGACAAGGGTAAGGGAAGGGGCGGACGGGCGTCGAGTTCGGGAGGGAGAATGTATTCGCCAGTCTCCTCGTCGATGGGAAAGTAATGCTGGCCTTCGCTCGCGTAAATGGAGCCTCTACTATGTGTCCTGCCCGAAGGTAGAATACGATGAAGAAGGTTGTGGCTGTGGTTCCGCGAAGAAGCACTGGGCGGCGTGGAGGTGGAGCGTGGGGCGGGGGCGTGCAAGATGCTGTGCCGCCTTGACTGTGAGCGTGGCTCGTGGATTGCTGGGCTTTCGATGGCAGCCGCAGGGGTGGTGAAGAGGTATTCTGACCACGAGGCGGCCGATGATGAGGAGGATGTCGCTGTGTTTCCACCAGAGCCCCGCGTCGACGTCGGCGGGCCGGCGGATGACCTTTGTGTTCTTGTTCTGCTGTCGCCCGAGTGGTTGGCTTGCAGAGCACCGAGGGTGATCAAGCTGCTGTATCGGTTCTGCTCTTCTTGGTCTCGCCTTTGCGCGGCTTGAATCTGCGAGAGGATATCGGGATTGAAGTCGTAGATGACTGTAGTTCCCCTCAGCATCTTGTCGTTTGGTGGTTCCTTCGGTGGGTGATATGCAAGTTGCGGAAGAGGGTATATGCACTCACCTGGGCTATATATGCACTGCCCTGTGGGAACGTGGGAAGGCCAGGCGGGCTATGACTGTATGTACTCGCTCATGCAACAACGATAGCCGTGTTCCTGCCCTGGTCGCTGTAACGCTGCACGCTGCTCGCTTTTGGGGTGGGGGATTGTGCTACTACCTAGGTTGGGGGCCTTCCTTCAAGCTCGGTGTGTCGACTGTCGCCAGCTGGAGACTGGATCTGTACTTGTGAATCCAAAGAGAGCCACCCTCGGGACATGCCTCTCTTGCCCTCTTGGCTTAACGTGATACGGTGCATTTCTGCGAATCCCAGCCGATTCGGAGCTTCGGGCGTGCCTCTGCGTGGCCATGCTGCGTATGTCTTTCCGCCTTCAACGTCTCTTCAGGCGATTATGCCCCTCCCGTTGTTGGCCTCGTTCTGCCCGTCCAGCTTCTCATTCACAGGGCAACCCGGACAGGGCACGCGGAGGCAGCTGTAGGGCGATCATCTGTGGTGACCACAGGCCGAGTGGAGAAAGCGTGGGTGCTGTGTAACGATCGTTGCAACGTCACGGCGACGTACATAGATAACAAAGATATGAAAGTATCTGTTGATTGTGCTCACCTCTGTGGAAGCCACTGTCAGATTTCATAGCAGTTCACGCCGTGCGATATCGGGTAGCCGAACTGGTGGTCCAGCAACTCACTTGATAGCATGGTTGAAGGACATGACGAGAAGCGACCCTCGATGCATTCATGGCCTCTGCTCCTAGGCATAACGTATGGCCACAAAGCGTGAATGTATCGGTGCTTATCTTTTTTCCAACGCCACATGTCAGTGCCACTTGAGCACTCTCAATGACATCAAGCTAGTCACTGACTACCCGTCATGTTTCAGGAGAAGCCACCAGAACTTCATACATGACTTCTCAGAAATACAAGTACACATACTATCATGGGACAACATGTAAGTATGCATGGGTCCTCGCAGAAAAGTGATAGGTCAGTGGAGAGGTGGTGATTATGTAACGCGGCTACCACTCGAGCTCACGCTGCATCATTGCAGTCGTGCTTTGTTGGCATCTCATCCTCTCTTCCTCCCTACAAGACTGCTGAAGACGGATCTGGATCACCCAACATGGCCTTCCAATCGCCACTCATCGCCATACCCCGCAAGACCACCCAGGACGTAGACTGGACAGGACCCATCCGGCACGTCATCGCTGCCTCCTACGGCGAGGATCCCAACGCGTACCAGGAAGAATGCTCCGTACTGCAGAGAGTGAGGCAGGATGCTGTGAGGGGTGCAGGAAGTGATTTCACTGGTACGTGAATGCTGTCAAGTGAGGATAAAGGGAGCTGACAACAAACAGGCCGTGATCTGCTGTACAAGTACTTTGGACAACTGGAGCTGCTCGAGCTGCGCTTCGCTGAGATCAAGGTTTCGTTTGCATGGTGAGTATACATACCTCAGTATTCTTCCGCGTTGAGGCTGACCGTTTGAAGGAATGATGCCTTTACCACCAAGCTCACCACCCAAACATCTCTGGCATTCGAGAAAGCCTCCATCATCCACCTCATATCCGCCATCCTCTCTTCCATCGCCCAGTCATCTTCCCGTTCCGACCCCGAAGGCCTCAAGCGAGCCTACTACAACACCAGAGCATGCGCAGGCATGCTGACCTATATCAACGAAAACTTCCTACACGCCCCTTCAACAGATCTGGGCAGGGAGGTTGTGCATCTGCTGATAGGGATCATGATGGCGCAAGCTACAGAGATCTTTACTGAAAAGTTGATCGAGGAGAAAAAGTCGCCTGCTTTGGTATCGAGGTCGGCAAACCAGACGGCGTCTTCCTACAGCGCTGCTGTGGAAGAGATGAAGGAGTTTCAGGGGAAGGGCGTTTTCGACAGAAACTGGCTCAATGTCCTGCAAATCAAGAGCAAGCTCTTTGCCAGTATCGCTCAGTACTACAAGGGTACAGCAGACAATGCTGCTGGAAAGCACGGCGCGGCCCTTGTGCGCTTCAGGCTCGCCGATACCTTTGCCCAAGACGCTCAACGCCAATCATCATCATTCAACTACACCTTTGTCGCCACTGCTACACCATCCCTTCCAAATGACGCGGGTAGCAATCTCCACGAGATCGTCAAAGCCCATACGACTGTATGCAAAGAGGCTAAAGAACAGGCTACGAAAGATAACGACCTCATCTATAACGAAGTCTTGCCTTCCGAAGCCAGCTTGCCAGCAATTGAGAAACTGCCGCCTTCACCCCCCATCACTATCCAGGAAGTGTATGCCAATCCTGAAGTCACCCGGCTTATCGGCCCTGATATCTTTATCAAGCTTGTGCCTCTAGCTGTGCATGAGAGCGCCAGTGTGTACTCGGAAGAAAAGGCAAAGCTCGTGAGAGCAGAGGTCGAGAGGGTAGAGTCGTCCGAGGGCGAGATTCGGGCAGCACTCGATCATCTCGGGCTCCCTGGAGAGATTTTGAAATGGCGAAAGATTGTCGAAGACGATTCGCCCCAGGGGGAGGTGGAGCTCAGCAGAGAATTGAGGCAGCTGGTGGACACCAGTGGAGATGCGAGAAATGTCGAGAGAGAGCTGTCTAGATTATCCAATGAAAGAGAACGGTGCGAGAGGGAGCTGCGGGAATTGAGCTCGGCATTGGACAATGAGAGTCGGGAGTGTGAGCGTATGCGGGTAAGTCGACAAGACACAGTGGTAGATACATGCTTATCATAATCTAGGCCAAGCATACACCCCAATTCACCCAGTCTCCATCAGGTCCCCAGACTTCCAATCTCCGTTCAAACATCTCTGCCAACCTCTCTGCGCTCTCCTCCGCTGCGGCGTCCGACTCACAACTTTCCTCTCTATACCAAAGCGTCCAACCCGCCATCGCTCTCTTGTCTTCCGGACAAAGCCAACTTGAAAGCATCGCAAGCCAAGTAGCCAAGGGCAAGCCGCAGAACGCCGAGGACCGGGGTATGAGTTTGTTGGATCTGCAGGACGAAGATGAAGGGCAGGGTGGGTTGTCCGCGAAAGAGAAGGAGAGCTTGCAGAAAGCAATAAAGGAAGGCACTGAGAAGCTCGAGAGATTGGGCAAGATCAGGAGGGAAAGGGACGAAGTGTTGAAGGACTTGAAGGAGAAGGTCAGTCTTGATCTGGATACATGGTGTTGTTATACTGACTCCTGGGTAGATCCAGGCGGACGACGTATCAAACCTTCTCCTCCTCAACCGCCGCTCCTCGAATGTGGAGCCACAACTCTTTGCCTCTGAACTCGAAAAGTTCCGTCCTTATCAGACCCGTGTTGCTGCTGCTTCCTCGGCTGCGAAATCCTTGACTCAAGAGCTCGAGATGCTCATTGCCCAAGTCCAAAGAGGAAGAGGAGTAAAGGACCTGTCGAGAAAGGACAAGGAAAAGAGCAAGAGGGTCGGGCAGTGGGAGAAGGGATTGATCAAAGCTGGGGAGAGTCTGGCCGAGATTAGGGCTGGACTGGGCAAAGGGCTGAGCTACTATGAGAGTTTGGCGCGTGTCATTGAGGATCTCAAGCGAGAGGTACGCGGCTTTGTGAGCTCGAGAGATCAAGAGAGGAGCCGAATGGTCAGTGAAATTGAGGCCCGGCAACGTTTGGGCGGTGCCGCATCTCCGAGCACATCAGGAACCAGAGGATTGGAGGAGAGGTTGTCAAGCTTGAGTATGGGTGCGCCCCCACCTCCTTCTCGACCTGGCGTTTCTTCAGCGACCCCTACCCTTCCTGCCCCTCCTTCTCGATCGGCTCCGACACCTCATTACCCGCCCCCGCCCCCACCACCAAAATCGAATCCTTACGACTTTTCGAGCTTGGGGGGTTCTTCGGCATTCTCATCAGCTGCTGCCCCTAGTCCGCCTGCTCATCAGCAGAGGCAAGGTTCATACGGCCTGTATGGGTATGCATCCCCGACATCCCCATCACAGGGAGCGCAGCCCCAGCAGGCGACGCAGCCCTTGCAGAGTCCTTATCCTGCCCCACCTTCGCAGCCTGCGAGACCGGCCACTCAGACGTATGGGTCTTATACCGCTCCTCAGGCTGTCTATACTGCACCTCCATCTCAGCCGGGGTACACTTCCCCTCCCCCTCAGCAAAGTTATGCGCCACAGGGGTATGGTCAGTCTGGGTATCAACCTCAACCCCCATCTCAGCCCCAAGCCCAAGGGCAGGGGCAGTACTACCCTCCCCCGCCAACACGTCCGGCTTATACCTCTCCGCCGCCCCAGCAGCCATCTTATGGCGGCTATGCTCCCCCCACATCTGGCTACGCTTCCCAGGCCCCTTCGGGCTATACTCAGCAGCCACAAGGGTATGCTGCACCTCCTCAGACTCAGCCACAGCCACAAAGCCAAACTCAAGGGCAGCAGTACGGCTATCAGGCTTATGGTTACTCGGATTCCCAGCTTCAACAGCAGCAGCAACATGGAGGGTATCCTCAGTACCGCTAGGCTTTCACAGATGGGTATCAGGCAAGTGAGGAAAAAACATTTGTAGACAGTATCACAATATCAGGGGTAACGACAATGCATGGTCTCTATCACAACACTGAGGGACAGTTGTCCAGAGCGTAGCCGCGAAGCTTCTTGTGAATGATACAATGCATACATGTATGGCATTGGACTTGCTCATGGGCACCACCTTCGCAGTCACTCATGGATGAGTTTCATTATGGAGGATAAAGATATGCTGTGTGCATCGTGCGTGGGGGCCTACAGTGGGCATACAGACACTGAATCCTTCCGACCGCTTCGTTGAAGGATGCCCTGATTCCTATTCCCGCTTTCTCCACGGCGGAAGGGCAGAGGAAAATCGGCTGCTCCCACAACTCGGCGAACGAAACCAGCTTCGCTCGTCCCAATAGGGACACCTAAAGTGTTATACTGAAGGATGTTTGGGTGGGGGTTTTCAAGGACGGGAAAAGGAGGAGATAAATGAGGAGAATAATGGAAGTCAACCATCCACACGGAGCAAAGGACCCCCTTCAATCAACTAGCTACCCCTGGCTGACTGCATCTGTATACTCTCAGTCATCCGCTTCCAGCTGAGAGGAGGTGCTTTGAGTGAATCCGGCGGGGATTGAGACTTTGAGAGCACAGCAGTGGCTGAAGAGAAACATGATATAAGGGCTGCTCGTGGCTTTCCCTTTGTTCATTCCCCATCAACTCTGAGAATCACCTTCTCCAGCCACCAAGCCAGCGCATATCCACTACCATTATACTTTACCATCAACACCTGACTTCGCCTTTGCTTTGACTCTCCACTTCTTTCAACAACACACAAAAGAAGCAAAGAATGAACGACTTTTGGACATCTCACGGGTTTGTTTCTACTCCCGAGACGACGGATGCAGGTAGCCGTGAGTCAAAGCCCTACGATGAACCAACTCGTGCTGAACTTTTCATAGAAGACTACTTCCAGCCGCAGCAGACTTTCCACCCCCAGCCCCTCCAGCAACACTTCTTCCAGGCTCCTACCCATCCTCAAATCCAACTCTCTCACGTCCACCCCCACGTTCTTCGTAACCAGCGCTCGACTTCTTCTCTTTCCACCTGGTCCACCGTGACATCTTCCTCGGACACTCAGTCCTCCATCTCCGACTTTGAAGATGACGCTGCGTCTATCAGCACCTTTCCCACCAGCATCTCTCCCAACAGCTTGAGGAGCGTTCGCAGCCATGGTTCTACCGAAAAGACTCTGAGTCTGTCGATAGATCCCAAGCTGTTCAGGCCTCTTGAGAACAGGGAGAATGGCGGAGATGACGAGATGCTTGAGACTGCTATCCCTCGGACTGCTCGTCGAGCGCCTGCGCCTGCCCCTCGTGCCCCGGCTTCGGAGGCCAGCAGTTCTTCGGGATCGCCGCCCACGAAGGCGAATGGTAAAGACGGCAAGAAGAAGACCAGCCATGCTAGAAAGGTAAGTCAGCTTCCCGTCGCCAGTGAGCATGATCTGACATACGATATAGCAAAATGCCGACCACATTCCCCGACCTCGGAATGCCTTCATCCTGTTCCGGAAGCATGTCGTGGACGCCAAGTTGATTCCAACTTCTGTCGAGATGAGACATCAAAACGTCAGCATCATCACCGCCAAGATGTGGAGTGAGGTAAGCGTCTTGACCTTCCGGTTGGGTTTGAGCTTACCTTAGAATAGGCGCCTCCTGACCAAAAGGCCCACTTCAACGAGCTCGCCCGGATTGAGAAAGAAGAGCACTTGAAGAAATACCCCGGCTACCGCTACCAGCCTGTCTACCGCCGCACCAACGTCATCCGCCGTCGAGTCCGCAAGGACGAGGCTGAAGAGGAAAAGTGCAAGAACATTGCGGAGCTTTTGTCGAAGGGCAAGAGCGGCGAGCAGTTGGAGGCCGAAATCAAAGAGAAGATTGCGAATGAGAAGACTAAGAAGAAGTGAGTCTAAGACAGCGAGGAGTAGAAAAGTACTGACAACATGACCAGGAGCCAAAGCAGGAAGAAGGACACTGCTGCCGCCAGCGAGCTTTCCAAGGGCGCTCTTAGGGCTTTGCGGGCTCAGGCTCGACAGCGCCAACACCAGGCATCAGGCGACTGGTCTGACGTCTCCCGTGCTACTTCCATCGACCCTGATACCAGGAGCATCAGCACTGGTCGGTCGAGCGTCTTTACCCGGCAGTCCCAGTCGCCTGAACCCCATGCTTTGGCCTATGGCTTAGGCCAGGACCAGCAGAGCATCGGTGGTAGCGATGTGATGGCCTACGCGCATCCTGGGTTCGGTGACATCCCTATGGAAAGTCAGCAATTCACTTGCCCCATCGATACCCAGAGCACCTACAGCCAATCTTCACAATCCTTCCCTTCTGAATCCCACCAGCAATTCCTCTACCCTCAGCCGGACTCCCAATTTCACCCCTCCTTCCCCCAACAGAACCAACACAACCTTGCCGGGGAGTTTTACTCTCACGACACTGCTCTTCCCTTCTCTCCCTCTACTTCGCAGTTCACCTTCCCTGCCTCCTCGAGTTCGTCTTGGCATGACGTCGCGATGGGCGCCAACAGGTTTTCCTTTGACATGTTTGACGTGTCGCATGCGAGTCAGCAGCAGGCTCTTCAGCCGCCCATATCAGCAAGGTGGGACAAGGGGCACTTGTTGCCTCCTTCGAGCGATGTACCGCTGGAGAACTTGCCTTTTGATGATGGTATGATGATGGGCGATTTCGAGGCCGCTCTGGTGCAGGCCGACGAGTTTGTAGCGTGGTAACCATAGATTAGAGACCGTGTTGATTGTACTACCTGTACCCTGAGGCCGATATTGATTGTTATACCCATGCATCGCATTGACTTACCTCCAGTGCAGTTGCAGAATGGACAGCGACATCGGCATCGCTGTAGGAGGCTGTGCTGCGAATTTCTAACTATCGTAATGGAATGTTGTAATGGCGTGCCTGAAAATTGTAATAGGGTGCCTGAGGTTTGTAATGGATTCGCGCAGTACGTCACCAGATGCATTCTAATCCTCTCTCTCTTTCTTCTCCACAATCCCACCAGGTGGTATCCGTGGCCCATCGTCTAGCATCCCCCATCGCCCTCGCCGCCCCGGCCAAAGCACTCTCCACCACCAACTTTGCACGACATCACTCCAGGGCCCAGGCCTCAGTCGCACAGTCGCGTCACCCTCCCACTTCTCGACCCTCAGAGCTCCCCGATAGCTGTGGCGCTTTTTTCTTCGCCTCTCGTATAGCATCTTAATTGTCAGTGCTGGCCTCTCTCTGACAGGGTAACAGTTGAAGCTGACGCGTGTTTCTCCCCTGTTCACCCTCCACAATCCTCGTGTCCTGCCGTTACTCCCCTTTGAAACACAACTATCACAACATCAACAGATCGGCAAGGCATCTTCCGCTTCGCTTTCTGTTCTTTGAAGTCCATCTCAGCTCTCACCTGTCTCATCTGTGTGCTAGACAGCCACTTGTGATATACTTCACCAGCTCTTCCCCTAGATCGCCATACTCCACCTAGGCGAAACAAGCAGAACCCACAATGGGAAAGTCTCAATCCAAACTCTCCTCTGAAGAGCTCGCCGAGCTCCAAAAGAACACTTACTGTAGGCCTGATCATTATCCACTGCTTGGTGTCGCTGACATGCCCCCGCAGTCGACAAGAAGGTGAGATTTTGTATCTGTGATAGTCGCTGAGGTCACGGTTCGGCGGGGCTGGGCTTGACCTTGATGTTTGGGAAACTACATGAGAACACACGCTGACTTCTCTGTCGTTATTATAGGAGCTCCAACAATGGGTAAGCAGGATGGCTCGTCTTAAAGGTGCGAGCTAACGACAATTGCAGTACAAGGGATTCCTCAAGGACTGTCCCAGCGGCCAGCTGAACAAGGAAGGTGAGTAATGGCTCTTGGGCGGGACTGGTTCGTCGTGCATCCGATCACTGACGGGCACTGTGCAGAGTTCAAGAAGATCTACCGTCAATTCTTCCCATTCGGCGATCCGAGTCAATTCGCAGACTATGTGTTCAATGTACGCCCCCATCCGGCTACTCTTTGTGCAGCCGCTGACCGAACGTTCCAGGTATTTGACGAAGACAAATCCGGCACAATAGAATTCAAAGAATTCATCTGCGCCCTCTCCGTCACCTCTCGTGGTCGTCTCGACGAAAAGCTCAAATGGGCTTTCCAATTGTACGACATCAACCAAGACGGGTTCATCACCTACGATGAAATGTTGCAGATTGTGAGGTCGATATACAAGATGACTGGGCAGATGGTGCAGTTGCCCGAGGATGAGGACACGCCCGAAAAGGTGAGTCTCTCCTTTTGTGAAACAAGCAGAAGCAGGACTGATGGGACCCGTAGCGAGTGGACAAGATCTTCCGCAACATGGATGTCAACAAGGACCACCAGTTGACTTACGACGAGTTCAAAGAGGGATCCAAGCTCGACCCCACAATCGTCCAGGTCAGTGCATCGACTCCTTCCTATAGCACACTTGCTGACTGGCGTGTAGGCGTTGTCGTTGTACGATGGTTTGGTGTAAGGCTCAAGTGTCTACCTGTAACAGAGTCATTGTACATGGATTCTCTCTAGATGAGGTGCCGGTGACTGGTCTATGTTGGCATCTTGCCTCTCTCATGTTCTCGAGAAATACTTTTACCGAAAAACACAAAGGTCATGTACCAAGGTTTCACCAGACATTATCTCATCTATCGTCTGGTCTTGTCTAGCTGATGTTGCATATCCTGACTATCATCTGACTCATCTGCTATTCTCTATCACCCGCAAGGCAATAACCAGTCAAGTGCTGCCCCTCATTGATTATAGGGCCCAGTGCACATCGCCCCCAATAGACTAATGCCCCATCACCACCTTCTCCTTACCCTTCTCCATATCATCTTCGACCTCTTGCTTCTTCGGGTTCCGATAAAACGCCAAAAACATGATCAACCAAACCCCACACCACCCAAGCTCAACCCACCAAGACACCTGCAGGTTCTTAAAGTTGTAAACACCGTCAGGGAAGACGGTGAAGAGGCCGGCTTGAATACCGAGGGCGATGGCGTTACCGAGCTGGACAGAGACTTGGATGACGGCTCCTGCGACGCCGGCGGACTCGGGTGGGACTGTTGTCATGACACCAACGCTAATGAACATGTCAGACCCAGGACAGAAGGAGAGAGTGTAAACTCACTTGTTCATATTGAACAATGCCATACAAGCGCCAGGACCGATGATGTAGCCCGGCAAGAGATACTTCCAGTACCCAAGGCCGGTGTAATCTTTGGCATAGATGAAGAGCAAGTTGGCGCCTATGGCACAGCCCAAGCCCAGAGCGACTGTGATACGCGGACGTGCCGTCATCTGAGGGAATCTGGCGGCTAGGATGGTGACTATTACAGCCATAATCGGTTGAGGCAATATTCGCACCGACGCCTTCAACGACGATTCTCCCTTTACCGACATGAACGTCTCAATCCACGGCAGCTGTTCTACGGCGAACCAACCTTGGATCAGCAGGGCAAACACGATCCAGAGGGTAAAGTTGGGATATCGCCAGAAGTGGGGTGGGAGGAGGGCGTGGGTGGTGGGTAAACGGGATTCGTGCCAGATGAAGAATGGGAAAAGGAACAAGGAGATGATGAGGGGGGCGATGAAACCGGCAGAACCCCAACCATTGGTGGCGCCGAGAGTGAGGGCGAGGATGATGCAGACGATGGCGACGAGCACTCTTTGACCATGGTCAGCGTATCTCTGGAAAGTATAGGTGATAACCCACGAAAGAGATCCGATGAGGTCGAGCCGCTCCCACTTGTTTTTTACATCCGCATCATGCCCCCTGATCTTTGGGATCCACTTGAGAGACCCGATAGAGACAGGAATGATGAGAACCGCCATCAAGCGGAAGAACCACCTCCACCCAGCCATCTGTCCAGTCGGCTGAATGAGCTGGAGGAGACCGGCCACGATGTTGCCCGTGGTGGCCGCGATAGCCCCCGCCATGCCATACAGGGTAAATGCCTTCTTGAGCTCGTGTGGCTCAAAGATACCAGCGATGAGACGGAAAGCCGAGGGAACAGATGTACCTCCGGCGATACCCGATATTGCCCGAAAGATGAAGAAGGAGTACTTTTCGGGGAGAAAGGAAATGACGATGCTGATCACACCCAGAGAAAAGAAGCCGTAAGAGAACACCTGCTTGGCAGAGTACAGGTCGGATAGACGACCCCAGAACAGAAGGGAGGCGGCAAAGGTGACGGCGTAGGAGGTGATAACCCATGATTGCTGAGAGAAAGGTACGTTGAGGTCGTCGACGATCGGAGTCGTGAATATGTAGAACGCGGCGAGACACCACTCTGGAATGACATGTCAGTCAGCATGTTGTGGCAAAGGGAGATCAAACATACGATCGATAAACAGGGCTAGAGAAAAGACGAGGAGAAGGCTCCATTTTCTCAGCTGAGTCATGTGTAAGTCTTGGTGCTGCCGAGCATCTTCCTGACAAGAGTGTTGTGAAGGTTCCAATGAGTAGGGGTATGGCGGAGACAGCTTATCATCCGCTACCGCTTGTTGGCTGTCTGAGCCTCCAGCGGGTTGAGAGCCGTGCAATGGAGAGGGCGAGCTGGTAATGGTTGAGGAGGTCATGGTGGTGAGATCTGATTGAGTGCACGCAGCAGACTGGACACAGACGGGCTTCTGGCGCTCAGATCTTTATGTAGGCGGGATGGTGTTATCTCCTTTCAATTCATTGAGGCCGCAGTTCCCTTTCGAAGGTGGAGGCTGGGTGGAGGCTGGGTTGAGACGAAAGAGAACAACGCCTGTTGCTTGTTCATCCCTAGTGCGCCCGGAGGCATAAAGTGGAGGTAGCGGGGTGGAGGCCAAGTGGAGGCCAGGCACGCGCTGGTAAGCTGATATGCTTATCACGCACCCCTCACGGACATGTCCGCCATTACATAACATTCGTAATTGCCCTTCTGGGAAAAAAGGGCGGCTGAACTTTGGCCAAACACAGTTATACTTTCGCGGTCACTCGCCCTGCCATCTTCTCTGCCCCAGCTAGAACCGGCTCACAATTGCCACAACCGACTCCATTCTGCCTCTCTCACTGTGCTGACATTCATGCACAGAGTCGATTGGCTCGCCCCTGACGTCACAATCATCAATTTCAGCTGAATTTCAGCGACCGCGCTTTCATCCTACTCAACTTTATCGCGTCTCTGACCTCTCTACAGCCGGTTCGTCATCACCATGGACGCTGCCTCTAGTATCAGAAATAGCAGTCATACACGCCAGGAGATTCTGCAAATCCCTCATCCTTCTATCATCGACACACCGACTTGTAGAATCACTGCAGCACCCCTACCCCAGTCACGCTCCTCGGATGGCCGTCTACAGATAGCCAGTCTCGTCAGCAACTTTGAGCCCGCCACACGTCATGACACTCCCAGCGCCTGTCGGCTACCTATATTGGTACACGACCTCCATCATCCTCTTCATCCTCACCCTCTACAATGTGCTCTACAAGCTCTTTCACCACGCTCGGTCTAAAGGCTTCATCCGCACCGCTTCCTCCCACGACAGTCGCATAGGGAGAGTCTGGAGAACGGGGAGGGCTCTTGTAGACAAGCATGTCTTGCTGGCCGGGATACGAAGACCGCCCTTGAAGTTTTGGAAGAAACGGCCGTCAAAGTGGCAGATCATGCCGAGCACGGAAGTTTGGTGGCGGGTGGGGTACAGCGTAGGCTTTCTCGTTCTCGCATTCTACAGAAGTGAGTCATCGTCTCCAAAGCTGACAACGCACTACTAACCGCTTCTACAGCCGGATGGGATAGACATACATATGCAAACCAAGCGGCGTGGCTGGCAGTCGCCCAGATCCCACTGATCATTGCACTCGCTGGCAAGAACAATCTGATATCATGTACGTTCCAGAAGATACAATCTTTAGCTACAGCTGACAGTGACAGTCCTGACTGGTATACCGTACGACAAACTGAACTATATCCACCGAGCTGCCGGGAACCTCTGCCTCTCAGGCGTATGGATACACGCTGGCGGACACTGGTCGCTCTCTCACGGGTGGAGCAAAGCGTCTTGGTCAAGCGCCCTTGCTCACTGGGTGCGTCTTATCATGATAGATCACGATCCAGCTAATAATTGTGATCAGGGGTTCGTCGGGATTTTTTCTATTACTCTTCTATCTCTCATTTCCATCCAGCCATTTCGACGATACGTCTTCGAGTTTTTCCTTGCTCTGCATATTGCGCTGGTGGCGCTCATGCTGGCAGCTTTCGTCATGCACTGGAAGGCGATGGATGTCTGGTTATATGTGAGTAGCTTGATACTTCTTGGCAGCGGCACACTGACGACCAAGATAGCCTGGCGTTGGCTTGTGGGCAGCAGACAGGATCCTCCGCCTTTTGCGCATCGTCTACTACAACCATATCTACCCGTCAAAAGCCATCCTACCACCCGAAGAGCCCTCCTCGCCACTCTCCCCGAAACGTTCTTCCAACTGTAAGACCCACACCACCGCCCAGATCACCCTCCTCACTCCCTCAACTCTCCTCCTCACCATCCCTCGCCCATCTCCTCGACTGTCCTGGAACGCAGGCCAGCATTTCTACATTTCCATCCCTGGTGTCTCTCGCTGGCCTTGGGAGGGACATCCCTTCACTGCTGCCTCTGTTCCGGGGATGATGGAGGAAGATGGGGCCGAGAATGATCAGTTGGCGTTTATCGTCCGGGTCAGAGACGGTTTCACAAAGAGGCTTCTGCGATATGTGGAAGAGAATCTGCCTGGAGGAGGGTATGGCAGGAAGGGGATGGAGAAGCAGGCTGTGGGTGTGAGGGCTGCTGTAGAGGGACCGTATGGGCCGAGAAATGAGGTGAGAGAGTATGATGGGGTGTTGATATTTGCTGGTGAGTGCGTGAGTGTTGACGCGAATGTTGACTAACTAGCGACAGGCGGATCTGGGATTAGTTTTGGCGTGGCGACGTTACTCCAGATCATTCGAGATGCGAAAAAGGGAAAGAGCAGAGTGAAACATGTCACTATTGTCTGGATGGTCACGTCGCGGTGTGAGTCAATAGCGCCCATTCAATCACCCATCACTGACATATGCGATAGTACACTTGGACTGGATCACACCGCTTCTCTCACCACATCTCAAAAATCTCCCACCATCGCTCAACGTAACTCTCAAAATCCACATCACCCGCCCTCCCATCCCCCTCTCCTCCCCCTGCCCATCCGCGCTCCCTCCTCCAGCTCTACGCACATCAACCTTGTCCAACCCATCCGAACACCTCCATGCCCAAACCGAGCTCGAAGATTACCTCCACCGCCGTGTACACGAACGGTCAGAAAAGCACCGACGGAAGAGACGATGGAGTGTGTTTAGCTGGGCTAGTTGGGGTCCTCGGATGGGCCGGGACAGTGCTAAGAGTGGAGTGAATACCAGAAGAGGGACTCATGCGGAGATTGCCAGGGGGGCAGTACGCAAAGAGAGTGTTTCGGAACCGACGACGGGGTCTCAGACAAGTTCGACCTCTCGCCGCTCATCGCACGGCGAAATCCATCATCCACCCCCCACAAACTTTGCGTGGTCAGAGCATTATACGAGCGATCGTATGCCTAACGCCCAGTATATCAGCCCCATCCATTCAGACCATTCTGGTTCGCCCTCGGCCACCCCGATGAGAAGGTTGTCGACTGCCCCGATGCCGCCGGTGATGGAAGGTGACGAGCTGGTATTGTCGGAAGCGGCGCCTCTTCCTGGGATCGAGGAGGTTCCGGGAAAGGGGACAGCTGGTGCACGGTCCTCTTCGCCCACCTCTGGTGAGTTTACAGAAGAGGGCGATCTGGCTACACGTCCTCGTACTCTCTCCCCACCTCCCTTCCCCGAACGCCGTAGACATGTCTCCATCTCTGACGCCCCGCCTCTTATCTCTCCTTCTCCACGTCAGGCATCGTCGGCGTCAGTCAACTTTGATCGTCCCAGGCCTTCCATCCTCCTCACGTCACTCAAGCTGCGTAATCATCGCTCGTCCTCTCACGCCCCGGGGCTGTTACTCGATCCAGAGCTACTGGCGCCGCCCATGAGCAGAAGCTCATCGGCAGAGTCTGTAGACTCTACTACATCTGCTAGCTCCGGTCGGTCTCTGGCGAGTTTCACAGCGCCCGATACTCCGCCGTCCATACCCGACCTCTTGCCGGTTCTCGGATTAGGCCAAGACTCGACCACCGAAGAGAGCAGCCTGGAGCATATCTCAGACAAGGAAGAAGAAGATGTTCAGCGACCATCCACACCCACACTCCTCCTATCGCAGCTCTCGTCAGCGACCGATACGTCCCCCGAAGAAGTCTTGCAAGGTCTCGCACTTATTGGCTCTATCCCAGATCCGCAGAAGAGACGGGAGAGCTTGGAACAGTGGATCGGCGGGGTGGAGGGGGATTTGAGAAAGAAGGCGAACGTGCTTTTGGGGCTTGATGGGGAGGGAGGGGTGGTCAGGTGGAAGACGGGTCGGGCCAACCTGCGGGGAGAGATCAGGGGGATGATGGACATTGTATCTCTTCCATCGGGGCAAAGCTTTGAAAAGAAGGGAGCTTCACCCCAGAAGGATGCGGAGAAGAATCAGCCTGAGTCTGTGGGTGAGCGAGCCAAGATATGGGTTGGCGTTTGTGGGCCGCGCAGTCTGCTAGATTCATCAACGTTGGCGGTGAGAGAGGAGTTGAGCGGGAAGGCTGTATGGGGTGGTGGGGTGCGGATCGACTTTCATGCAGAGAGCTTTGGGTGGTGAATCATGTATTGCCCGTAGAAGAGTGTCAACTGCGATAAGATAACGCAATCCGCGGCAAGTGGAGCTAGGCTGGTCTAGGCTTTTCCATGACGAGGGCAGTACTAGAGTACATATGTTACAGAGTGTCCATTATACAACATCAAGCGTTCAGTGCATCTTCTTCCTCCTCCTCCTCCTCCTCCTCTTCCTCTTCCTCCTCCTCGTCTCGCAACCGCCGCGCCCTGTTGGCTCGTGCCCGCTTACTCGGCCTGTTCTGTTTCGACTTGGCTTCGCGTGCGGGGCGTTTGGCCGAGCGGGATGAGATGTGCAGGGTCATTTCTGTTGATGACTGTTTCCAGTCAGCATACTGTGTTGGAGTCATAGAGCGGGCTTACTTTGAGTCGGGTCTTTCGTTCTGGCGCTTCTGCTTCGACGCCCCCTACATCGCGCAACCACTCTTCTTCTTCTTCCCCTTCCTTCTTCTTGCCCACTTCATCGACACAGGCGACAGTGCCAGTCTTGATCTCGTACCACATTCCCTTGTCTCCTTTGGGATATGGTAACAAGTCGAGGAGAGCGTGCAGCAAGAGCAGCGCGTGAGAGATGGCCGGTCCGAGGGCATGGAACGTAAGTGATGTATATCTGTATATTCGGCATCAGTATCCTTTACTGCAGCTCATATCCCACTGACCCTTCGTCCACGACCAGACTCCGGCATTTCCCCATCAACCCTCCCAGCGCCGAGTTGCGAGTAACAAAGATGACATTGCGAGGATAGCCTGCTTTGCCCGACTGTGCTGGGCCGGCCCTCGTCTTGCTGACGCCCTGGAGGGGCTTGATGGGGTGGGTGTGGCCTGCAGGGCCTGTTGGGAGGGGTGGCTTGGGCGGGGGCAGCTTTGTGGTGGGCATGGCGTGATAGGTGAAAATGTTGAGGAGAGTAGTTGTAATGGGATTAGGAAATAGGTGTAAGGGGATTAGAGTAGAGTTTGTAATGGCTGGTGGTTATCTTTCTTCCGTGCTCGCTTTTTCGAATCCAGCCACTGTCTTTTCCATCTTCTCATCGCCCTCGTAGACCCGCCGATGCCCACCCCGCCACTGCCAGACTATGCCCACTGGCGCTCGCCCCAGCAACAGCAGACACCCCTCCACGACGTGAGTCATCGCCCCAACAAAGTCGGCGAGAAACGGCCCTGTCGTCCACCCTGAGTAAGACAAGCGCTGATCTCGATGCCATACGCTCTGCCCGACCTCCCTTACCTCTATCGCCCACCCCCTACATCCATGCTCTACTCGGCCCACTTTTTTTTTTTTTTGGGGTGGCTGCATTGTACAGTCCACTGCGCTTCCCGACCTCTTATCACCAAGGGTCACCGACTCGCCAGCGCTCAGGCCAGGCAAAAAAGACCTCATGCACCCCGCCTTCCTGCCCCCCTGCGAGCACGGCGGTGACGGGGACATGCATGCTCACGCGTTTGGTGCGTTATTGGCTACTTTCTGAACACCGCGCGCGCAAAATGACTTATTTTATGAAATGTCTTAGACCTCCTCTCCCTCTCTGGAGGCCCCCCATCCCAGCCTCGCCGAGCTCATCCGCAGACGACTGCTTCGACACCCCAGGCCATCCCATCGAGCGTGCCGTCGCGCCCCTCTTATCTCTCGGCTACGAAACCGCAGGCGCCCATCCCAGACAAGGCCGGCAAGGAGAATGCCCCCAGGCAGCGAAGGATGAGCAGCAGCACAACGGGTGTGCTTGGGAGAGGGAAGCTTGGCTTGACAGGAGCGGGACCGACAGAAGGCCTCGGGCTGAATGGTGTAGGGAAGGACAGGTGAGTATCCTTTCTTTTTGGGAAGCGTCGTGCTCACATACTGCAGCCGAGCACCGACGGTGACTGCTCCGGCAGGGGCCGGTCGTAGATCAACGCTGGGGTCTTCGCCGGCTCCTCAGCTATTTGACTTTGCCAGGACTGACCGCCGTCCATCCATGTCCAAGCCGGCGCCTTCTGCCCCTCTCCCCGGCCGCTCGCAGTCGCTGGCTACGTCTGTCCCCACCCGCGCCTCCCTTCGCAGACCATCCCAGCCTGCCCCGGTTCCTCTGCAGGATGATATCGAGCTCGACATGGAGTTTGACGGGGACGATGACGAGGATGATGGAGAGATTCGCAGCGGGAGGAGTGGAAGTGCTGATATCGACATGGAGGACGACGATGATGGGGCGCTCAAGCCAGAGTATGAAAAGCTCGCTCTCGGGACGGGAAGTGGTGGAGTCAAGGGGAGAAGAAAGGGGATGGTGTTCAAGTGCGAGACGTGCAATAAAGAGTACAAGCACCCGAGTTGTCTCGTCAAGCACAGATGGGAACACAGTCCTCATTGGAAGGAGCCAACAGCGCTGAGTATGAGCAAACATCAACAAGTGCAGATGCTCGAAGTGAGTCTTTACATCTCTCGGGGAGACTAAACTGACGCGAATCAGGCGGCTGCTATCCTGGCCCATCTCGGACCGGCGAAAGACACCGGCCGCTCTCTTCCCTCGGACAAGTCACTCTGGCCTTCCATCCTGTCGCCTGCCGCCGCCAACGAAGCTCTCCCCAGACGCGGTTCCCGTACTGCCCGCGACATTTCTCTCGGCAGATCGCCTTCCATATCCAGCGCTGCACCCCTGACACCATCCTCATTACGCGACAGCACCACCCTCGATACGCTCGTGGAAGGAAAGGACCGGGACGACAGAGAAGGGAGCGACTCGACAACAAGCAGCATGGGTGCGAGCGAGCCGTACATTCCTCGGCGTGGGTCAATCTCTGCCTCCCACCTCTCGCCTCGAGCTGTGCCCAACGGCTTGGGCATCCGATCTCCCCCCACTTCTTCTCCTTATGCTCGCCCAAGGCCTATGGGGCTGAGCAGCGAATCTCGCGCACCCTCATCCCTCTCCTCTTCCATCCCCGGCCCTGCAACCCCACACTCGATCGGCTCGCTGCCCGACATGAATGGCCTCAAATTCGCCTCTTCCCTTTCGTCGTCCCTGACAGTGCCCGGTTCTGGCATGAGCCCTATCCCGGGACGGAACGCCATGCCAGTCTATATGAAGACGGGCATGGTTGGGGGCGGCATGTTTGGAGTGAGGACACAGGTGCCGAGCTCCTCTGTGAGAAGTGGAGCCGGTGTCGAGGAAGAAGACGAGGAGGATTCAAGCGAGGATAAAGCAAGGGAGGATGAAGCTGAAAACTGGGGTGTCAAGGAGAACAAGGAGAGGGAGGGCGAAGACTGGGGTATGGCGTTGGAGATGGAGCTGTGAACGAAGGCTTTGTCGTATCTTTTTTTTTTTTTTTGTCACATCTTTCTGTTTCCCCTTTGGTCACATTCTCTCCCAAATCAGTCATCATCTGACCTTTGGATGGTTGTACATAACACATCTATATAAGAGATTCATTTGTCATTTGCCCCTCCTGTTTGTTTCACATGTGTCTATCTCCCCTTGATGGGCTTTTATTTGTGTTTTATTCTGCCTTCCTCGTTCTCAACATTTAGCTTCTGTGGGCGTGTTTTTCCGAGTTTCTGTTTCACCTGGGGTTTACAGCTTCCTTATCAGCAGTTATCAGCATGGGCATGAATCAAGTGTTTCAATGTTACATCCTTGATGAGAGCCATCTGGATGTTGTGACCGTGCCTGCGGTATTCACCGCCGATATCCGACGGCCTTCCGTTTTTTCGGTTGCCCTCATAGGACCGCTCTGGGACGGCTGCATCTCTGTCCATCTCTCGTCATCAACATGTCCCGCCCATTTGCCCGCCTCTTCTCGAGTTCAACGCGCTCCTCCGCTCTCCTGAGCACCACCACCTGCTCCACCTCCTCAGCCAAACCGGCACCTTCATTGCCGGCGATCCGATACCACATCTTCAAGGAGCCCCTGCCGTACCCGGTCGGCCTCAAGCTTCAGAATGATATCATTGACGTGCGGTTAGAGGCGAAGAAGAAGGATCCGGTGGGTAGTAAAGGTCTGGGAGATGTCTTGCTGTTGTTGGGTGCGTATACAGCTCGTCAATGTTGCGTTGCTGACAAGAGGCTTGGTCATGACGCAGAACATACCCCTACGTACACCACTGGAAGACGTGACAATTCCCCGAACCCTAACGAACTACACCCGGAGGAAAAGAAGGTGCAGAATGTTGGAGCAAGCTTCTTCATCACAAAGAGAGGTGGCCAAGTGACTTATCATGGTCCGGGTCAACTGGTTGGGTATTCGATTATGGATTTGAACGTCATGGAAGTGAGTCATTCACATACTCGCGCCTTGGTCAGTGCTCATAGCTGTAGACTCCCACACGGTGTTACGTGGAATATCTGCAAGCAATGCTCGGCGATTACGTCCGTGATGCTTCTCGTCTGGACGACATCTATGCTCCTCATCCTGATGGACACGTCGGCGTGTTTTCTTCGCCCACAGAAAAGGTATGATCTTTATGTCACTTGATGTGGCCACAACTAATATGACTCAGATTGCATCTATAGGCATCCACCTCCGCCATCGCATAACTTCCCATGGCTTCTCCCTCAATGTCACCCCAGAGCCCATCACTTGGTTCGACCTCGTTGTCGCTTGTGGCCTCGATGACGTCCGCGCAACATCTTTACACGAACTCATCAAACGCGCTCCGCTATCCGAGGGAAACATCCCGGCATGTCTGCCTAGTGTGCAAGGAGCGGCGAAGAAGATCGTGCCCAGGTTTGCAGAGATGTTTGGGAGGGATGTGGAAGTGCTCGGTAGGGAAGGAGAAGAAGGAGAGGCGGGGAAGATTTGGGAGCTCGTCAAAGAGGCGGAGCAGCAGGCGAGGGAAGAGAATGCCAAGAATGGCGGGTGGGCTTCGGAGCCTGACTTGAATAAAAGATGATAGAGAGCCCCCTTATATCGTCGTATAGTTGATATCATGAACCATCATGTAGCACGAAGACTATGACATCTTCCTATCTGCAGCAGGGTATCATGATGCATGAAATGAGGAACCTCGAGAATGAACCCAGTAATGAAAACGAAAGCGAAAATGTATTGATACAAGTCATGTGTATTTCTTTGGCCGGTCTCCCCTCAATCAACATCACTATTCCGTGGTGTGCCTCTAGCACTCCTGGAATCGTTCTCAATCTCCTCCGACGGATGGCCTATCGACTCTGATTGTTCCCCCTCCTTGCCCGGCGATCCCGACCCAGATCGTGTCGAATTATTCAACGCTTGGTTTCTGAAGAGGTTCTTGTACTGTGCCAGCTGAGCGTCCAGCGGCGCGCTTCGGTCAACGTTGAGCGCCAGACTGGAGGGCCTCGGGCCGACAGATTTGCGAGACATGGTAGGAAGAGGTTTGAGAGAAGCGGGCATCGACTCTGGGCGGGCTGGAGATCGTGGTGATGATGAACCTTCACGGATTGGAGCTACCACAGATTAGGTCTATCCCTGTACGCTTGTTCGCAAGTCGACTTACAAGGGTTCTCATTATTCTTGCGCAACTCCAACATCCTTCTGACATATGTTTGGAAGGTTGGTGTCATGTGAGCAGCCAGAGCAGCGTTGATTTCGCCCTCCTTGTCGGGGTTGGCTTTTGTGAACGCATACAAAGCGTCCAGACGCTACAATTTCCGTCAGTCCTCGAGCATATTGTCGCCAACGGGTACCTACCTGAGTCTGGTTACCACTTCTCAGGTCCTTGATCATTTTTTCAATCTCCGTATCCTCTTTGGCTTCTGGAGCAGGGGCAGGAGGTTCGACACCACTTGCTGTTTGATGAGAAGCGGAAGAATCGGGACGTTCAGATCCTGTGTGAGACGGTAACAAAGGGCTTCGCGACCGTGAAGACGCTGGTCGCGAGGGCTCGTGTCCGGCTAGACAGGCGTCAATATCGCTCTCTTTAACGTATCGTGGACATACCAAGTCTGAAAACGTAAGTATAAACAACGGTCGACGCGGCGTCGTCTCCGAATTGTTCCACGAGGATGTCGTAGATTTCCAGCCCCGCATCTCGAGTGTAAACTACGTTGAAAGTCAGTAAGGAGACGGGAGTTCAGACCTTTGATACGCACCTAGCAATCTCTGGATGATAGTCTTTACCGTTCTCAACGGCATGTCTCCCAACGTAACGCCTTGCTGAGCCCGCTTCCTGTACTCCTTCGGCCCCACACCTTGCATGAACTCTTCCAGAACGGCCAAGATTGGACCAGGCCTCAATCTTCCAGATTTAAAATCATCCTCCAATATCTTACACCTCTTCCAAAGGCACTTGATGACCAAATCGGCATGCGCCGCAAGCTCGGACTCTGGATCCGGTTGCGTGGATGAAAAGGTGTGAGTCAGGTCGAGGAGGAGACGGAACATGACTTGGAAGACCAACAGCCGATCGGGGGTCGAGAGGCACTGCACGAGCACAAGATTGATGAAACGAGAAAGCTCCTGAATCTGACCACCCATCCGATCAGCTTGGACAAGCCTGAGGGATAAGCAGTTCAGAACCGCATAGAGCTGCTCGTAGTTCATACGGCGCATCAGATCTTGATTGGAAGACAGCCCAGAGAACGATTGGATAAGATGTTTCACCACCCGGAAGTACCGGGGGTCCCTGAGATTTTCGGGGGGCGTGAATGCAAACTCCATCTCATCCATCAAAGTGTCGGCAAGAGTCTCAATGTTGTCCACAAACATGTTGGGATTCTGGTTGAGCGCACTTTGTATATTCTTGAGAGCGTCAACACATTTGTCAAGGTCATCGTGTCGGATCTCATTGATTGCCTCCAGCACACTCGGTCCAGAATGTCCATTTCTTGGCTTGCTGGCAGCAGGGCGGCTGATAGGCTGCAGAGCCGTAGGGCGAGAAGGAGCAGGTGCAGTCGGAGCTGCGCTACTTCCAAAGACATCCCCCGGGCGCTGTAGCTTGCTTTGTGACGGCTGGGCAGCTGGCCGATGCAGCGCTGAGGGAGCTTGAAGCGAGCGGCCTTGAGAAGGCGAGTCTGTCGTCCTCGGTAAATTTGAGGTAGGGGACGCTATAGCTCGAGATGGAGAGCCCTGGGGTCTGGGTGAGCCTTGGGGTCTGGGCGAGCCTTCACCAGAGCTGCCACTGGCAATAGCATTGACTCTCGGCTGTGGCAGACCTCCGGGTCGGCGAAGCCTGGGTGAAGCCGTTTCGGCCGGTGCCAGTGAATCCAAAGAGACCTTCGCAGCGAGCGTCCCAGTAGCCTTGCTGGCAGCCATGGTAGCCTTTCGGTTGGCAAGCATGTCCTTGGAGGACGATGGCATAGCCTGCACCACCGCACTGAGGCTTTTCGACTCTCCTTGTAATTGTAGGAGCCTGTAAAGCTCTAGTCAGCAGGCATCCACCGATACAGACAAGATGCTTACGCCATGACGTTAAGAGCAGCGTTTCGGGTTCCGCTATCCGAGATGCACTTGGCCAGAACCTCATAGAAACCGCGGTCGTCTCTTGTTCTCAGGATTGACCCTCGTCTCTTGTATGTCTTCTCGATCAAGGCTAAAGACTCGTTCTTGCACGATTTGCCAGAGGATTTCTCTTCTAAACCGAATTGTACGAGCAAAGCCACTACTTGAGAGGCTGCGATGACCTTGTCGAGACTCTCAAAGATTGGGGCAAGCCTAGCACTGAATTTTGTATCACCAAGCTGCGTGAAGATCAGCCAGTCTTTTCTAGCACGAGACAAAACGAGACTCACCTTGAAGACAAGGGCAGGAACAAACAGTTTCGCCTCGGCATCGGAGAAACGCTCGTTCATTCTGGTCATTGTGTCGACCACCTCCTTAACGACCTCCAGACATCTGTTGGACAATTGCGTATTGTTGCCCAGCAGCTTCAAGGCCGAATACTTGAGGGCCAAGTCTACATTTGCAAGCTGCAATGATGTGACTTCCTCGTCGCTCAGGCCCATACTACCAGATGTTTGTACATCGTACAGCTCCCGAATCATGGACAGTCCAGACATAAAGTCTTCTTCAGCTCGATGGTCTTTACTGAACAGCAACGCGAACAACTCGGGTGCTGCGTGAGGTTCAATCTGATGTTGGAGGTACTCCCAAAGATCGGCTGAAGCTTTGGGAGACGGGTCAAGTACCCAGCGCATGCTGTCTTTCTTCAATCGGGCAGCTCGCGCTTCGGTGGCGTATGTCGAGAAGGGGACAACCTTGGTCGAAGCTGAGGGCGAAGAGGAAACAGCGGAAGACGGAGCATGCGAGCTGGCTGACATGGGACGAGGAACTGCCATCCTCGATTTCGGTAGCGCTGATGGTCTATCCTCGCCGTGATGCAGGGAAGAGCCGGGTCTCGAGGAAGGTGCCGATGAGAGGGCTTTCATGGCGAGAGGCCGAGTCAAACCGGATGGCTTCGGCAGTGACGAATGAGCTGCAGGGGCGGGACTACTGGGTGATGCTCTGCCACTGACACCAGCTCGTACACGAGCCACAGAGCCCGGTGGGGCAGGAGCAGCTTTTGCAGGGGCAGGGGCTGGAGCAGCAGCGGGAGCAGAAGGCTTGGATGGAGCCGGTGCGCTGCCACGGGCGTTACTGATAAGGGGTACAATGGTAGCTTTGGATGCGGGTTTTAGACTTGAAGTCTTGTCCATGACAAAGTCATAGCCTGCACTAGCGACAACGAACGGCAAGACAGCGGTAGCGCCTTTTCGAACTTCTCCATTTCTGTCCTCCAGGCAGTGGATGATTGGAACAGCGAGAGGAGCCAGATCAGAAGATGAAGAGGGAGGTTCGCTCTGGAGCCGCTCCGAGAGCCACGCCAAGACTGATGATCGAAGAGCTGGATTGGCAGTTTCTAAAGCTGCCCCCAAGCCGCCGTACATTCCATCCAAACTTCCGACCGCCTCCGACATAACAGTCAATGTGTTGACGGCGGCTGTTCGAGTAGTGACTTTTTGGTCGGCACAGACACTGGCAACAGCAGGAGTCAAGAGCTTGAAGTATTTCTCAAAAGGTGGGCCCATGCCAATGGCAATCTTTGAAATGATGCCGAGAGCAAGCATCTTGACAGCAAGATTGGTGTCTCCCATAGCCTTCTTGAGTACGCCGCCGATTTCACCTGGGATTATGTCAGTAACGGATACCGTGTGCCCAAATGTCACTCACCCATGTTGGGCTTGAGCCTTGAGTTTGATTTGACTTCCAAAACATTGCTCAAAGCCTCGAAACCTTCCTTCCTCACCTTCCAAGCGTCGCTTTTTGACCCGGCGATGACACTAGTGGAGGCAACAAGTTTATCCAAGTCGACTCTGGGGATCAAGTCGTCCAAAGGATCACCACCTCCGGCCTTCCCACCCTTTCCCGGTCCAGCAGCAACTTCCTTGAGGTCGGCTTGACCCTTGATGGGTTCAGGAGCAGTCTGGGAGGAAGCCTTATCAAATTCCGAGTTGATTGTAGACAGCAGGGAGGGATTCAAATCTTCTAAAAAGCCCGAGATATCGGCCCCAACGGCAACTTTGATTGTCACCAAGACTTGAGTAGCACTCTGTCGGACTTGCGCGTTGGGTGACCCAAGCGCTGTCTTGACGAAACTGATCAAGTCCTTCAGAGGAATACCCGCAATCCCAAAGTCGATGAGCTGTTGTTTGATCCAGAGCAATGCGTCTGCCTGAGCTTTCGGCGCCTTTTGCTTGGACAGAGGCTCATAGGCTTGGGCAAGAACGAAAGCCAGAGAAATCTTCTCAGCAAAAGCCGCCAGAGCGTCGCCTGCAGGCTTCTTTAGCTTCATATCGCCCAGCTTCTCGGTTAGGGGTCCGATAGCGAGGGCTGCCGCTGGCTTGCCGAAAGCAGCGCTCTTTTGAGCGAAAGTAAGAATGACCAAGAAGACTTTGGCCGATACCTGGAAATTCTTTTCGCCCCAGCCCGGAGTTTTGCCCAAGAACCTCATCACGATCTCAGCGTCAACTTGTTCGGCCCCTTCCTCCTCTGCCCACTTGACCATCTCCTCGCCGGCTTCCAACCTGATCTTCCACGCGCTGTCGGCAAACTTGGTTCGGAAGTCGGCAGGTATGACCTCGGCGGCTTGAGCAGCAGCATCTTCGGGCGTGTACTTGAACTTGACAGGTTCTGTTGGGGATGAAGCTAGCGTCTTGGCAGCGCCGGGTTTTCCAGATGGAGCAGCTTTGGGGGGTGGCGCGGCAGCTGGTGGCGCCTTTGCAGCGGGGGCCGGTTGGGCAGCAGCCGGCTTTGCAAACCGAGCGGGAGGACCACGTTTGGGTGGAGCCATCTCGCTCAAGCCGCCTGCGTCTTCTTCGAGGGTCGCAGCTGGTTTGCTAGCAGGAGACGCAGGAGCCTTTGCAGCACCGGGGCGGGCGAATCGAGCTGGCGGCCCGCGCTTTGGGGGAGCGAATTCCATATTGAGGTCGACATCGTCTCCTCCAAACTTCCCCGAGGCTTTGATAAGCGGTGACGTTGGTGGTGCAGCTTTCAGTGCAGGCTTCTTGGCTACAGGCGCCGGTTTTGCAGCAGGGGCCGGCTTCTTTGGACCCCCAACCTTGTATTTGATTTCTGCCCGACCGAAAGCATCCTTCACCTTGGCCATCTGCAGCTCCTGGACTCCCTCGATGAACGGATTGAAAGCACGCTCGCCCAAGATCTTCATGAGTACACCCAGACATTCGGCTGATGTTGACCGAACAGGTTCGGCACTGTCTCCAAGGAGTGCGACAAGAGCAACAGCCATGGGTTTGACTTGGTCTTTTGTCGGAGCATCGAGAGTAGTTTGCAGCGAACGCTGCAAGAATTTCAAAGTGCCTTCCTTGACTTGGGGATTCTTTGATTTCAGAGAAGTGAGAACATCGTCGACAATGTCTTGGAGAGTGGTCTGACATGCTGGTCAGCGCCATTCATCAACAAGGGCAAGACTCACTGTGGAAAAGACGGCATCCAACGCCTTTCCGAGAGCATCTACTACTGTAGCCTTCCTCTCTTTCAGCCTCTCCATCATACCAGGCAGAAGTGCAGCTCTGTGCTTTCCAAATGGTTTCCCAAGACCCTTCGCAAGACCCTCGATGACCTTGCAAGCCTCCATGACTACATTGACATTGGCGTCACTTTTACATTTTGTGCCAAGAGTCTGCGCCAGGGGACCATACGAGTCGACGTTGCTGTCAACAAGTTTTGCGTTCTTTGGGTCGGACAAGACTTTGTTGCACTCTTCAAGAACCTCCAGTCTCTCCTTCCACTTTGTAGAACCCAGTTGAGCTTCAAGATTGGAGGGGAAGAGTGCCAAAGCATCCACTGGGTCGAGCAGCGATGTTGGGTCAAAGACTTCCTCCTCCGCTTCAGCACCCTCGTCTCCGCCCTGATCTTCACCCCCAGCCGCTTCCGCCGCCTCCCTGTCCCTTTGCGCCTTTCTCGTGAAACGGGTGGGTTTCCCACTTCCGGCACCCTTGCTCTCGGCGCCCATCGAGTCGAATGCCTTTTGGAGTTCCGCCATTTGAACCGGTTTCAGGTCTGCGAGAGCGGGGAGGAGGGCCGGGCCGAGGTAGGTGTAAAGGACGAGGGTGAGAGAAGTGCCCTCTGCCCTGACATTCTTGTCCGAGTGGCCGAATATCTTGTTTAGGGATTTGAGAAGAGGCTTGATGTTTCCCAGAGTGGGGACCCCGAATGCTTCAACAATCTCCTTCAGACAAGTGATGGAGCCAGCGACAGCCTTGGGCAGCTTGGCGGACAAGCCTCCCAGCACGTCGTTCTGATACCTGAATCAGCACAATTACGACACGCTGAGGCTAGTGACTCACGACCACGCCTTCTCCATTATTCTCCACCTCCACAAACATCGCACACAGCTCCATGCCTTTCTTCTTGGTCCCTGCCCTTGCTGCTCCCAGCGCCTTCTCAACGATTGATGGGATCAATTCTGGCCGTAACCGCGCACTCGTCTCGCCACTATACTGCACAAGGGCAAGGACAGCGTCTATACCCTTCTCCTGTGCAACCGCATTCGAGTCTAGACACCATTTCTTTCTACACGCCTTTTGTCAGCATTGACCATAGCCCAACTCTCAGGAGACCGGCTCACAACAATCCAGGATCATGTATGAACGGCTGAAAGAAGGGGTCGGTATCGGAGGCAGTCTTTGCTGATCCTGATATAACGTCAGTGTAGGCTGATACTCGAGCTTTCCAGTTCTACAGCAACCCGCGTGTCAGCAACGCTACCTCATGTCGGCGGTGGCAGGCCTACCTTGTGCTGGCTGCGCTCCGGGAGGGGTATCTGGGAGAAGTCCTCCTCTGGGGGAGGGGCGCCATCCATTTGGGAATAATGCTGTATCTGCTGGACTGGATGTCAAATTGACTGTTGTTGATTGTTTGTGGCGGCAATTCACGCGAACGCGCAGACGCGACCCTAAGTGGGGGGCACCGCTGACTTGGGTTATCCTTACGTACGTATGCGCCTACTCTGAAGGTTGTTTGGTTCTCTCCCAACTACTCTCTTGCCTGGCTACCCTCCGGGTTCGATCCAATTCAGCCCTCTCTGGCATTTGATTCAACTTTGCCGATGCTCCAATATGAAGGTGATAGAAAGCAGTGGTATATGGTACGAAGTAGGTTGCATCTCAAGAAGGGATGTTATCAAGAAAATATATGGCCATCATCAAAGGATTGACGGCTTGATATGCAGGATATATAAGATACAAATTGCCCGATAATATTCGACTTTTCTTCTTTTCTACTACTTATTACTGTGACTACTTCATAAATCTGTGACTACTTCATAAATCTTCTTCTTTCTATTCCTACAAGGCCTCTCCGAGAATCTTCTTCAGCCATTCTTCGCTTTCCTCTACAAGCGCCTTCCCCCTTTCCATCCCCCTGACTTTCTGGACCACAGGGTAGCTCCACACATCTTCCAAACCCCAACGTCGGTTGGGGTTCGACTTCATCATTCCCTTGATGACCATCAGGATGTCGCCGGAAAGGACGGGCATGTTGGGGTCATCGGCAGGAGGGTTGTGAGGGGGGGATGACGTTACAGAACGAGGAATATAGATGCCTTTCAAGTCGGAAAAGTCGTCATTGCGAAGTTGGACCCAGGCGTCGCCGTCTATCGCGCTGTTAGCTGCGTTCCGAGAGAGATGTTGAGACCACTCACTGCTAGGCAAAACGACGTTTAGAGCAGCTTCCAGCAACAACAATCCCAGACTAAACACGTCCGCCCCCTTCCCAATCATATCCGCTTCGCACAATGCCTCTGGGCAGAGGTACTCTCGGTCTCCTTCAACATCCCTGTCCATGATCGGACTGGGCACCATCGCGGGCGCCTTGCCATCATCCATAGGTGTCTCAGCTATTTCCCAAACGAAGCCGCCCTGCTGATCTCTTTCGGGCAAAGCAGGACTCATCCCACCTAGCATGCGCCCATCAGGGCCAGCACCGCATACAACAGCCATACCCAGATCAGCAATGACCAAGCCGCCGTCAGACTTGATGAGAATGTTGGAAGGCTTGATGTCGAGGTGGAGAAAGCAGTGCTTGTGAATGTGTTCGATGCCCTGGGAGAGCTCGTCAAGGACTTTCCAGACTCGGGCTTCGCGAATACCGCCGTGGTCACTCAGCAAGGATAGGAAGCTCGAGAGATCGCCGCATTCGACCAAAGAAGTCAGAATGTAAAGACGAGAATGGGATTCCCACGAGTCAACGTAATGGATCACGTTGGGGTGAGGATCAAGAGACAGTTGACGCAGGATGGCAATCTCCTCCAGCTGGCGCAGCCTGTTCTTGATGCCAGTATATGGCTTGCCCGCTTTGACAGCATAAACCTTGCTCGTCTTCTTCTCACGCACTTTCCACACCTGCGAAAAGGCTCCACTTCCAAGGTTATCCACCAGTGTAAAGTCGGTCTCCAACCTCGTAATACCGTCACCCCCAAACTTGCCTGCACACGACGCCAAGCTTTCTGTAGCTTGTCCACGGGCAGGCGTAGTGATCGGAGCGGCACTCTTAAAGTTGGCAGCCAGCATGGGGTTGGAGGTTCGGACCATGGGAAGTTGGACAACGCGACCTTCGGCAATAGGACTGCCTGCCAGCATAGATCGATATCGTTCGGCGATGGGGGCATCGAGGGCACCTGGGCGAGCGTACCGGTTGGATGGAGGTGTGGAGAAGAGGTCCATGTCGACCGCATTGGCTGACGCGAAAGGGTAAACCACAGCAGCTCGGACAGGGGATGGAGTCGTGATGCCATAGCGCATCGCTGCACATGAATCGTTAGCTTCATCCGCGTTTCTGACTCGAGGAAGACTCACAATCTGGCTTGGTGGGAGTCACTGGTGACAAAGAAACACCTTGCAGCGAGCTTCGACTGTTGCCCCGAATCATATCAAGACTACTGATCGAGCTCCCGCTTTTGAACATCGAGCTTCTCTTCTTTCTCAGACCTCTCGTCCTCTGCGCAGCTTGCAGAGCAGCCGCAGCATTCGACGAAATGATTTTACCTACCCCTGAATCCAGAGGAGGCACAAATGGCCGCCCCATCGGTCTGATGGGCGAGACCGGGCTGGGCGGGTTCATCATCGGATTACCAAACTGTGAAAACGACTTTTTCCTCTTGTGATCTGCCGCCGGCTCGCTCCCGAATTTGGGAATCTCGACACCCGAGAAGCGCGACTTTTTCTTCACCAGTCCCGCCGACGCAAAGACGCTAGGAGATGGGCGGATATCGGCAAAAGGCATCGAGGTAGGAGTATTGAGGGCAGTGTCGGCAGAGAGGAGGCTGGGGCGCTGCTTCTTTTGGGGCTCGGTGGCACCACGTCTCAGTGGAGGTCGGTTCGCATCACGGAGGGCGTTGACAGTGGGGATGGAAGGAGAGCTCGTGCGGGGCAGGCGAGGAAGCATGGCGCCCACAGCGGACGTTCGCCGAGGCAAGGCAGGTCGAGTCACAGCGTCCGGTGCTGAAGTGCGTCTGTTGAAAGAGGGAAGAGGAGGAAGGGTGGCAATACTGGGAGGTCTCGCGAGGATATTCGTAGATGGGCGAGAGGACACGGATTTGGAAGGTGAAAAGTCCGAGTCGTTGCTAGAGTCACTCGCCAGGGAAATGGACAAGCCGTTCTCTTCGCCAACGGTGACGGTCTTTGAAGCTCTACGAGGGCCGAGTTCTATGCCAAGGCCGAAAGAGCCACTCATCAAGCCCCCGTCGAACGGACTGCGGGAAGCCCCGGCTTTGGCCTTTTCCCAAAAGCTTCGCGAGCGAGAGCGTTGAGGTGATTGCTCTTCCACGTCCGTCATCATGTCCTCGTCCTCCGTCACATTCGGTGCCCTCGGCCCATTCCGCGCACTATCTTCCCTGAGAGTCACTGAACTCTTTCGCTTGTTCATGAGAAGACGCGGAAGGAATCCAGAGCGAGAGCCGGATCGAGAGTGGGAGGATGATTGGGCAGTGTTGAGACTGAATGGTGATTCTACAGAGAAGGACTGAATGGTGGCTTGGCTGTCGGCAAGACTGGACATGTCGGTGGGCGATGGAAGCCCAGCGTCTTCACTGAAAGGCGAGAATGTTTGCGACATGGAGAATTTACTTGTGGGGGAGACGTTCTCGTCGTCGTCCCTCGCTGGTGTTCCCTCTTCACACTCCATTTCCGCCGTCTCCTCGTCCCACTTTGTCACGATTGAAGGTCGCGGGTGGTGTTCTAGCGAGCTGCGCCCGAGCGATAAGAGCGAATTGGAACTCGTGCCGCTGCCGCTAAACTCCATCGACGATGCCGAGCCCTCGGTATCTCGTCTACCAAGACTATGCTGAAGTGACCCCAGAAGGCGTCCTTCCATGTGTTCGCCCCGTATCTGCATCGGTGGGGTCCAGTCCCGCCCCTCGACCCATCCCAACTGTGGTCTATCGATGAGACGTCCCTCTTCCCATTCCTTCTCGGTGGGTGTGGGAGAGCTGTTTTGTCTCTGAGGTTGGCTGATGAATTTTGGCCCGGCAGATCTAGACTTTGGCAGGACGTGCTCGGGGGAGAGATGATGGCGGAAAGTAGAGGTGTAGGGAGTGGTGAGGGAAGCAGAGGTGGGATGGGAAGTCATCTTGAAAGGGGAGGTGAGGTGCGGCGGGAAACTGCCTTCGGTGGGGAGCTCTGGAGAGGGGGTGGGCCGGAGGGAGAATGACGACAGTTGCTGGGATAGCTGCGCAGATACATTAGGTGGCTGTGGAGCGGGTATTGGGATAGCCACTCACAGATGGGACCGACGTCTCCCTCTTCGCCTTGGCCTCTGCGCGATTTTGTTTGAGTCTTTTGTGTGATCTGGGCAGCGAGGAGGTGGAAGGGCGGCAGGAGGTCTGGGATGATGATTGCTGTTTGAGGGGGGTGGTTCTGCGGCGGGGGACATTGAGGTCGGGGGCTGTGGA